GCTCGGCCGTATCTGTTTCTTGTCCAACAAGGGAATTAGAGCTCCACATATGATTACGATCATAATAATTGACTGCCTCATCGAAGCGACCGTTGTCCGCTCCATCAGAGAATGATTTCCGGAGATTCCCCTTGGAGAGTTCAAGCAGCCTGTCGAAATTCTCTTCATTGCATCTCCGCGTTGGAATTCCCCAAGATAATGCTCTGGATGCGTGGCGTGCGCGTAATGAGAGTTTTCACGGCGACTTTCCTGTCTTCTTCTTGTTGTTCTGCCTCGCCCTGGTGACTGACATCGATTTCGAAAGGTTCGGCAGCTCCTCAGCCGTGTGCATTGTGTTCTGCTCGAGCGAGATCGACCTTTGAATGCGCGATATTTCCGTCCCGATTTCGATCTCCGTGCGCCGCTCGTTGATCCAAACATCGGGCCGTCGCAGTTGATTCGATCAAAGTTCCGCAGATTCTGGGTGAGCTTCGAGTTTCGAAGTATTGAATAAAGCTTCTTCGAAACTTATGCGTGAACTCACGCCGAAGCGGAGTGAATCGACGCAGGCAACAGAAGAGAATGAACGTCATCGTTGCCAAGGCGTGCTCAGGGAGTTTTCTGCTGCGTGGGACAGGAGACCGTACAGGACGTCTATGAGAGGAGGGGAATCTTGTATGAGGCTTCGCAAAGTTTACTCGTTAAATCCCGCCCGTTCGGATGGCCGGGGGCTAGGCAACATTTGCCGTGCACTCATCCGACCTTCGGCGCGAGTCCAGTGAGGCTTTAGTCGTTAACTTGGAATCAGATCATCGGTCTGCTCGTCTGCTCGTCGTCGGAGACTTGGAGGAGATCCTCAGCGACAGGACAACTCCAGACAGGACGAAGAACACAGAAACCGTCTGCGACGACGACATCTGCCCGAGGATATAATCCTGCGCGGATCCGGCGAATCTCGAGCTCGATCGAAGTCTCTGGCGTCGCGTGCCTTTTTTGCAGGGATAAATCCCGGTTATCATTAGAGCAACCAGCACTTCTGGAAGGCTCGTCGGAAATAGTGAGACTGGACCAGGAGGCCATCCTCTACGTGACGGGACTTCTTGAGCTGCGAGGCCATGCCGAGCCAACATCTACAGAGCCTTCACGGGTCGTTCGTCTCGCGAAATATCTGCCCAGGTTATTCTTGAATTGCGACTCGCTCTGGCGCATCTGTTTTTCAGCCTCGACTCTGGTGCTCTGCGATTCCGCATTCGAATTCTGGATTTTCTGTTGCTCCGTCTCGAGTGGGATTCCAGAGTCCAGAGCGGTCGCTCGCTCATACGTCAGTAGAAACGCCAGGACAGGCTCCCCAAGCAGGTGGCTTCGAGTTAATTGATTGCAGTCCGCGGGACACTCAAGGTTTCGCGCGATCGAACTGATCCGGTAGGGAGGTCCTCTGCTCGGCGTTATGAATCTCCTCGGAGTTAGGGCTGACCTCATGTCAGCGGCTCGAACGCTAGATCCTAGCGGCGTCGACATGGCCTCCGAAATTGTACCTCGGAATGCGAGCCTTTCGCAGTCGCATTCAAATGTGGAACCTCGTCTGTCCAAGGGGGATGAGTACCTCGCGAGGACCTCCGGATAAGAGAATTACTTGCGTCGTAATTCCGATTTATTTTTCAACGATACGACGAGGAGGACGCCATATAAAATCAGAAGGAGAAGAAGATTGCCGTAAAACTTTTCGGGAACGATGGCGGAATATCGCAGCTGTCCTGGGAAGTTCCAGGAGGGGGTCGTTGTGTTTGCGCAGAAGTGTTCGGAGTTCCTATGCGCCGGCGAGGCGCACGAAGACGGCGATAGTAAACAGTGAACGGTTTCTTTACGCGGTTGGTTTTCTTCCCCTTCGTTTGGAATAAACCACTTAACGATTGTCTGACTACTGGTGCTCTTCGGAAAAGAGGTGTGCTGCGATGTACGATGTGTCCCGTTTGTCTGCGTGTGTGTCTGCGCGAGTTTGCGTTTGGGCTCTCTTGCGGCTCGAGTCGTCTTTTGAGGCGTGTTCGGTCGTGAACTCTGGAGACTTGGTTCACTCGGCTGGTTTGCTTGCTTGCTTGCTTTTTGCCGAGCTGCTTTCCAAAACGCCAGCAAACCGGTTATAGCCAGCCAGTCAGAGGAGCGCAGTCGCTCGAGAATGGCAGACTGTCTCCTCGACGTCGTCGTCGTCGTCGTCGTCTTCGAGGAGCGACGATCGAATTGTGAAAAGCACGCCGCGCCGCCCTCGGAGGGCCTCACTGAAAAGTCGTCCTCGTCGTCGACGAAGTCGAAATTCGAAACCTTGCTTCAATCCTCTGGGACGATTCGGACTTAAGAGATTCAATCAAAACGGGCACCGTTCCAGCTGCAGTTTGCTCCATTCGTTCCAGCGGTGTTCGGTTTCCAACACATCGACGTAGCAGGACCCCCTGACAGTCGCGGAGTCACAACGAGTTACTATGGCGATGAGAGAAACCGACCTTGGGTCGATGATCAAGTCCTACGGCCCTAGAAGCGCTCACAGCGGTAGCTGGGGTTGTCAGAGAAGTCTCCTCGTCGGGATGGACGACTCTGACGATGACGTACCGCTGTTCCGCCGTATCCGGGGAAAATGCACGGCTCTATTCCGTGTGCATTCGAATTTCGACCGGAGCTCCGAGATCGCTCCTCTCCCCCGTTCGCTCGCTACGGCCTGATAGACAGCTATATCGCTCGTCTATTTGCATACGTTCGAGAGCGCAGCGACTGCAGCTGCTGTGGTGAGGGTATTGATTCGCTGCGTATTTCCGGAATTCATGCCGACGAGGAATATTTCCGGGGTTGGATCCGCGTTGAGAAGCTCAAGTTCAGGAACTCGCTCCAACGCCACACCGACCGCATCTGATACTCAAAACCTCTGTCGACTAGGAGGGTCTGCCTTTCAGAGTCAAGTCCAGCCGAGTAGACTGCCAGCGCCTATCAATATATCGGTGACGAATTGTCAGCGAGGGTCATGAGTCATGACCAAATATCTTCTCTTTGACACCTGTAAGTGCAACGCTTCGACAGCGAGCCCGTGTCGGAATACGGCGATGTCCTTGCCGAAGGACGCCCACGCATCGTCTCCCGGTGCCTCGTTTACGTCCGGAGCACGCCAGGAAACTGGATGCATTTCCATAATGGGTCAAAACACGGAAACGACTATTCCCCGAACGAATGCGCAGGATTAACGAACCCCATGACTTCGAAAAACGTGAACGAGCCGGGACGTGAACTTTTCGTACGCTGGACCGCAAAGTTCCACATTCTGAGGCAGCGATCACCCATTGGGGAATCAATTATAATGACTTAATGAGACCGTTTTCCAGGAATGAATTTCAGCCTTTGCTAACGCTCGGCAGCAGTTCATGACAACGGGGGCGGAGGCCGACAAACCCAACAACGAGGATCTCGCTTCGATTGCTCGGGGTTTTCTGACCCGGCAGAGATAGAATGAGAGCGGCCGGTGCAACTTGGCTTTGGAATATCTGACCCTTCAACTCAGCGTCCTCACACAGCGGCCGCGCGGGCTCAGAAAACCTTTCGTTCCAAGAGGGCTTCTTCAATATGACGTCACAGAGACGTTTTACGTGCTCTCAAGCGAAGAGTGCGGTTCCGATCCAGGCAAGAGCCCCCAGTATTTTAGCCTTGCGGGAAGGAGTATAATTACACAAACAGAACTCAAAGGACGAACTTCATAACGTTATCAGCATGTCTCCGAAGTACTCGCTTTCAAGTCAGCGAAAGCTTACGGCTCGTAAGCGAGCAGCCCGGTCCGACGGGCTCTCTCGACGTAAGAACATGCAAGAACATTCATTTCTGCTATCGCCTCTCAGACTCGTTTATTCAAGCAGCGTGTTCCCGAGTTCTACGGAAAATGCGACGTCTCTGTGTGAAACCGATCGCCCGCTACCGATGTACTCGTGACTGCTCGAGAACGTCGCAGTGTCTTCCTCCTTTTCCATGCGTGGCCACGGGCGCTTCACCTCTCTCGTGTCTGCATATACAACTCATCGATTTCCCCCCTCGAGCATAAGACGTAACTGCATGACTTCATGTGAGAGTCGCTCTGCGAAGAGCCTTTCGCCAACGGTGTTGTTATTCTCCGGGTTCTGCCGGGAAACAGCCGCAGCACAAGCGTCGGCCATGGAGAAATATCCGAGTGAAACTCTTCGACGACAGACCGATCCTCGCTTTTCAAAAATGCTGATCCCATGCATAACAAAGTCTGAAGTTGTCCCGAAGCACGTATAGCTCGGCGGAGTCGCCCTGAAAATCGGCCCGTTCGCCGATCGAGCGAAGCGCACTGTGGAGCTGAACGCAGCGACTTCATCAGAAAAGTCAGCGACATAACCAAATACGGTCATATGTATATCATGGCGCCGGAGTTTCCATTTATTTCGATCGTCGGTTTCATCCGTATTTCTCGTAGTTATTGTTGATGTTGCCGTCGCTGCCAGTATCGTATGGTAGTCCGATCGCATGAATAGTTTCGACTGCTATGTATAGCGAAACCGTAGTCGCTTACGCACATCCCAGGCTCGACGAGAATCGCTCAGCACAAATATTATTGTTCTTCTCGAGCGGATGGCATCCGCAAATATTGTTCCGCTAGTTGCGCACCAACACTCTAAGCTGGCGACCGAGACGCGAGCGTTGGCAAAATCTTAAGATTTACCGGCGCCCTCGAATTCAAAGACGTTCACGGCGAGAGGGAGCACAGTGTTTAATGACAGTTTCTGTCTGAATGTCTACTGAGTTTGCAGCTCATGTCAATGCCATGCCTCGCGCGAACTTTCATCGGTCTATCACCGACTTACGAACGAGGGATTTTCGCGATGTGTCGAATGGATGCGCTCGACGGTACTACCGACGAACGCCAAAACGCTAGCTGTTAGTGCCACAGAGCAGTCGACGACGGGAAGAGCTTAATCGAGAGCACGGAACGCTCTTCAGGTTCGATCACACTGGAGACGGCCAGAACTTACCTTGGGAAGCCGCGATAGTTCCCAAGAGAAACACCGCGATCGACTTCATGCTGCTCCTGGTTCTGCTGCTGCTGCGGCCGCTTCTTCTTCACCTATGTATCCGTGTCAATACACACAGCAAGGATACGGTACAGAGACTGTTTAGCCTTCCTGGTTGAAGATTTTTCCGCGGTTCACTGGTAGGCACAATCAATCCATGCTCCTGGAACGACCAGGAAACACAAATGTTCACAGTTTTTGCCTTCTCCTGGCGAGCAACTTGCGCAGCTCAGAGCAGCAGGCGAGACAGGCGACACACGGGTGGCTGAGAATAGCCTCGGAGTGTGTGCCCTCCTGTTGGAGGAGGCGCGAGGGTTCCGCGACGGATGAACGCACTCAGGACTACAACTCCTGAGCGGGCGGGCTGCCGGGCGGTACACTCGCAGAGGAGAATCGCGGCGCCAAATTTCACAAATCACAGCAGACAGACATTTGCTTCGAACTAGCTCTGCTGGTGATGGCGGCCGGCCCCTTCCACGAGCGGTCGCTTCCCTGCAAGCAACAACTGCGCTCTGGTGGTTGCTGGAGAGAAGGCTCACTTCGTTCCGTCGTCTGGCCGAACGACCGGCGAACTGGCTGCTGCTTGCTTGCTGTCTATCCAACCGTCCGTCCCTCAGACAGTCCGGTCCCTTCGCCAGCCAGTCAGCCACGCATCCAGCCCAGTGTAGGGGAGGGAAGGCCAGCGCACTTACGAGCACCAGCGACAACACTAGAAAGAACAAAAATCTTTTCTCGAGCAGAAGCACGTTCGTCTTCTGGGCCGATCCGCCTCCTCAGTCAGTTTGTCGACTATACTCACTCAGTCAGCCTTTGTCGTTAAACCCGCGGACACCAGCGGCGACCTGGGCGGCATCCTCCCCCGACGACTCCCGATATGAAAGAAGGCGGTAGCTTCGTGAGCATGAACATCCTCCCTGTGGGTTGCCGTTTCCGGAATGATGTCGATGGTCGAATCTTCTCGTCACGATTCGAGACTTCCCTGCAAGTCTGTAAGCCAGAACCCCGAGGATTGCCGGAATCCTCCCGTAGAGGACATCAGAATCCTCACAGTACATCTGTTATTCGTGGATGCCGTTTCTTTCAGACCTCTCATTACAAACATCGCGATCGTTCCAGGTTGACAAATTCCGAAAGCTCGAGATTCGCAGCTAGCCATAAAAGTATCGGAAGATAACTTATCATTCGAGTGAATGGCAGGGCAGCATGCGCCAGAGAACAGACTACCTCAGAAAATGTTCACGCCTTGAACTCTCTCACTTCAGTAGGCAATGAAGGAACATATCATCGGCTGCGGAGGAGTCTCATGTTTCCAGAATAAATTCCCCGGATCTCGTTCTCCCCGGATCGATGGCTCGCACTACGATTAGCGCTATTCCTTGAGAAAGTTCTCGCAGCGCTAATCTGTGGCGACATTCGAACCGTTGAGAACCCCGGGTCCTTCTCCGTGACCAGGCACCAGGCCGGAGTCTCAACTTCAACGTGCGGATGCTGTCCGGTTTTCTTCTCGAAACGATATCGATCGAACTTGTCGAACGATGTCCTCCTACCATAGTAGATCTCAGGAGCCGCGCGGATTCCGTCGACAGATACGCGGCTCACTCAGTGACATGATGATTTCTCCTGGGCGCACTACAGAGCATTGCGGTCACACTCGGAGACAGGAAATTTCTGCCCGCTGGGGCCGACGAAGGATCGGGAGCAGGTGTCGGCGGACGAAAGATCTTCTGTGGTCTGTTTGTGTTACCATTTTCCTTCCGAGTGTTATAAGTCTTATACGTGAACTCCAGGGGGCACCGAGGCTCCATGTGGGTACCTCTGAGAACCCGAGTGAATATGAGCGGGTTCGAAAATCGTGAGTGAGTCGAATAAATAATCAGGGGCGACCCAGGCGACCCACAACTTATTTCGGAAGTGGAACATAGCAAGGAGAAGTCATTGCAGGCAGACAAGAGGTTGAACGAAAGATCCGTGATTTCGAGACATGAAGGTGCGTTGAACGATCATGATTTATTTATTTTAAAATAAAATAAAGATATGTAGAGGAATCATGTGTCTTCGGGGAGTTCAGGCGGGGCAAATGCATTGAATCCTCCCTGCATGGATGTAGCTCGATTTAGTCAATCTTCTGCCAAAGACTGAGAGAACTCCATCCTTCGGATCGAGGATAACAGAATAGTTTCTCAACAACAAGACCCGATCGTTCCCGACCTCAGGCAAGGTCGAGCGCCTTCTTCGTCAACGCAATAGTCAAAGAACTTCGATACGAGTTGTCGTTCACTTGGAGGCATTACAGGTTTTATTTAAAAAAGTTTCTATACACATACAGCAGCAGCAGGTAGTTTCATCAGGCCGCCTATGAACGTTGACGTTCCGACGTCGGTATTTGCATTCATGTGGATCTGCTGTGACTTTGTGCTCACAACGTTTCTCATTCACGCTCACTGGTAAACGTACCTCACCCTCATAGTATATTTCCCTCGGCGTTGTTGACGTCCCCGTCGTCAGCGGAAAACTTCCGATTTCTCATTCCTGATCCCGTACGTCGAAATTCATTCAATGTCGCTAAATAATTTAGAAGAGCAAGGTTGACATGCCGCCCATATCGCCTTGTTCCCGGACGAAAGTCTCGAAGTACTGATAAATAATAGTGACGGCGAGAAGAATTCCGGTTCCGGAGCCGATAGCTCCGAGGAAATCAGCGAGAACAGAAAGAGCTCCGATACAGAGTCCGCCGAAAGCAGCGGCTGTGGGAATGTATCGGTTGAGCTCGTGGATCATCGAGGTTTCCCGGTGACCACGCATGATCATCTGCTGCTCTTTGAGTTGTTTCGCAACGTCCTTGGCCGACGAGCCAGAAACGTCGATCCATGTCTTCGAGAAGAAGGCGCAAGAGCCCAACATGAATACAATGTAGAGAACGGCGTGAATGGGATCCGCCAGGATGGAGCCCAGGTTCTCGGGAGGTGATAGATAATAACAGAGACCGCCGACCGGATAAGATCTCCCTCCGTATCCTGCACCGGAATCGGACCATACACCGAGGAGGTTGACGAGGAAGTTTCCGGCGAATTTCACCGACAACATCTGAGATATAACGTATAAGTTGGAGACCAGGGCAGATTGAAGAATGATCGGGATGTTCGACGTGTAGAACAATTTGATGGGGTACGACGAGTACTGTCCCCTGTAGCGGGCGCTCTTGATCGGGAGATCGACGCGGAATCCTTGGAAGTAGATCACGATGGCGAACACGAGAATGGTTGCCAACAGGTTCATGAGGTTCGGCAGGTTCGGTCGGTAGAACGCTTCGCGGAGAGCGCGAATCTTGTCAGTGCGGGTGGCCAGCAAGTGGAATAGGGCGATGATCGCCCCCTCGAATTCGGTGCCTCGGCCTGTATTCACCGTCGATGGTGAGAACGCCTTCCAGACGATCGTTTCACAGATATTCGTGGCAATGAACAACGAGATACCCGAGCCGAGACCGTAGCCTTTCTGCAGAAGTTCGTCCAACAGGAGCACGATGAGACCAGCGACGAACAATTGCATGATGATCAGGAAGCAAACCCCGGCTCCGATGTCGTATGGGTCACCATACATTCCCGTCATTACGTAGACGATGGCTTGACCGATCGTGATGACCATACCGAAGAGTTTCTGAGCGCCGTTGAAGAGCGCTCGGTCTTTCGGAGTGTCTCCGACCTCGATGAGCTTAGCTCCGGCGAGGAGCTGCATGATGAGTCCAGATGTGACGATAGGCGAGATTCCGAGTTCCATAAGCGTCCCTCTGTTTGAGGCCAAAATCACACGCATCCAATAGAAAGGGTCGGCCGAGTCCGAAGACATGATACCGAACAGCGGAACTTGACAGCATACCAAGAAAATGAATAGCGTGATCGCTGTCCAGAGAACCTTTTCTCGGAACTGAATCTGCGGTGGGGAAAGAGAAGCTGTTAGATCACAGGCATGCTGACGGGACGGCGGGCTCTTGGTGCCATTTCGGAGGTTCGAATTTGATCGTATCCCAAGTTCGAGCGGGATGTCGGACCCGGAGTACGGAACAAACCTTTCTTTCGGGTTTCGCCACTTCGGGCAATATGCCGCAGAAGGGCTTGATGACCTCAAGGAATTTGACTGGAAGAAAACGCGGCCGAGATTAGCCTAATGCGGACCGGCCTCAACTTCATCAGGGGAAGTTTCAAATCAGGCATAATGAATCGATGGGGATAACGGGGAATTTCTCCGCAATTGACTCCGCTTCCAAGACGAAATATTGCGACGAATTCGAACGAGGGTTCCCAGGGCTCAGTCGGATGGACCGACTCCGGCCACCGGCATCTCGGGATTCCATCTCGAGCACCTTCCTCTCAGGACTTCGGAAAGCCGACAGCTACCCTAGGATTTGAGGCGACGAGGTGAACCGCGATCCTCCATCGTGAATTGAACGAAGTTCAAGATCCCCGTGAAGATGATCGCCAGGATGGGATAGAGTCCACGGAGGAGGAACTCCGCCGGGAGAGTGAGCTCGCGAGGAGCCTATTCCGCGAACGGAGGGTATACATCCTTCGGTTTGCCGCGGATTTTCATACGAGTGAATTTCAGAGCCAAGGTCCACCTTGCTGACACGTCACTGGGGTTGAGATGTCGTCGATGGAAGACGTTCCCACCACAGCTAACAATCGCTGACAGAAACCAACTTTCATCCTATTTCGAAAAACCGCATCGGAATCTCAGACGCCGCTCGATCTCGGATCGGCGAGTTGTCCTGGACACAGACAGTCCGCATGCGATCGTTCGGCCGGTAAGACATTTTCGTGACCGGTTCTGGCTCTAACGGAAAATGCCGACAGCCGGCTTTTCACGAGCCGATTCCTTCAGAACATATCTGATTGTGGGCATATCCATCGAACATCTGTACTCACATCCCATCGCTGCTGAAGCTGTTCAGCTTCAAGAAGAACGTCCTCGGAGCCTCCACGGAACGTCGATGTTGGCTTCCACCGCTACTGCAACTATAGTGTTGGCTGGCGCTTCGACTGCAGCTGACCCAGACAACGTTGCTGATTCGCAGCGACTTCCGGCACAGCTTCCCTCCACGTTGGAACACGTCATGAAGAGTTCCCCCGCAATTATGCGCGGTTCTTCTCAAAGTTCACTTGCCTCATGATTCCGCATTATGGGAATCATGCCTTGCTCACGGAATCATCTCACAGGCATGGAGCAATTCGCCCGAAAGGCTGTTTCTGACAGAATATTCGGAGAGCTCTGAGTGGCGGGAAATTTCGAATCGCGGCGCCTGAAAGAACAGTTAGGATCCCCTCTGAGTCAGAGGCAGCTGTCATTCAGATGCTTTGAAAACTCGGACCGCTATCAAGCTGGATTTGGAACACCCCTATCTGATGGAGTGATTCGTCTGGAAAGGCAGTAGAGTGACGAACGATCAGAGAACGCAGAGCCTTAATGTTCGATGCGGGGAAGTGTCAGAGGCTTGTGAGGCGGCCGGTTCCAGCGATATTCTGAGGATCACCCGTTTCGCTCGGAGACTTGCCACCTCCTTGCAGCCGCGCTACACACCGAATCGTTCCCGTATATTCTCTCCTCATAGCTTCGAGATCGATCGATGCATACCTCTATCATGTCCCGAGTCCTGAGTGTTCATATTCGGACTCAAAATAAATATGCACATGATTCGAATTAATGAGTGAATACATATTCAGTCGATCCATGCGACGAGATACTCTAGCGATCGGTGTTTGCGACGCGTGGATGATTCGCTTTTTTTGCAGTTTGGAAACTGGGTCCGACAGCATTGCATTTCGGACCCGTTTTGAACTATACATCATCTACAATCCTATTTAGCCTATTATCAGGAAGATCGAAATGCCTGTCCCGATGAAATACGTGAATCAAGTTATGAGCCGATCAAGAGACCTTGAATGTTCAAAAGAGCCGTGATTAACCTCCCGATTCGACTTTCATCGGATGGAGGCCAGGGGTTCCGTCGCCGGAGAGTCATGAGCTGTCGAAACGACTGTCGATTTACATACCTGTGGGTCTCTCCGAATGCAGCTTTCCGGGCTCCGGACTGTGGAGCGGGCAACGGAGGAATTCTCGGACAGGTTCCATTCTCTATCAATAGACTATGGAATGAATGTTCTAAACCCCCGGTGGACCCCCTGCATTTTCGACAATCAAGATCTGACGATCCGCAACGCGATCCGAAAAATCCTCCACGGCCCCAGCATTTCGAGAGCTATTTGGACATTCTGAGGGAATGATGATCACCCCCGCAAACTCGGTTCTGCATACACTGCCAATTCTCCAGACTCTAGTGTGTTCTAGGCCGCAAGTAGAGACCGTGACGCAAACGGATAAACCAGAACCCAAGCACCCTGTCCACTGCGGCCCGCGGCGATGAATGATGATGAAATGATGGATAGGAATCCTTTTTTTGTGATGTTCGATTTATTTACCTTATTTCGACGACGCTCTCCTCCACATCCGCATCTATCCTTGGACTGGACAGATATATATATATACAATGTAGATTCGACGATTTCCGATTCCACAGGATTTTTTCTTTCGTTTTCAATCTTATTAGCTTTAGATACACGTCTCCCTGCTCATAAGTATCGGTAGAAATAATATCCGTGTAGCAGTATCAGATTCAATGTCTGCTTACGTTCAAAAAGGACCAAATATCGGTGGCGTGCTCCGCGACCGAGAGAACGCGCTTATCGAATTCCCTCTGTATTCCGTTAACCTTCCGAAATCTCAGGCAGCATTAGGACCAAAAAGCTACACGCTCTCATTTAAATAACATCGAAATCATCCATCTGCTTCGCTGGCTGTTTACGATTCGCCCACAATTTCGCGACGAGCCGGCGGTGCCCGAAGACGGATCCGGACCACGGAGATGGCGATAGTATCTAGTCCGATTCGAAGAGAAGACATCCACTCCAATTTCGGGGGATTCCGATCGAATTTCGAAGCTTCGGGCTTCCGCCAGACTCAGTGTTGGCCTGCTCTTACCTAAATTTGAGTCATCGGCCATGACCCGAGTGGCAGTAACTAAGCCTCTAATGTTCTTGCTAATTGTTATCTCTTTTTTTGTTACTTCTGATAGTTATGTTAAAAGTAGACATCCATGCTCATTCTCCCATCGGTCTTGATCTTTCAGCTCTGCTTTCGCTCCTGGTTTCACTCTCCATTCTTGACCGACCGACGATTAAATGATAGATGAGGAGACGATTGAACTCCCAGCCGTCACGAGAGCCAGGACACTGATCCATTGGTGTGCATCAGCAAGCTTAAGCCCTCTCTCCACGGATTCGGCGCGCCAGCTGGATGTCTTTCGGCATGATGGTAACACGCTTAGCGTGGATGGCGCACAGGTTCGTGTCTTCGAAAAGACCCACCAAGTATGCTTCAGAAGCTTCTTGGAGAGCTCCGATAGCCGCAGATTGGAAACGAAGATCGGTCTTGAAATCCTGCGCGATTTCACGCACCAAACGCTGGAAGGGCAGCTTGCGGATCAGCAGCTCGGTCGATTTCTGGTAACGACGGATTTCACGGAGAGCGACGGTACCTTGACGGATCAAAGAATGGAATACGTTAGATTTGGATCAGAGTTCTGCGTCGAGAGGAGCCGAGCGGTTCTCTCTTGAGATGTCGGGAGAACGTTGACTATTCAGAGACAGGGGATGAAGCTGATGGCTGTTATTGGAGGGGGCCCGGGGTCAACTCGGGATTAGGAGGGGGCCAAACCATCGAAAGTATGACGCCCTTGCCCCCGTCCGCGCTCCCAGAGCTCATGAATTCACGAGATATGAGGCATGATAATCATCTTGCAAGAAACCCGGATAGAGACAGAGTCGGGACGGCTCATTGATGAGACTTACCGGGACGGTAACGATGAGGTTTCTTGACTCCTCCGGTCGAGGGGGCTGACTTCCTCGCAGCTTTGGTGGCGAGCTGCTTACGGGGAGCCTTACCTCCGGTAGACTTACGGGCGGTCTGCTTGGTACGAGCCATGGCGTTTTCTTACTTTCTGTGGATAGACGGAAAACGAAGTTCTTTATATAGGGGCGCGACTCCAGTGTGAGAGAGGGAGAACCCGCTCGAGGGAGGATCGATATCGCACCGAGTGAGTAGTTCGGGGAATTCAAGCGAGAACTTGCGGACGTCCCTCCCGTGCGAGTGATGAGTCAGAGCTCCCAACGTCGGGACATCGCTCGGCTGTCGGTGCTAACGAGCCTACAAAACTCGGCATCGAGAAAATACACATATTTTCGGCGTCTTTCAAAGGGACAGAGTCGCCCAATCTTGCCCCGACACGATTCAAAGAGATATCTCATCCTCAGTCGAAGTCGGAAGCATCGGTAAATAGCCGAAGCAAGCTGCGGAAACGGCGCCACCTGTCCTTCAGTCGCCCATCATCATTGGACGAAGACGAATAGGTGCACTCGATTGGGATTCCAGAACATTCTAGTTCCCAACACTCTACTACGAGAAGCACCGGATTCGTCGAATAATTGGGGCGAAGTAGGGAGACCGGCATTCGAGGACAGCTCGTGGGCTCAGTTCGACAATGTTATGATGCCTGTGGGCTTCTGCAATGGTTTGCTCGGCAGTGTGACGATCAGCCGTGGCGTTCGCCACGAAAAGCTCAATATTTGCCGAAAAAGACACACTTTTGTCCTGGTTTTTGCTTCCTCCGATGCACTTGTAGGCTTTGAAAGTTCCGCAACTGAATCACATAAGGAATCTGGAGATTTTACTCACGAAATTTGAAGTTTTCTCGGAGAACTGTTGCAAGTGTCCGTCAGGGCTGGCTGTACACACAGTGTGACGCTAGGAGCCCTGAAGCACCCTATTGGAGGTTTGAACAAGCGATGTGATTGGCGGAGCAGCTTCGCGGTGATTGGCTACTCCATGAGCGCGTTGCCCGTTTGCAAAGCCCGCCATGATTCGAATTTCGTCCTCAGCGATGATGCCTATCCACGCTGAGTTTCTTGACGAATGACTTATGGCATTGCTACAGACGGGTTTGCGATTGCTCGCTGTTGAAATGAACGACAGTGGAGATGGTGAATCTCAGTCCCCGTCTCAGTTCGACCCCACATCAATCGACACTTCACCCTCATTAATCAAAGAAGCATCTATCCTCGTCTATTCGTAACTCCGGATCCTCGTCTCATCCGGACCCTCGTCTCATCCGGACCCTCGTCTTCTAAGAACCCCGAGTACATCTAATCCCTCGTCCACATCTCCGGTCTGCACCCGGACATCTCCCGGTCCCGGTCTGCATCTCCGGTCTCCGGTCTCCCGCTTCGTATACGCACTCCGAATCCGCTTCCTAGAATCATTAGCACCCCACATCTCAGAACTCGATAGATACGGTCAACCTCAAGCATAGGTACTCTCCTAAAACCCTTACTCCAGAAATACGTATATAAGAACTTGTAGACTAAGAATAAACTACTGTCCGCCATCCTGTATCCTACCATCAATCCCTGTGTATTTCATCACTACTTCTCGTGCGGTCTGAACCTCTACTCTCGATCAGTGCCAGCTCCTGACTAGGGCACAAAAAGCTTGGAATCACAAATTCTGACACTCGCCATTGTCCCCCGGCCTGAGCGCCATACCAGGCAGGATACCCTTCTGAATCCGACTGATGAGCTCTAGAATGAATTTCACCCTTTTCGAGCACAATTTTTCCGTCCTCATCCTCGACAGCCGCGCGGAATGGAACTGTTTTTCTATCCAAGCGATAATTGCGCGGGGTGCAGGGAGCTCATGGGAGCTCATGGGAGCTCATGGGAGCTTCCCATTCGCTCATGATCGGAGGAGTCGAGTTCCGTTGCCATTTGCTGAACCCAAGTCTCCCGCTTGCTGGTGGAGGAGAACGGCGAGAGCCATGATCCATGATCGATGCTGAAACATGAGCAGCGACGAGCGGATGGGACATTCTGTACAACCAGAGAGTGGATAATCACATCTACTTGGACTGAAGAGAGTCTCAGCTTCCAAGGGACCGGAATCTATTCTCACAGGGCGATGGGAGAACCTGAATCCTTCCGCAGGGGCAAGCTTGATGGCGTTCCGAGTCACCAAATATCCTCGAATAGGTTTCTCGACTATTCTCTTGGGTCAGTTCCGAGCTCGATAGTGTACTAAGTGGAAGCTGAGAATGGAATGTGATCGACACTTGGACGGCTCAATGTGATCCGCACCATGACACGCGTGATCGCTGCGCATTCCAACGGCATGTGCAGCGATGAGCATCGAGCTGAGTTTGGTGGACCAACTCGGATTTTCGTGTTTCGAATGAATTCCCGTCGACCTGATCACAATTTTTCCAAGCTCAATCGGAAATTTTCCGCCGACTCTACCAGTGGCGGACTGGTCGCGAGTCGGAGCTGTGCCTACGTGGGGGCCTTGGATTCTACCATGAGTACGGAGAATCGTCGAACTCACGGCCCACGAAGTCGGCGCCCGAAGCGACAAGCCCTCGAATCCTAATTTTATCTTCCATAGCAGATCTGCGATCTCCTCCCCGTCCGATCGATGGATCCCGAATGAGGGATTTGAGCAGAATTCTGGAATTCGATCCCTTTCGAGGCCCCCTCCCTGCGAAACTGCAAGCGGAGTCGACTCGCTTGGATAGGGAATGTTTTATGATTTCGAAATCAGGATATCTTTGCGGTCTAATTGTCGAAAGAATAAGAGGCATTGTATACAGAAGTCGGGTAAAGTAGACAAAATTTATTGTTTCATCATCTGCATCGTTTTTGAAAGGTTTTGAACATTTCTCTTATCGATCCAAACTTCATCTTCGAGTAGACATCAGCAACGTTGTTGATACGAAAGCTTTTTGATCTCATCTGACCGTTGATCAACCAAATGCTACGCCCGTCCGCAATCGAATTCGTTGTTTCGCCGAACTCTTCTTATTTTACATCATGTTCACAGAATGATCGCATTTTTGAACTGTATTCTTCGAGCATCTCTTCCGACGCTCAGAGCTGATTCGTCGAACTTGACTCCTCACACAGCGCAGCGCACGGGGAATACCGACGAATCGGTGTTTGATAATGAGAGCCCAATCTTCAGAGGATCATATTTGCTTCGCTCCGGATTCCGCGTTGCTTCCTCTTGAAATGTTTCTTCAGGGATTTTCACCCTCGAAGGTTATGCATCTCTCCCACATTCTCTTTGAATATCTCTTCGAATAATCTATTAACGCTTCATTCGTTTCGGCGATTCTGTTCTTTCCAGGTGTTGGTGGTTGCTTGTTGGAGTTCGTAGTTCGTAGGTTGTTGGTAAGTTTCGTTATTTTTCCCTATGATATATTTACAAAATGTTTCCTGCTTCATTCACCTAGTTGTATAGCTTCAACTTCTGCTCTTCTGTGCATAGAAATACTAGCGACCCCTTCGATGGTGGATCTCTCCATTTGAGTCGCTGCTTGCTGTCTTCTACTGCATATTTTTCATTGCCGTCTCTGTACAGTGTACCGTATGAAGACAGGGAAGTCCCGCCTCGCTGGACATCCATAGTGTTCCTCAAACGGATTTGTTGCCACAATATGCGGAGAACTTCAGCCCGACTCTACCCTTTCAGACGGGGTGACCTAGCTCTACCGCGCAAGTTCCCGGACCTAGTTTCACCCCATTCTTTGCTTTCTAATCCTGGTAGTTTTTCGTTGAATTCCATCTAATACTTCCATCTTCAGACCCGAGACCCTTCCTTTTTCCATACTACCGTCAAAGACTATCGACTTAGCACCCCCTGAGATCATGACAGCGGACCCTGCGGAGACGCGCCAACCGGAGCTCGTGACAAGTGGTTGGGGAGGGATTTGTTTTCTCTAGCGTCCTTTTTCAGCGGTTTTTCAAAGAGCATCGATAAGGTCCCTACCGATGGGAATCAAACGGGGCATCTGCATTGATTTAGGTAATGATATAAAAAGAGTGCTGCTAGAACTATTGCGGAGTTTTGTTGTTCCGTGTTCGGCACTCGATTATTGAAATCCGCGAGCGACATACGATCTCGCAACGACACTTTTTCCGATGAAAGTTTCCGGAAGAAACTCTCTACGATAGGTGAAGGTAGGTATGGGGAAGGGCAGCGATGAAGCACTACGACACGGATGTCACTCAGCGTGAAAAAGCAAAAACATTCTTAGGCACTAGTCCTCAGACGCCGCGGGACGGAAAATAATTCGTATAATGCCTCATCAAGGCATGGGAAGCGACCCAAAGGAACAAAGTAATCTGGAATCAGGTACCCCGGGAGCTGCGTTTCCGCTCGAGGTCCCTGAAATGCAACCCTGCTCTCGAGAATGCGTTTCTCTCGGTTCAAGAGGTTTCGTCGAAGTTTTGCGTCGCTCGCGCATGATGAATACCTTCGGCTCCGACAACGGGCGTGAGCCAGAAGCGAGCGACAGAGACTCCGCACCGCCGATTCGTAGCTTTTCGCTGCTTCTCTTGAACACCGAGAACCGCATTCGGAGGATTATTCCCTTTGAATCTCTGATATCCCTCATAGACACCCCCCCCCCCGACTTCCCCTGTCCCGTCGTCTTCTTCTCCTCGTAATGCCAAATTAACCCATGACATCTCAATCCACCTCGAATCGATCGGTTTTGATGCACGAAGCGTGCAATGACCGAGAAACGCCGCTAAGGCCACGATTAGACAGTCTCATCTGCTCATACTTCATAACTTTCGATTTCGTATCAGCTGTTGTTACATTTATCACTCATGTGGCCCTTGTCCATCAGGTAAACTTGTTGATGACACACCGATTCGCTTCGTTTCAACTCCTCACGTTTCCGAAAATTTCCGGCAGCCACACGCATCAGGACCTCGTGTCGTTGTACATTGCAGTACAAAATCGTTCGTATGCATGTCGCCCCGCTGGTTTGTTATAATGGTGATCGTAATAATATTCAACGGCTACCCAAATTACTATTGAAATGTCCTAGTAGAGAGCTGGTGGCTGCAATGTCGACAAAGCGAACGGTAGCCCGACCCATCAAATGATCGGACTGACGTATTGATTGTCGACATTGTGTTTAACTGTATCTTCTCTTCATATGGTGGCTTGTATTGAACTCTATCGATTTTGTCCTGACGGCGGAATTTCTACGAGCAGTAAGAAGGAGCGGCCTCGTTGGCGAACCGCCTGTGGATCTGGTCTTGCGTGAAGCGGACGAAGGCATCGTACTGTTCCGCGAGTTTGTCGTTGAGCACTTTGTCATAGTGTTGGCGGAGCTCGTCCTCACGCTCCCGTACCATCCGCTCGCAAATCATGTTGACCTGCAATTGAAAAACTTGTATCTGACCGTTCACGTAGTGACGAGAAGCAGGGCTGGGACCTCAGATTGCTAGGACACACGATGGGGCGACCGTTCGATCGAGGGAGAAGAAATCGATGGCATGCTCTTCGACGGAGGCACAATATCAGACAGCATCCATGCGGATGAATATAGCGTCTTTCTTCACCCATCCCTTCGGGTCGGAGGAGTTTTTTCCGGATACTGCTTTTGATTCGCCTCGAGATTGAAATCTCGGATGTCTGCTGGAATTAATCGACAGCTTTGCCAGGTACTAATTGAGCGATGCCTGACTCACCTGTTTGAAGGTGAACAGGGGGGTGCTACTATTGCTGGACTCAGCTCCAGAAGTTGAAGCCGACGTCGGAGACGACGGTGGGGAGTTGAGGCTGAAGGGTGGCAGCTGCTTGCGTCTCTGTAGAAGACGGACCTCGTGACACACAGAGGAGGCGATGAATTCTGTAAGAATAATTGATTACTCAGTCAGAGAAGCGATCGTGATCCCGAGGGCTCTGGATGATTTCCGGACGATACTCGATATTCCCTCTGGCAATTTCGGTGGGGTACGGCTGTCGACGAGAGTTTGCACAAGCGGCAGACTCTCGAGCAGAACACCCTTCCGGTCGCCATTGACTCCTCGCACGCCTCTTCTGACTGACTGAGAGAAGTCGAGTCCTGTCTTTTCGAAACAAAATTACGCGGCAGCGCATCTATCGACGGAGGGCGAATCCGAGAACCGTCTTTGAAACACGCCCCGATCGTGATTCGCTTCCCACAACCAAACAGCGGACTCACAACATTATCATCATCAACGCTGCTGGGAACAGCTGATTGATGCTCCTATGCTTGATCGAGTCGCTTCCCTCGCTGGAATTCCCAGAACTACCCAAGACGAGGCTCAGGAGCTCTCAAATTGAAGATTTCTGCATGAATTATCTGTGCTTGCCCCAGCTCCACGGCTCAGAAGACCACGAGAGAGAAGAACAAACGCTGGGCCGCGTCCATTATGATTCAGGGCTACGCGGTTCTGGGGGCCGTGATAGGCCTTGGCCAACAAGTTGAGTTGAGGGCATGTCGCTTGGAAATCGTGCAGTTTCTCCCCGATATCGCTTTGAACAAACTCGAATCATCCGAGAGGGGCCCCTATACCGATGGCTCGGAAGCGTTTCTCGGCTTCCGGTACGCAGCACTACCACCGACTGAAGTGGCCGTAGCCCTAACGGGATGCGTGCGGCCTAAGAATCTCGGGGTAGAGTTTAAATCGATTTACCTGGCGTGAGTTTGGGCGCTGCGTCCTGGAACACTGAGGCCGTTTCCTTCTGACGCGATGCAACAGCCGTGAATGGAACGAAACGACGACGTTTTGCCTGCCGAGGTGCGAGTCCGGGCAAGGTATCCCAATCGAGGTGGCGTTTCAGCGTGGCGCAGGCCATTGCTCTGTAGTTTTTCGCTCGCAAGCCGTTCGCGGAATGTCAAAACGCTTGCTGCTCGAATCCTGTGCCTGGCGGCTTGCTCGGAGTTTGCACGGCACGGCGTCAAATCTTCACTTCGATGCAGGGAACAGACAACAACTCTTTTGGCTTCTGGCTTCAGATCCGACACATACACCACCACAGCTAAAGGCAGAATGCCGTCGCAGCCAATAGCAGGCACCACCAGGAGCAGCAGTAACACACACAGATGGATAGAACAGGGATCACGTTGTTTTCTACGCGACCATTCTTGGCCTGGCGTTGGCTTCTACCAACGAACCTTTTCGGATAAACGCATAGATCTCCGTGTTTGGAAGCAGCTCAAGGAGGGCGGGCACCATATGGGGGTACTGAATGTTCGTTAATCATTGCACTAAAATCTCTTACACTATAAGACTTAGAGCGAACCGCCTTAGAACAGATTTTCGCTATGACGTACGATTTTTCAACGAACCATTCTTGATGGCGCGCCACCATTCTCGTTGTGGGGAGCTCACACTGCATGATATTAATTTTTAATCATTATAATTATGAGGACCATATGGCGAATGGAGCGCACTGACCGATCTGATCGATCTGGGTAAATTCCAAACTATGGAGATCACGCTTTTGATGACTCATATAGAAGAGGATCTAAAAGTGGCTATAATTACATCCCCGAGATTTGGTCAAAATTCAAGTATCGAGCCGAAGTGACTGTTCGGGTTTTCCGCTCGGCAGTGGGCAGCGGAAGCTCCGCTTGAATTTCGATCGTGAGAACATATCGAATGAGAGAAATACGAAACAAGTGAACATGCAGACGAGAAATTTGTTCGGACATTGGTTCCGAGCGTGCGCCACCTGGCCCTACGAAATCATACGACCCCTCAGAGATCCTTCCCAGGTCTGTGGATCTGAGAAGCCAAACCCTCGAGGAAGAAGATCACGCACACAGGAAGAACGATCGACTTCGCGCGATCGCACGATAACATTTATTCTTAAACCTAATATACTCGCCTCTTGAGCCTCAAGACTCAAGACTGATTCGCAGCGAAAGTGGATCCGGCAGGACTAGTCCCAATCGCTCCTACTCATCGATTAAAGGACTTGACGAGCCGCTGAAGAGTAGAACGAAAAGGGACCGAAGTTTGACCTTGCCTCGGAATCATGCGGCGCCTGCCCAGAGTATCGGTTCCCAGGAGGAGTCGATCAGAAGGCCTCGAGATTTTCCTCAAGCCATCCAAGTGTTTTGTATCTTCCATGGGGATCGTCATCTCCCCCGCGCATTTTCGAGCATTCCACCACGAAATCCGCCGCCTCCATCTGAGCCGTGATGACACCCCCTGCGGCCATGATGCGAAGTTTCCAATGGATTCCTACTTCGGTGGCCAAGAAAAACGTTTTGCCGGCGAATCCGAAGCCTGATTCCCTACAGAACGCTCTCTGATATCGCTCGTGGAGTTGCGGCAATATTTTCCCCGGTGCCCACGCGTTTGCATAGCTGGTGGCTTCGAGATTCATGTCTTCCATGATGTTCTTCAGCATGAGCTCTTTGACGTTCTGTGGAGGCAGAAAGGTTCCTCCCAAATGTCCTGTGCTCTCAGTTTCTCGGTCTCCCGTGAAAGCTAGCTAAATGAATCGCTTCCAGAGACGACTACACAATACTCACGCAATCGTAGGAGTCTCCGTAACGGTCGAAATCGTCTCGTAGTTTGAGTTTCGTCGAGTCGGTCATCCCCAAATAGTCTGCCGGCCATGGATCTCGTATACGGCGGGTATCGATGCACATTACGAGCCAGGACACCTACCGAGTGGATGCGGGACGTCGTCAGCAGCGCATATCAGTAGATCATGCTGATAACTGATAATGCTTCACGTCATCTTCCGCTTCAACCCCCAAGAACTCACCTTCGCAACGTCCCGTGTTTCGAGTATGGTCTTGATCCGGAATGAAAGCCTATCAGCAACAACCATGAACGTTGAAGGTCTGGGGAGAAGCACACAGGTTCCGCCGTGTCTCCTGACAGCCTTCTCCAGAGCACTGCGGACAGATTTCTCCGCGAATATGCAAAATTCTTTCCCGAGAAGAAAGTCGCTCTTCACTCGCTTCACTGGCGTGAGCTGAAAATGGAAGAGAAATTTAATCCTCCCGACCTCATGGTGTAGCAGCTTAATTCATGTGCTGCGAATAACTCGCGCACCGACAGCTTATCGGAGCATAGAGATGGATCTAACCTTCCTTTCCAATTGCACTTTGATTTTCCGCTGCGGACTCCTGCCTCTCCCAGACCTCACTTGCTCCTTTTTCGTCTCCAGGTCGATCTTCAAATCACCCGCAGTCATAGTTCCCTTGGTTTCCCTGTATAGTTTCGCAAGCTCCGAGTACCTCATGCAGTCCTTCCATGGTTTGTCAAATCTGAGGGCTGACACTCTCGGAAACCGCATGCTGCATTCGGTCATGAAAGATTTCGTTGGAACTAGCTCCGCCGCTTTGACCGTCAGAATCACCGAGCTTTTCGGCTCAATGATCACATTGGGACAGTTAGCCATGGAGGACATTTTTAGCCAAGTGGGACACTTATCCCGGTTGAATGGTTTCCAAGCGTCACCGGTCTTCCCCAAAAGGTCCTTCATGAAAGCTTCGGAAAGACCCGAATGAACTCGACCGAAGCTGTAAAAATATTTCGGAGGATCTGATGACGTCTCCGGATCCTCAGCGACGGCCACGAGGAGACTGTCGTAAATAATTGCGGTTTTTCCAGCGGCGTAGTATGCCCCGACTATGATCACGTCGAGATCTGCAACCCCTTCGTTCATATAGTCTCGCTTAAGCTTCAGCCATCCCGCATCGCGCTCGTTGGGAACATATGGCCCATCAGCTTTTTTGATAACGATTCCTTCCTCAAGATTCGAGGTTGCTTCGTTCATAAATTTCAAAGCTTCGTCCTTCGTTAGTCCGGAACGCGCAGCGGACAGTTGAACCCGTCCTTCGATTGGCGTCAATAAATTTTCGAGTACCCGCCGGCGTTCCAGCAGAGGCTTATCCGTGAAAACCTTCCCGTTGTAGTAAAGCAGATCGAATATCATGTAACAAGGCTGGTGTGACACGTCGTCGGTCTTGATCTTCTTGAGATCGCGACTTCGGCCTTTCGGAACGAATTTCTTGCTGATACCGTCGTACGACATCATTTCTCCGTCGAAGATACACGTTACGACATGAGGATCTATCGCGCGGCTCAAATAGCTACTCAAACTGTTGTCGTGTTGGCCCGAGGTTCCATATGTGGCACTGTATTCGTTGTAGCCTCGGGAATAATAGCTGAACTCGTTTTGATTCTTGTGGCATTGGACTCGTTCTCCGTCGAACTTGATTTCCATCAAGAATTCGGAGTGACCCATGTCGGACTCTAAGCTTGCGAGGTTCGAGCGAGCTGACAGCATGAAGCCGAAAGGCTTCCCGAGACCGATTTTCGGTCTGCTTACGACCAGCTCCGCGTCGTACAGAGTCATGCAGATGTCCTCTAAGTTCCGGTTGACTGAATACATCTCTTCTGCCATCGGATGGAGTGCGCCGAGAACCACAGACGTGCTCTTCCTGATATTCAATGAATGTCGAAGGATTATCCTTATGAGCCATTTGTGTTCCAAAGGATCGCAATGACTAAACAGGAACTTCAGTTGTGTTTGAGCTGCGTCCTTGCTCTTCGTCATTTCGTTGAGTATGTCATTGATTTTCTGTATAGAGAGCTCACTGCTCTTCATGTTGGATCTGTTCTTCAGAATTTCGAAGACGAGCGTTTCGAAACCTTTGCGGAAGCCGAATCGTTTGCCTGAGGGATCGGAACGCTTGAAATTCAAGATCTCTTGAGCCTTCCTGGTTTCTTGGCTGAGACCAGTCAGTCGGATGTATTCTCTGCCTATCATGGTCTCTTTCATGTGGTAAGCTCCTCGGACATTGTCCAGATTCGGAAGTAGGAGCCGTATGAGCTGGAAAAACATTGCGATGTGGAGATTAGGACATCGAGATCCCGGAGTTCATGTCCACTGATTCCTCAGAACACGAGACTTATTCCAAGCCACCGCTCACCTGGAATATATCTTCTCCTTTCTGCTGCGGCGTCAGGGTGATCTTCAGTACTTTCTCCAGTTGGGGCCACATATCCCGGTAACCATTGATGTACTTCACAAGCAATTCTTCTTTGACATGCTTCTGAGCTTTCGTCTGCCTACGGCTTTGCATAAGCTCAAGATGTTTGCAGAGTGCGGAGAATGGAGTGTTCCCGCTTACGGAAGGGGCGTACGGGGCACTCATGTCTCGCTGTGGCTGAGGAATACTTCTATCGGAGCCCTGCGCCCAGGTGTCAGCGGTGACTCTCTTTTCGCGGAACAGAGTTCCCTCTCAAGGATCGTTCAAGATCGAGAACAGAATCCAACCAGACCCGGCGTGGTGGATTTCACACGACGATTCCAGGATTTGACAGCGACAGCCGCTGCCGGATTTCAACCGTCTCGCCGTAGCATATTTCAATCGAGGATCGGAGCGCGTCGGAGCAAGAAACGTCTTTGGCGCTCCCGGGGGAGCATCTCTGAGACTATCGAGGTGGAGCCGTTCCTACAGATACAGACCCTCGAAGGCTCCGCGAAAGGATACCGATATCTTTGAGCTCGAGACCTCGCCGCGCGCGTGGATATTTCCCTCCGACTCGCATCGTCTGCTTTTGTTTTGGATACGGAGCGAGAGTGAGTGCGAGAGCTGGTGAGACACCTGTGTTTGTATCAACGTCGAGAAGCCGCGCCGCGCGCCGGTAATTCTATGCGTCGTGGTGGCCGGTGACTAGTGAAGACACCAACTCGTTTGAGATTTCCGGAGTTTCGGTGAATAAGATTCTCGAATCATCAAGCCACGGTTTCTCACTTGCGGGACGCTTGACAGTGTCAGGTCCCTGGTAGATTGGGACTAAGGCAGGGAGTTTCGGGAAGTGATGAGTTGGGAAAAATGAAACAGGCAGACTCGGGAAAATACATTCAATGAACATCCGAATGACATTTAGTTTATTTACGAAGAATGCGGTTAAACAGTTTTAAGAGTTCCCGAATAGATCCGCCTCCCTGGAAACTGAGTTCCCCAAGGGCTCCACTCTGGAAGACCCCGCCAGGGATAAGTCTTGCATTTCCCCTTTGAACCTCCGCCGAGATCAGCTGCTTGATGAAGGCAGCCGCCCGTCGATTACCATCCGAATTGCTGAAACAATGATCATTCTTTCAGCAAGAGTCTAACATTGGGCGAGCGATATTTGGAGGCTTCCTGTTTCGCTGCATGATTCAAATCCGAATCCGTCATCACTACGCGCAGAATCATCTCTTCTCCTGCCCGTTCAAATCTACCTCTTAAACCCCTCGAATAATAGTTGCCTCATGAGAGGAAATCTTCAATCTTCATCCCGAAAAAGGGACAATCTACGCGCAGAAATAGCAAGCGGATACTTCTATTCATGTTATTGACCCGTCCCGTGGGATTAATTTAATACTCCAACCACAATTTCCGTGGTAGGCAGCACTCGGGTTTTGATCATCCATGTAGGTACGATCGCTCAGAGAAAACTGGCTGAGGAGGAAACCGATCGAAGCCTGGGCTCGTGCTCGTGCCGATGCGAGACTTCGTGCCAGGAATAGAAATCGCGCGGAAATTCGATTCGCAGTCGGAATCGCTGCCTTTTACTCATTGTCAGAAATTCCGGACATCTTTTGGAGTTCACTCAGAGGTGTGACGAAGTCTTTATCATGACGGAATCCCCGGCGTTCATCTCGGTCCCGGGAGGAGTAGAGAGCCTGCTGGTTTCGATCGACACATTGTCTTTCGTTTCTGGGGGAAAGACGGACTCAGGGTTGCAACCCAGCTTCCGGAGAAGGTCCTCGAGAAGCATCCCGAGATATCTGGAGCATTCCACTTGGAAGTTGTGTCAGAAGTAGGATCATCGAGTGGCATCCCGGACATGTTCTTGTGGGAGAAGGAAATAAGGAAGAGCCGCGCTCTTGACTCTTCTGCCGACGATGTCCGCAAAGTGAATGGGGGAGTGAACGTGGACGTGGATCTGTGCCATCGGTCTATGGTACGGCTTTCTGGCCCGCATGGCACTCGCGTAATGTGCTGTGATATGCATCCGCTTTAAACTTGGGCTGTCGTAAATGCGGGGATCGATGCAGATGCGAGAGACGGGGATTGGCTTTTTTTCTAGTCATCGATCAACTGGGAAGTAGTGGGAACGGTCTCCAACGAAGTCTGAATGGGAGAGTTCGGTGAGCACGACAGCATCGATCAACATTCAGGCATCATCACTACATGCATCCATTTTCTATATGTAGCTGATGCGGCGCAAGAAATTTCTGACGGGAACTTCAGAGCGTCGCGCGAGTCTCCAATTATTGCTCTGTTTTCATGTCAGAAAGCTCGTCTTCTGTCCAGAAACTTTTCGGAGTGTATGTACTATCATATCTCCCAAAACGAGGCATTTCCTTTCTCTTGTCGGTCTTTCGCTCGCAACCGATAGATGTCCGCTTTCGGAATTCGTGCTGCTCAAAGGCTCAATCATGGATTTTCAAGTCTTCTACCAACCGGTCGACAGATTGAGTGTTCTCCACTCCCGATGCGCGAGACCGCGGCCGTGCTCTAGACGCAAACGATCCAATCGACGGGGAACCCCGATTCGGTCACGGCCCACGAGTTTAGGCTCGGTGCAGGTGGCAGGTAAGTTCAAGCGGTAGAATTGTCGCGCACTTCGAAGATGTTACCAGCATTGAATTCACCAACGTCAGGATAAAGATAAGAAGTTCGCCGAGAAGCGAACCGAAAGCAAGGAGGCCGGAAGTTGTTCGTCTTCGTCAATTCAGAACACCGTGACTTGACTCGGCACAACAATTTACAAGCTGGAGCACGATCTCGTGCTCAAGACTTGGCTCCCCGCAAGGAATTAGGTAGTTGCACGGGCTTGGGCCCACAGCAGGCACGTAACTAAGTTGTTGACCTGCTAAGTATGCCAATGAACAGCTCGTCATGCAAAAATATTCATCCTCTGTCCAGTGGCGTGCTCAGGGGGAGGGAAGAAGGCCATGGACCTCCCCGATGACCTGAGTTTCATACCGCCTCGAACTCAGAGATCGTATTAATGCATGCTATGTGTTCCGAGGATCCTACTGAAACAAATGCTCCGCGAGGGACGTGTACTCTGAATCGAATTCTATCCGAATGACGAGAGGGGGGCGGTCGGTTCCCCACTTTCTCTTCATCACGCGCTAGAAGTTCGTCTGCTAGAAGCAGCGGGGCGACCACAGCGCCCCTAGTGCACACTCAAGTAAAACTCTCTCTATACGTCTCTGCTGCTGCCACACGGCGGCGGCTGCTACCGCTGCCACAATCGTAAACAACACAACCACCACCTCAAAGTCACGTTAAAACGCGCACTAGCAGAGCCGCTGTGTAGAGAGTGCCAGAAGCAGCACCGCCGGCGACAGCTACAACCACAAGAGGACGGCGACAATAGCAGCGAAATTACACCGATGGTCGGCGATGGTGACGACGACAGGCATGAACACCGCGACAGCTGAAAGGAGGAAACCAGAGGAGAAAAAGGGAGAAGGCTGTCTGTTCGTCGTCTGCCGCCGTCTTCCTTCTGCTGCTGCTGATAGTCCAACTGACTGACTACCTACGATTGACGGCTGCCTTGACGTATCGGAGCCTGACCGAGACTTCGGGCTCAGTGTGGACGGCCGTCGAGGATACACTGGCTGGAGCGAGCTCAAGATTGAGTGGCAGCAGCAGCAGCAGTAGCACCATCATCCCCACCGTCAACAATCGCTGCTGCATCAATTATGGCAGCAGTGCAATTTGAAACCAATTAGTCAACTCGAGCCGAGTTCAGTAAGGGGCAGCAACGATATCTGTTCGACGGAATAAGAACGGGACGAAATAAGATGACTAAGTTCAGCGTCGAGGGAACTCTCATAACGTGAATCTGTGAACGATCCTTCTCATCCGCGACGATAGCATCGTGAACAGCAACGACTGCAATAACAGCACCACCAGAATCAAAAGCTGTGGCCATTCAGGTGTTTTCCTGTTGCGTAGTGCGAACGTACTTCAATTTCATGCTGTTCCTGACCCGAGAGGCAACGCATGAAGCGACCCACGAAACGCTGCTTCCGATGAGAATCCTCCCATAGGCAACGACATTTCGAACTACTGCACTCACAGAAGAAGCATGAACGACCACCGAAAGGTCTGCCGACGAGAAGCAGCTCGATCCCTTCCGAATCATCGGAGAGACGATTTTGACACCAGAGGGTGATCGGATCCTCGGTTCGAAGTGGCGTTGTGGTCTCTTCCAAAGAGCTCAACCTTTCGAAATCCCATCGCGCTCGTGGAACGTGGGCAAACCAGAAACTCTCGGGCCCCGTCCTCGGACATCGAGTGTTCGTCACACGAGTGCGCTTTTTGGATATACCGCGAGGGGATACTGAAGCATCAGCCTACTACGTCGGATGTGTTCGGATCACAGTTTTCAAGTCTGTGTTTGGCTCTACGTTCTGCGGAGATCGTCAAGAACAACGTGATCAGTGCGTACGGGTGGAACTGTGACGGCATCGACAACAGCTGCGGTCTACTCTCCCGGACATCATGGAAACGTCTTCTCCCTCATGCTCTCCAAAGTTGAACAGGAACACTAAGGAATCCTGCACCGGATCCTGCTGCGTCTCTAGCAAGTGTAGCAAGAATAAGAGCGCGCTAGACAAAATGAGGATTATCGAAAACTCGACCCACAGTGACACCGTTTTCTGCTACACTTTCAATAGCGATATTGCTTGCAACAACGGCCGCATCATCAGCAACTACCGCAAAGACGTGTTCACCGGTCTGAGTAGTGCTGGGAGAATCTTCGCAAAGGTTCGTACGTCCACGACGTCAGCTTCATTTGTGATAGTTCCCTACCATGATCGGCTCCGATTCCGTATCAAGCCTGTCGATCCATTCGGAAAGTCTATCAGTCGGTGATACATCAGGGACACTGATCGAGCAAACTCGAATCTCACGCCGTTGGACGGATTGAACAGCTGTTCGACTTGCGTTACATGTCACATTCGTCAAAGAGACGGCTCCTGAACGTCATTACCGCGTAGCGAAAACAAGACCAATGACGTCCGGCCGAGGGGTACATTAGGAAAATAGTTTTTTTTTAACAATAATCGCTTACTGAAGATACATTTACTGAATGTCTGTCTCCGCCCAGTGCGACTCGAGACTCGCGATCTGTTGCCCATGCGCAACATTATCATCATTTTTCGTCGTCCAATTCGTAGCATCAATCATAATCATCATCGTCATCAGCGGCATGCGCGCGATGCGCGTTTGAGGAGGCAGCAGCGTTCGAAAGGAGCGAACGAGCCCAATGTTCGACTGCGCTCGATTTCACCTATGAATTGCTTTTGTTTGTGAATCCGGTGTGATATCTACCCGCAGAGCGTCCGACATCGAGTCGCTCGACTAGCAGTGATTCATTTCACCTTAGTACTGACCGACTATCGGGCTATTTGAGCTTTGTTTCGTGTGACTGACTGTCGCTCATCGTCGGTCAGACTTCGATTGCCGGTAAATGTTGCTGCTGGACGCGTCTTGATAGGAGCTTTTTGTCGGAACCTATCGGGTCTTTTCTTGATTTCTGTTTTTGCTCCCTGTCGTCGACGCTTGGCATGTTGACGCCGCTGCCTCCAACGTTACCATCAACGTTAGAACCCACGTCGCCCGGCCGTTCTCAAGCTCCGCCGTGACGGACATCGCTCTTGATTGATGAGGTTCAAAAAGGTTGTGATGAATGAGCGTCATGATGCTCTTTTAAGCTCCAATTTGTGGTGAGTTCTCTTTCCGATGGGGAGCCCTGTAGTTAATTATGGCACTGTCTGGTTTCAGTCAGTTATTGTCCTAGACGCTCGAATCCGAGGGAAAGGAATGGTGACAGTGCCACGAATCTGGGATCGATTCGTCGATTCGGCAGCAGTTAATGAGACCAATTCAACGGCGTTGCCTGAGACGCTTTAGGGTAATCGATCTTCACACTGCGGTAGTGATGATGCCGTAGCTCGTTGCGTACAAGTTGCCGAGTCGGTCCTCCCAGCATTTGTCATGTGATATTCATGTGCTGTTTTTTTTATGACTGCGCTGAAATCGCGATATTGTTCACGAGCTCGGCATAGCCTTCGTCCGGAAGAGGATTGAACATCGATGCGAGTAGAACAAAATTCGTAATCAGCTCGAGTCCCCCAAGAATCCAGCGAATCGGAACTCGAAGGAGTCTCAGAGCCCAAAGAACATTGGGTTCGCTTGCGGATGTTCCTCTTCCGAGGGCAGATACACGCGAGATAGTGAAAGATTGGACCACGGCGGTTCGAGGAATGAGCCCAGGGGCGCCGGCCGCTGAAGCCGCCTCGCGGAGCTCTCTGAGTCAGCCGGGATTCCCGCAATCGTGATCTTCCTCGCAATGATTAAAATGACGCCAGAACTCCTTCTGAGATCGCAAACAGGCTCGCCAATGCAGCTGTCAGACGCCACGATGAATCCTCACTAGAAATGATTGCGCACATAATTCTTTGTGAGATCCTCTGATCCTAGCGATGAAATAGCGAGCGGCGACCAGTACCCAGGAAGATGGCAGCATTCTTTGCGCATGCACCTACGATGTCGTCGTTGGCAGTATCTCGTTAGGGCCATCGTAAACGGCGGTGGAGCGGCTGACAAGAGAGTTTTTCGGAGAACATTGAACTTGGAAGTCACTGAGCTGCCTTGCTCCCTCCGTTTTGGCTTCGATTACGCGTGTCATGCTCGAGTATTCCCCTCCAAAACACATTTACGCTGTCGATACATCCTCGTAGTGGGATCTATGTACATGCAGGAATCGTGGTAGGAGTTTTCTGTTTAGGCCGACTCCTTCTCTCCCACCCGTTCAACGAAGCCATTCGCTTGATTGATTGCGAGGAAAAACGTTTGAGTACAGCGTGGGACTATGGAGAGGGACGGAGAAAAGTCTCCTGTGCCTCCTCCGAGGAACAAGTCCCCATCGTTCCGAGCTATGACTCATGCTCAGCCATGACCGCTGCGTACAGCGTTTTCTCCGTGTAGTATTTGATTTGCCAACTAAGTGACTCGGTCGGTTCGTTTACTTCGAGACCATCTCGCGGTGAAAGTGGCGGTGACAGTGATGATCGTGGAGGGGCTGGCTGGGTGCTTGGCTTAGCGACCGGCTCGTTGGAGTGACGCGTTGCCCGGAGAGCGGACGTGTGACCGGTGTCGCAGACTCGCACATTGTGTCGGAAAGGCGTCTTGTACTAGTATAAGATTATGGAATAGAATCTGACGGGAGCTCCAATTCGCGCTCGTAGATCCGGAACGAGAGCTCTCGACGCACGATTCTGGGACGTGAAGTGAATCTGACAGCCGCCATCGGGACAGAAAGTTGACATGTGCTCCGAGTACAGGACCGGGGTTTGCAACCATTCGCCTGCCTTCGCTCGATTCCATTCCATTATGTTGAATACAATGGTTCCTGGAACGCTCCAACGAAAATCTACCTAATTGCTCGAAACTATGCGAGCAGAGTCCTGCAAGTGCTGGACGGGCGCCGAGACGACCTTGCACCGCTGCTCTATAAACTCTCAACCCTCGAGACTCGAGACCCTTCGCTTTCCCCCGCTGTGCATCACCACATGTACGCTGACCACTCAATGGCTGGCTCTCGCATGCCTCTTCCGGTCTGGATAGGGAGAGTACCTAATTTCTCTTATTAGTTGAAGACCCAAATATTATTAGCAGCGGTATGGAGTAATGTTAACACAATGGATGTCTCTCTGAACCTTGACCTATGTCATTCTTCCGTTTCCAATGGGCTTTTTATGATGCTCTACGTTTGGAGCCGAATGCCAAGGTCATGATAATTTGAGCTCTTCTCGCGTCTCACGCTCACCCCAGGCGGAGCTGAATCAAAGATCGATATGCGGATAGCGCGATTATGGACCGCTCTCCCCAACTCTGCGATCGGGATTCCAAGCTCTAGGTCATTATTATCGAGGTTCCGGGACCCTCGACGAAAGAATGCGGTGAGAAAATCGAATTCATTCGACGGAGTGATTGATCACATTTTCGAAAGATTCTTCATGCCGACCACTGGTTTGGGTACGGATGCGCGATATACTTATACCTTGCAATGCGAACAACGAGGAATATCTCGGGCCGATTGAAGGTAGATGCTCCGGATCCGTGACCCGATGCTGATACAGAGCAGACGTGATCACCGTCGAACACGCCCTTCGGAGAGCCGTTAGGCCATTGACGATTCGGATCGTCTTCGATTTGGAGAGACAGACTGAGTGTTCCTGGCCGTGAGCTCGTATGCGTACGCAGCGAAACGCGGTGCAAACAGGAGAAGGTCGTGCTGCTGCGACGCGATTCTTGCACTGGAGCCGCGCACAAAGGCGCCGTTCGAATCAGTTCTCAACGGAATGTATTCTCATGATGAGCCTCGCTCGAAGCCCGACGGTCTTCTGGGTAGGTGTAGGAGGGCTGATGCTGCAGCTGTGACACGGAACGCGTGCCTCTAGGATGTGCCAATCCAGCTCCTAAAACACCGCACCGAGCTGCCTCGGCCTGATCTGAAATTAGGGTCACTCTCGCGCTCGCATGGTTTCCTGATCTGGCGATGGGAGTTTTCGATGGATGTGCTCTCACTAGTCACCGGCTCAGGAGCGCGCCACACTGGCCGAGGTCGAGCTAAAAAGACTCCAAAACTATGAGTCGAACACATTCTGGAATGAATCACCATCAATCGAACTTTCTCGCGAAAGGACGATCGGTTTTGCCCTGAAGAGATAGGGGAATACGATACTGGAAATACGAATGAACGATAGGGGTAGTCTAGGTGCGGCAGAGGGGAGGGGCTATTCCCTCATGCATGTATATGCGTGGTCGCCTCCGTCTGAACGACCTGAGCTGCTCTATTCAATCTGGCCGCTTCCATACTCTGATACCGGAGGGAAAAGATATTTTGTCTCAAGTGCCTCTCTGACGTCATATCACGTGGACTAACTGGTCGGGCCCTCCCCTGCTGTATGTATGGCCTTCTTTGATGCCCGCTGATACTAGCGGCGGTCTGTCGTCGTCATGGTCGTCGTTTTCGTAGTTTGAGTTCCCCTTCCCTTGACAGACTCGGGTTTGGCCTGTCTTTGCTCATAGGCCTGCTCTGAGAGGTCGTCGCAGTTGTCATCGGTGCTCAGAGGAGAGAGTAGTCGAAAGTGAAGTGACTAAATCAGAGTAAACAGTACGCAATGAGAGTTCTTCCGAAGCGGCAAATCGTGTACTTCGGTGTGGTGTCACTTTTCTCGTGAAGCATGCCTACCAGACACAGGCGTCAAACGGCAGCAGCAGCAGCCACAGCAGCGAACATCATGAGGTGTTTCCCCTCGAGCAGCCGTAGCTCTCAGCTGGCGAAGCTTCTCACGCTTCCTCCGTTCTTGTTGCAGATGGAAACTGAAAGTCATAGTCGAGTCAGTGTAACGCGCTGATTCTGTCGTCGAACATCGACAGCAGCCCATAGCCATCTTTGTGAGCAGATGAGTTCGTATATATGTGACACCGCCGCAAGCCCGTCGCTTTCCGTCGTCCACCTCTAGCGTGAGAAAAATACTGTGGAAACTCGTCAGCTATCTCCCGCCTTTGTGAAGAACTCTCCATGAGGCGGTGATCCTTGACCACCACGCAAGCATCATCATCATTATCATCGGTTCTTCCGCAGCAGAAGCAGCATCGAGGAGTTCGTCGACAAGCCATAAAACTTCGTCATCGAGGATGAATCGGCGATCGCCCGACAGGGAGGCACGAACGCCTGAAAAAGAGGCGACGTCGCCCCCTCCTCCGCCACCCCCTCCTGCCCGGAGTTCTCTCAGGAGTAACGAAAGAAGTTCCGAGAGCCACCCGCGTAAGAGGGTCTCGATCCTCCGCCCGCAGAGGACCTCCTTGGTTGGAGTATCTGCACCGAAACCCCCTCCACGAAGGCTGGTCTCCTCGCAGGAACGAAGGCGGGAAACGACTCCCTGCAGCGACGCGAGAAGTCCGACGTCTCCTGAGAAGAAAAGAACCTCTTGCAGTGCGCGCTTGCTTGTTGGCCAGACCGACAACCATCGTCAATCTCCGAGTGGAGGAGGCTCGAACACCTCATCCTCATCAACAGCGACTTCATCGGCTACCACAGTAGCAGCTGCAGGTGGAATAGCCGCAACGGCAGCAGCCGCGAGAGCCGGGTCGGAATCATCCTGTGCTACCTTTGCGCAATCAACAGCACAAGCGGCTAGCGATGCGCTATCTCCCAAGAAGGTCCGTATAAACGAGGACATTACTGAGTGCAGTCCAGATAACAGAATTAATGGACCGGCTGTTTTCAATCACGAACAGAACGCTCAAGCTGAAGACGGCGTTGAAACAACAGACGCAGCCGTCCTTCTCGCAAAGTCAAACGGCGACAACAGGTTAGTTTCCCCGATCGTGAATATGGAAAAAGATGTTCCCCGTGTGCATTCGGCCCGCTTGCGATGAAATCGAAGCTCTATAGGAGAATCCGTGGAGTTCATGCTATTCGAATGGTCTCATCGAATTGTTGAAGCCGATGGGCGCTGTGCGATTGATCGGATGGTGCTTCGTTTCCCACTCATTGATCATTATCATTGATGTCCATTGAGCAAGGGAGTTCAAGTTCTCGTGTGATACGGAAGCCTCTGAGTCATTGCTCATCGGCAGGTCGAGTTGGCTCGACGGATGAGAGGAACGCGGTCCTCGATCGATATTGAGGCATTTTTCTTCGTGAGTTCAACATGCTCTCTGTCGGCCTCTCTCTCGATGAGCAAGGGTTCTCATGATTGACTTGATCTCACCGATCAATGCTTCTCTCCCCTGATATATTAATGAGCGCGGAACCGGAGGCGCTCCACTTGCATATTCTGACAGTCTCAGTAACTTCACTCGTTGGCGGAGACTTGAGTCTCGTCTTCTCCGAAAGTTCTTGGTACCTTCAACACTTATCAATTCTAGTCATTCCAAGTTTGATCGAGAATTTTCAAAGCTCGGATCATGATTACCAGACGACGAAGGAGAGGGTCGAGAAAGACCTGTACCTAAGTCTTTCGGAGATCGCGGTAGTCATTCGGAGCTCGAAGTTTAACAAGAACACTGCACTCACGTGTTATTGTTGCTGGTGCCGGGCTTATAGCGGCAAGACTGTTCGCTCGTTCCGCTAGTGGATCTCTTGCGCAATGTACGCATCTCCGATGGCGATCCGAGAGCCCGCAAGAGCAAAGCCGAAGATTAGGAAGTGGTAAGAGGAAATCATCTTGTATAGAGTGAGAATACACGCGGTATTCGAAAGCAGCCGATTACCGTTCTCTTCGTGTACGAGCAGCTTGCCCGAATCTCGGCAGCAGGGCTTCGAGCGGATCCCTTGAAGCTCGTTCAGAACTTGCTGCGACGAATGGGTTTTGGTTCGAGTGTTCGACAAGGAGTTGTTCCTCCGTCCAGTGAACGCCGAGCACCTGGAGAACCTCGAGGATGCATTCTTCGAGATTCAAGAACTTCCAGCAAGTTGCTAGTTGCCATGATCAGTCATTGTGTGGGAATCCGGAACTTAAGCAGGGAATCTCACATTTTTGATTGTGTGTTTCTCCAGGGAAAAACTGGGCATGTTGGTCGACGAGGAGCACGGTGTGTTGGACCTCCAACTCCCGACTATCCAGAACATTTCCTTGATCGACGAAGATGTCAATGTCAAGGCCAGGGCAACGTCGCCCGATGGGAGATTTTTAAAATTCGAGGAAGAAATCGGTAAGTTGCTCTCGAATCACCGAGCCGACGGAAGTCGATCGTTGGGATTCGGAATTATTCTTTACTCGCATCGAGAGCTCTTCAGCCTATGATCGCTTGAGAATAATCGGAGAGTTGAGCGCTCAGATCGACGATCAATTTTTCAGGTCGCGGTAGCTTCAAAACAGTCTATAAAGGCTTGGATATATCAACCGGAGTTTCTGTGGCTTGGTGCGAGCTCCAGGAACGGCTCAATAAAGCCGAACGACAACGTTTCAAAGAGGAAGTGAGTAAATTGATGCTTTCACGGCGGGATTCAATTTCGCAATGTCTCCTATCGACACCGTGCCGAAAACCCGTGGGCCTCGAGCGCACACCTAGAATTGAACATTCTCTTCATCCCGTAGGCTGAAATGTTGAAAGGACTTCAACATCCGAATATCGTCAGATTTTTCGACAGCTGGGAAGACACCACACCGAACAAGCGGAAGATTCTGGTGCTCATAACAGAGCTCATGACATCGGGCACCCTAAAGACGTATCTTAGAAGATTTAAGAAGATTAATACCAAAGTACTGAAGAGTTGGTGTCGCCAAATCCTGAAAGGTCTCATGTTCCTCCACTCGAGACAACCGCCGATCATCCATCGGGATCTGAAATGCGACAACATTTTCATAACCGGTATGTCATCGAGGGGATGGATTCGCGCGCGATTTCGTTATACGAGATTCCAATGAACGTGTCTCGTGACAGAGATATCGAAGAAAAGACATTCAAGCGTTGCACCAGGGTGGAGGAGACCTCACGCTTCATTCTGATGGGCCGGAATTTTCCAGGAACCACCGGAGCAGTGAAGATTGGAGACCTCGGTCTCGCGACTTTGAAAAACCGAAGTTTCGCAAAATCAGTCATCGGAACACCCGAATTCATGGCCCCGGAAATGTACGAGGAACATTACGACGAAGCCGTCGATGTTTACGCTTTTGGTGAGTCTTTCCACCTGTACGCTCGTTGAAAGTGTCTCAAGATCGCCTCCGCTCCGATGGAGTTTCTAGAATAGATCCTTTGCGGATAGCGTTTTTCCAGAACGACAGTATCTCCCTGTCTCAATGAGGGTACGATACGGCTCACGACAATATTCCGAGTTGACAGCGCGATATTGAGTCACTCAGTCTTTCATAAGTGATGAAGTCCACGGACTGTGTTATCTGATAGGGGCCCCTCCCCTTTGCATTGGCGATAAGCGCATTTCGGACCGACCGAGTCGCGCAGCATCGAATTCAAAGCTCAAGTACGCTGGACGAGATGTGGCTCAGGCGACCGATTGATGAAACCTTCCCTGAGGCTTGGGCTGCGCACCGGGTTAAATGCGCCGAGAGCCGACTGCGTATTCTTAACCAGGGGAAGAAGATTTTGCATCTCCGCCGACGACTTCTCCGGAGACAGTGTTATTCGACATCACGGCGCCACTTCGGAAAGAATGCTTTTTACGACTCAAAAAACTTTCGTTTGGCGATCCGGAAATCCCTTTTTACTCCGGCGAAGAAAATACTCGGGGCTTCCCGGTGTGACTCTGCTCCGCAACCCCCTTGATTCCTCGGGAGATTCCGAGTGTTCCGCATTCTTTTCGAGTTTACATAGCTGGGCGTTAGCGACTCCGGACCATGAGCGTTAATCTATTCCGCAGGTATGTGTATGCTGGAGATGGCAACGTCAGAGTACCCGTACGCCGAATGTTCGGGACCTGCTCAAATCTACAAGAAAGTCACTAACGGAACCAGGCCTCAGTGCTTCGACAAAGTAAGTGGCTCTTGAGATTTTGAGAATCGCGCAGATGGAAACGTTTCCTAGCGACAACAAAGCTCCTAATTGATGCTAGAGACAGCCTCCATGATCGACTGGTCAACAGACAAGCCGTCGGCGTCGTGAGCGTCCCGTCGACTCGATCGGGAGATGTGCAGTGCTTGTAGCTGCCGTGGCGATTTCTGCCGCGAGCTCTGAAGGCATTGGATGATCGTCGAACCAACTGTTCATTTCGGCCGAATTATCCTCCCATCAATCGTCCATGTGTCGATTTTGAGATCCGACGCGAGGCTCTCATTTTCACCTACCGATGCCACAAGCGTCGACGGTGCTTCCGGAATTCCTCGAGGAACCCCGATAGATTCCCCGTCCGAACAGGCATAGATGCTCATATTCTAATTGAAAAGCTTCGCAACCAGAATGACTATTGAGGATGATGAGGAGTGTCCTCTCCCGGCCTCTCGCTACTCCGCTGAGATAGCTCGAAGCTACTGTCGGCGCCTGTACGACTAAAACGAGAGACAAACGAGAAACCTATTCATTAGGTAAACGCCTGCACCTGTGGCGCGCAATAATTAAAGACCTGATGCTCGGCGCAGAGACTGCGGCTCATTGAGCGGAGACGGATCGTTTCTATGTAATCTCCAATTCATCAAGTCGATACTTCAGTAGAGGAATCCCTTTTTTCCGGAGTTACTCGGTGAAATTACTTTTCTATACTCTGATTGCAGAGCTGAGTAGTTTCAAAACTGTGAACAAGGTAGCATTCGATTTGTCAGTGGGTTCGCTCGCCAGACAGCCCTGATGGTCTTACCTTCGTAGCTCGCGCCTCGGGCCACTCTGAATGCCGGGTGAAACTCGAGCTGTCTCTGAGTCTACATCAGGCGCTATGTGGGTCTAACGATGTGCTTTGATTCTGCGTTTCAGGTAGAATCTCCGGAACTCAAGGATATTATAGGACAATGTATTAGGCTGAATAAGGAAGAAAGACCGACTATCAAGGAGTTGCTTCAGGTCGATTTCTTCCAAGACGATCTTGGCATAAAGGTTCGACGAAGTGGAAGCCTCAATTTTTTTCTACTTAAGAGGGGCTAAACTCGCTCATGCATTCGTGATTTGGCCTCGCGACCTGCCGGGTGGCTCGCCTCGTCTCTGCCCTACATGCTTCATGCATTTTTATTGATCCGATTTTTGACAGGTGGAATTTTGCGATCGGGAGAAGACGCTTGGTTCGACGGACGCTAAACTGGATATGAGGCTCCGGATACTCGATCCGAAGAAACGCAAAGATAAACATAAAGAAAATGAAGCCATCCAGTTCGATTTCGACATGAATATCGACAATGCGGATGAAGTTGCCAAAGCCATGTCCACTCTGACGGGTCGGTTGATTATTATTAATTTAATGAGCTCTGCAGCCGAGGAAGTCCCACTCGAGATCCTAGAAGCTGGTCGCATCGAGCGAAAATTATTCCTGCCGAGAGACGCTCGAATCCTGATTGGTCAATTTCACGTTTCAGGTATCATCGGCGAGGAAGACATTCGCTTAGTGTCGATGCTGATAAGGAATCAAGTTGCTTCCATGGTTCGGGACCGTCAACATTTTCAGACAAAACCCTTGACGGCCGCCCCGGTGGCGGTGATAAACCAAACGCACGTTGCAGACGAAGCTCATCCGGCAACTTTGACAACGATACCGAGCCAACAAAATCATGTCGCCAATGGTCAGGGAGGTCAGCCAATTATGGCTTCTCAATCGGCTGCGCCAACAATCACGAACATCCAGTTGCAACATGTGAGTAGAAAGCCATATACCCGGTTAGCATTTTCTATGCCGCTTCGACAAAACTAAGGAGGATGTGTACGCAGCTCTCGTCAACTGTCAATCAGATGATCGTCGTGCAGCCTGGCCCAGCCTTCCAGGGCGGACCGGGCTCGCTCCCGTGCACTCTTTCATACATTCATTGTCACACGGGACTGATCTCTGTCTCGTTCGCTGTCGCTCGTGGGCTCTGAGGAGTGTGGGCAGCGAGCTCGGTAGCTAACGAGAGCGTTCGACCGTCAAAACACTATTTCCATTCGGGGCGTCAACGTTGTTGCTCACGCCTCCCTCAGAGTCGAGAACCATTGTGAGAATGCAAACTTCCATGACGTTTGATGATGTAACGCGCGGGAATGACCTCGACAATAACTATCGAAGCGTTCTGTTCGAAAAAGCAGTGATCTACCCCACTCCACCTTCGCATGCGGAATATTCCCGCCAGAATCGCTCAGGCATCGTCCTCATTAATAAACTCGCTTGCTCCACTGTGATTATCGGAACGGGATTCTAAAAATATTTTTGTCTCCCTTGAAGGACGAAAACAAGGTTTTAGAGACGATGGGTGCTCAAGGTCTCGCGACCCCAACCGTTCATCAGCTGACGCCGCGAGATACGACAAACACGAATTACAACGAGGTTTCCATGCACTTGGCTCTGGATCCTAGCTCTGGAATCGCGATGTCTTCAGCGACACCGAATCAGAACCAGAGTTCCAACCTGACCGCTCAAGAACAACAGGACGAGGTGAATACACCTTCCGAGGAACTTTGATGGGAGTTAGAAGGGGCCAATCGGGCATTTGAATAATTCTACATTTTTTGCTTGCTTGTTGCAGGAGATTTTCATGGCGATGCCGGAACTACCCGGGGGCATTCCCGTCCCAATCGGGAACTCAACGCACCAGCAGCAGAGCCAGCAACAAAGTCAGCAACAACAGCAGCAGCAACAACAACAACAGCAGCAGGCTCATCCACCTCTGAGCAGTCGTCAGCAAAATGTATTCCTTTCGTTACAACTGCACGACGACTCGTGCATCGATTCGGCGAGCGAGAACTCTGATCTTCCGGATCGACCTCGCCGCAAATCGAAGCGGAAACGCAACGGCGTGGAGGACAGAACGCCGTTCCTCAAAGTGATTTCTCTCGAAGGCAACATTGTCGAAGTCCTCTTCGACGCACCAAATCTCAAGCTGGTGACGTTCAAGTTCGACTTCACGGAATACGATTCGTCGATAGACATCGCAAACAATCTCGTCATTGAGAAGCATCTTGCCGAAGAGCATTTGGACGCGTTCGCCCAACAGTTGGATGACATCATTGGTCAACTCAAAGAGAATCCAACCCAGATGCCACAAACGAAGTATCCGGATTTGGACGAAAGCGACTCCGAGGTCGCTGAAAGCAATTTGGCTTCGCCCACGAGACGAGAGCGCTCGGCAGCTTTGGAATCCTCACAGGCATCACGGCTCGCATCGCCCGATCGATCGAAAGTGGATTCGATCAACGACACTCGCGAGCCATCAGAGAGCCAAGCCAATCCATCGGGGTGCACTTTGGATCGAAGCTCGATACCCACGTCCGAACTGGCCAGTCTAGCGGCGACTCCTGCCGTGCCCGCGCAGAATATCGCGGCGCCGACAGCTCCCCTAGCACAAATCCTCAGCGATACAGCTCGAAATCATTTGCAACTTAAGCTCGCAGAATTAAAACTCGCCGAAAACCAGCAGGCGGCGCCATCTCCCGATGTTGCCGCGCAGGAACACCTCGTCGTCGAGCACGTGATCCAGGACACGCCGCCAAACGGACTGGAGGGACGTGCGGCTGGCCAACAACAGCTGCCTCAACAAGCCGAAAAAGTGCATCCTGTCACTCCGGCGGTGCCAGCGATAGAAAGCAACAAGACCAAAGAGAAAACAACCGGAATCGAACTCCAACAGGGTCTCCAGGCCATTTTCCATCCTCAGACTCAGCCGAGCAGCCCACCCAACGAAACAATCGTAACAACGAGTTCTGTTTGCATTACGCCATCGATAGTCGATGGACCTGTAACTCCGGCCGATAATGGTCTTCGTCAGGCATCCGAAGAGACCCTCGTGGCCGCCCCGGCCGCCACGATCGCCTCTGTGGAGACGCCCGCGACAGTGCCTGAAGTTGCCGCCACGAGCCCCGCAGCCGATCCGAATGTCGATCCGCAGCCTAAGAAATTGTCTCGATTCCAAGTTACGAAGGTCGCCGAAGATCTGGCTCCCGCTCCGGAGAACGAGCCGGCTTTGTCGACCGTTTCGCTGCTCTCGGAACCGATAACGGGTGCTCCAGGTCTATCCGGTTCCTCTATGAGGCAATCGAGCTCTCTACATCAGCAACCGCAACAGACTCAACAGCAAGTACAACAACAGCAGCAGCAGCAGCAGCAACAACAACAACAATGCACAATAAGCGAAAAAGTCAATCGTTTCGTGGTGTCTCGCGTCGAGGACAATCAGATGATCGATTCGGCGCTCGACAAAACTTCGGTGTACACGACCGAAAACTCGCTGAATTGTAATCAGCACTCGCTCTATTCTCTGATCGATTGTGAGCCCTCCGGCGAACAGAACCCCGCGCTAAGTCCGTCGCAGCGAATCGCCTACCTTTTTAGTAGACAGCGCAGGGAGCTGGACAATTTGCAACACAGACACAAACAGGAGTTGGCGGAGCTTTGTGCCGCTTTGAACCCGGAACTGGCCGCGCTTTCCGCAGCCGCGGCCGTGGCTGTTGGCGGTCTCAAGAGGAGCCTGTCAACGCCGAATCTGACAGTCCGTTCGCAGACTGATCTTCTAGTCTACGGACACGACGCTCCGAGCCACCGGACCGACCATCTGCAACTGAACGTTACCATCCAAGCCGTCGAGGATTCGCTGCGTCGCAGAAGAATGGCGCACGATGAATGACAAGAGCTCTTCGGCTGCTCATGTACATAAATGTATCATTTTACGTCCGACCTCTATGAGAAAGTACCGCGCATCCGAGCCTAGTTAGTATGTAGATCCGAACGAGCAAAACGAAAACTACTCATAGAGGTTAGAAACAGATGGGAAGCCCCGCTTGTCAACCGACGTGCATTGACCCATCGGCTGACGGCTGCTTCAGTAAGCCAAATATTTTCTCATTGAACGCAAGAAATTACTACGGAAGAAACTAATATGGAGACAGTGATGTAAGAAAGAAAGTGAGAGAGCTAATATTATATTATTAGTTATAATTATCATGATAAAGATGGTGATCATAAGGAGAATTCTCGTGAAAGGATTTCCTGGAACTTTGTCAAAAAAAACTTCTCATAGAAACCTGAGATTCATTGGATGATAAGGCCGGCTAGCTCCGGCTCGATGCTGAATATCGAGAAGTCGGTGATCCTATAGAACTCGTCTCTGATCGAAGGCCTCTGTCGGAGGAAAAACAAGACACACGTACCAGCTCGGAATGAGGGCTTTGAGCGGAGGAGAATCAGGCGGCAAGACCGAGACGGTCATCATGGATTAGGGAATGGAGCTAAGCGAAAGTGTTCAAGAAGAATATTATTGCAGAGCTGTCTCGCTGTCGCGATTAGTCTAGCATATGAGCGAGGGCTCAGTACTCGAGTCGAATGTCGTCGTCGACTGCCTTCGTGCCTTTGAATCCGCGGCGGATAGGCTCCTCGGAGTGACTGACTCCGGCTCGAAGCGGCGATGAAATCCAATTGAGAGCGACCTCTTTGCGAGAGCTATCGAATTTTGCTTTGAGAAGCTTCCGACTCGGTGCCGCGGATTCGGGCTCATGTGGCGTCATCGAGGAGACACTAAGGAGACGGCGGACTCATGTGAGAACGGGAGTAGCGATGAAAATCAGGGGCGCCTTCGACAGAGACTAAACCGGGGGGATTTCGCTCGGGGACGGCTTTGCACCTTACACTATTTTTCGATCACACTCATGACCAGCCTTCGGGAAGCGAGGCTGCCGTAATCTTACAACGTTTCCTATCTCGGATAGTGAGATTAGAGATCAAGCGACTCCGATACCGGCAAACTGTGGGCACCGCAAACGCTCGGGGCCTGTGAGCTCAAACAGAGAAATTGTGTGAAATTACGTCGATGAGCTGCTCTCAGCGCAGTGAGCGACCTGTCGGATTTTAAGCGAAGCTTCCAGATCGCGGGAAGTGTGGTTCGGCTGCGCGAAAGCTGAAGTACTTCGGGGAGGGGGGAGGAGTTCATTCGAATCGTGGTGCGATGTAGTTTCGGAACTTTCCTGCCGAAATAGCTACGCGGTCTCTACATCCAGTATAGTTGAACGATAATAAAAAGAAAGCGAGACAGGAATGGAAGTGAGTCGTCTCTTCGCTTATGCTAATCGAGCGTCTCCCATCCTTACATTGTGAGCGACTGCCTTCAGCCATCTTCTATACAGCCAAAGGCACGACGCCGACGAACGCATCGATTAGAAAACTGTCGGTGAGCCTCCCAGATCGATCAGAGAGATTCTGAATCTGTGAGGAATCACATGGGCCTCGACAGTCGCCTCGTTCACGAGGAAGCGTTCCCGCCGAGTCTTGAGCGTGCTCTCTGATGTTTGCGAGCGCTGGGAACAATGAAGTCAAAATTTACGCAGATGCCCATCGCTGGCACTCTACAGTCGTATCACCCGCGAAGTCAAGATGGAGAATCCTGGAGGCTCCCGGAGAAGATTCCGGCGGAGGGTCTGTGGGACAGGCTCATCTGGGAGATGCATGGCAAATCCTGAGAGTATGGTCTCACTGACTTCCTCCAGTAAAGTGTCCATGAATGCGATTCCCTCGGAGAATCCGGTCCAAGCCAGAGGAGTCAAGGATCCCCCTTCCCTGTCCTTGACGCAGCCTAGTAGGGACAGTGAGCTTACCAAGGTGAGCCTGCGAAAGAAGTTTCCCGAGGGGTTTCGAAAATTTCGATGTTCCGGTCGGTGTGCCCGTTCTCATCGCCAATAGCCGTGAACGAGTATGATCCTTCCAGCTAGTCCTCGCCGAAATCTACAAAACGAGAACACCGAAATCTGACGAGAGTGACGACGAATACATCGACAGACCTCTCGTCGTGAAAAAGAAGAAAAATTACGAAGCCCTAGGCCTTCCGAGACTACGATTTGGATCATCATCGGGGGAGAGCGAAGACGAGAGAGAAGCCCCTTGCCGAAAGCAAGCCTCGTGAATGACCAAAGACTTCGTTCGGAGGCGATCCACCTCAGCCACCTCTATGATGAGGACAACTTCCAAACGAAAACGCAGCGGTAGAGGATAGGCTCTCCCCGCAATATTCTTCGGTCTAGTCGAATTCCAGAGGTCGCGCTCAGTGATCAGAGTCTTGAGACTTGAAGTCCCTTCTTTTCCGCAATTACTGGAGCTTTGATTCGTCTCCAAGTCGGGTTAGATTCCTTGCCAAGGAGCTCAGACCGACGCAGTGAACGCAAACCGTCTGGGTCTTCTCGCGGGACTCTGATTCACCTGTCGGTCGGATCAATAACTAATGCCTAGCTGACCTTCCGAAACCTTTCATTGTGATCCCTGCAACCCTGCAGGGTTGCGGTGAGACTGCACTGAATAGTGCATCTCCCCGATACTAAGAGACCTCGACAATTGAAATCCGCTTACGTTCCGCGTATAACGAGCCCCATGTGTAAGGTACTCCAAAACCTTCGGAATGAGGGTGCGTTGTTCGAGAACACAAAAGCTTAGCAAAAACTAGCCAGCCATGAGGACGCTCCGCGCCTCGATGACATCGTGTGGAGGAGGTTTTCACATTTGCCTGAAAAAACGATTGACAGAGAAACACGTGAATCTTGCAGAAAGCACTCGTCTAGGCGTCTTGAAAATTACATCTCGACCTCACTGAGGAATCGATTCGAAGAAGCTTGAAGTCTGCACCGAGAAGGGACGCGCCGAGAATCGGTCCCGTGACAGACATCGCTAATTTCTATAAGGCATATCCAGCGAGCAATATCTGCTACGCGACTCTGTACTCGTGATGGTGAACGCTCCAAGAAGGTCGGGTGCGATATGTGCTCAGGGGAGGGTATAGGCCTGGCCTTGTCTGTCCGGGGCGGACTACCACTTCAGCCAAATTCCAGCCCAAAACTTTCACAACATGTTGGAAACTTCCCTAAGAGCTCCACCAGGCTAGAGGCTTCGGAATTGGAGCCTTGCATTCCTAATATCTTGGAACTCCGGATGGAAGGTCGAGGTTTCCACAGAGCTTCACTGAAATGCTGGGCAACCTTTTTTTCGAACGTCATAAAACTTCACTCATTCGCTGAGGCTCAACGATTGTTTGGCTCGCGAGAAGCCGTCTCTCACTCCAGGTATGATCGGATGGGAAGTAGAGCTCGAATCAGACGAGTCAATAGCTGAACTGTGTGAGTCAGGTGATGAGGAATGAGAGGGCGAGGCTTCGTCCGGTACTCGCCAAAGTGTTTCGTTTTGAGGTACAACCCTTCGACCGGGCCGCAATCTCCCCTCATTTAGAGCATTCATGAATTATTACCGTGAGGCAACTTCAGTTCTTCGACGTATCGAGCTGCGTCGTGGAGATGACCCTTGCCCCTTCCGTGGCTTTCGAACGCTTGCCAATAATGAAGCTCAGAATGAGGGACGCTTCCGGATAGCAAAATTATACCGTTTTCTCCTAAATCAAAATGGGAGGGAGACCAGTGCGTGGGTTTCGCGGCAGGGGCTCATGGAATCCCGACGACCACCGCGATCTGACTCCCGACAGTGTGGTTTCGCTGAGCAGCTCCCGGGAAGCTTCTCTCGCCGAGATTCCGGCACAGGGAGCTCGGTCGGAAGAGAGGGGAAAAGATCCTCCATCGTCATCGAATACGCTCCCCAGCAGAGACAGTGAAGTTGTCAAGGTCAGTCTACGGAGCTATTTGCACTTATTGTTGATTCGAGCTACATGCTCTCCTGTCATCGGCAGCCATTATGGCGCTGGCTGTTTACCGTCGAGCACCTGGACCTGAAACGATATCCTCTGACAGTTGGTCCTCGCGGAGATTCACAGAACACGCATTCCAAGATCGGACGAAAGCGACGATGAGGACGTCGACGAACATCTTTGCGTCAAAGAGAACGAGCGCTCAGAGAAGAAAAAAAATGTCCCGATGTTGAGAATCAGTTCCATATGCAGGAAGAACGTTGAGGGAGAGGAAAGGTTTTCGTCCGACGATATCTCCCGAGAAAACCGATCCGATGATCCCGTTGGTGAAAAAACCGTGGAGAAAAATCACCATTCAATCTGAAGGATAGTCGCGTCTCGAGAGAATGAACGAGAGCTCAAAAGTTTCGGAATTTGATTCCGCTACCTCTGAACTTCTGGCTCATTCTGATTGATCGCTCCGGTCATCGTGGCACTCGAATTTCGGGGTGCGGCACGCAAGCCATCGAAAGAGTCGAGAGGAATTACGCGGATCGAAAATCCCGGGAGCGCGTCTTCAGATTCAACCAGGAGGAGGAAGATTGACTCAATTCAAGGAAAAGGACTCTTCTGATCCCGCGTCAATGATTTTATTGAGTACAATGATGATAATAATAATCTGACGTCGCCCTCGTAGGGAAGCAGAAGGTTCCGGATGTCGCAGCTGGCGCTGGCCTTTATCCTTGAGCGTTTTCGATCGTATTGAGGGTTTTCGCTTCGCCCGTATCTGAGTCCCCGGCTCGCCGCTTCCGATGATGCTCTCGGAGTCTTGGATTACGCTCATAAATGAGCATCAAAACGGCACAAAGGCTCAGCACTATGACAACTCCCACTTGTCCGTACATGAGACTCATTGGTTTCGTGTCAATGAATGGTCCAATTACCAACGCTGGTAGCGTTGCTCCTATGCAGATGCTAACCATGATGATACACATACAATTGTGCGTCAAAGTAATGTATTTGACCGCCCATACCGTACCATTCCCGAAGCACGGCGCAATCCCAAAACCAAGAAAAGCGCTTCCAACCCAGGCCACGAGAGTCGAGTTCTTAATGAAAACCGCCATGAAGATTGAAGCAAAGAGCAGAATGCTCTGGAACCCCATGATCAGCTTCGAGACATCAACCACGAAACTGAGCCCGGTCGTGACGACCCGGCTCAGCGTGTAGCTCGACCAGAACACGGAGGAAAGATAGGCCGCTGAGGACTTGGTGAAATCGAGACCCTCGGTTCGCAATACGAACGTGGGGATGTAATTCGCCAAGCCCACTTCACTCACTACTCCGAAGCTGATATAGGTTGTCGTTAGGAAGACGATCATATAACGCATTTTCTTCGGTAGCTCAACAGCGGCAGAATCCGGGGACTTTTCCGGGACTGGATTGGTCTTATCGACGCAGTACGATAAAAGGATACTGACGACGTTCGCGAGGAATACAGTGCCCATGATAGCGTACGCTACGGATACTCGCGACTTGGACTCAGGGAGGAGGGACGCTTCCGTGATGCTTTCGGGGTCCAGAAAGCCCTCGAGATCCGGAGCCCTCCTGTGGGAAAGACGAAAGGTGTTCGGCGTTGAAGAGCATCCCATCAACGGAAGATTAGGGGATAGTCATCATACGAGACAGCGAATGATAAGGCGAAAAGATCTCGATTCTTTAGCACTTACTTGAGTACATGGGGACTGAGGAAAGGCTCGCAAATCAGAGGCGCGATGATGCCCCCCACTCCAAATATCAAATTGTACAACTGCAAAATCGGTCCGCTCTTTTCTTTCCACAAAACTTGAATCCACACGTGAGCCCCTGGAATCGGGTTAATCAGCTCCCTTGAGTCTGGAATTCTCTCGGGCTGGACCACTCAATCGGCTAATGAGCTTTGAGGTTTCGGGTATCGCCCATTGCATGGCTTCCGAGAATGGATCCGGGCAGCCGATAGGCCCAGACGAATCAAGGTCGGAGACCGGCCGCCGCTCCCGCGAGGGAAATTCGGCGGCAGTGAGAATCGATTCCACGGAATGATATTTTCCGTGAAGCAAACTTCCCCAAGAAACGTAAGAAGCGGAACAACCACTCCCCTTATCGACAGACAGCTCCTCTTTCGAGTCTATGGAGGAGGTTCCGAGCATCGGATTGCGCAATCAGAAATACAGGTTTGAACTTGCCGATTTCGGTGAACGACATGGTCATTCCACAGACGAAATTCGTAACATGGAGGTAAATCAGCTGCTTCAGGACTGGGGTGAGAATCACACTCACGCCGCTGGCGAATATACAGGCCGCTATCACGAGCTGGGTGTTCATACGGCTGAAAATGAGATTGCCTGCGAGAGGCGAAAAGAGTATTTTTGGATGAGTGGAGGAAATTCATTCCGGAGCACCGGTTCTTATTCCCCGCTGACGCAGCGATATGGAAAGCGCTCCAGGTGAGCGCCGCATGGAGTGCCTCTGTGCACGTTCTGATATTATAGAGTCGAGTCCCGCAGGTCTCTATTTCATTCAGAGTGATCCTTCAATGTTTCGACGTGAGTGGAGCCTAAAGCGGATCCTGCTAGCATAGCGAGCCCATACATATTGGGCTGCCAAGTTGCCTACCTATCGTTGACACCCTCGGATTAGTCGAGTGGGGCTACTAAGTTGCCCGCTTCGAAACGAGTCTCACTCACCGGCGAAGCCTCCGAACACCGAACCCACGGCTCTAGTAGTCATGGTGAACGAAATTTTGTCCGTCGTTGTGCCATAGACTTCCGCAAGGTCTATCAACGTTGCCCCAAACGAAGAGAGGGCCAGACCCTGAATTGGAGCGAAGACGCAATTTGCGGGACAGTCTCCAGCGACGAAACATTTCCCTCACATCGAGTCGCGAAGGTTCGCCGATGTCACAACTCCTTCCGGTCGCTCACATCGCCTCCCCAGTATTAGTACTATCGGGTACATACCAAGCAGAACACTGCGATGTGGAGATTGGTGGTCTGTACGAGTCGGAGGGTTCTCGGTGATACTCTCATGGCTGACTCGTTTGATCGACCGGGTCCACGTCTCGCATCCCCCGAAACCTCCGAATGGAACACTCGGAATCACTTCCCTGCTCTCCGGTTTCAGGTTCGAGGCGGCGGCGACCTTCCCTATATTGTACCGTTGTAAAGTTTATTGTCCCGAGCGAAAGGCTACCGTTTTCCTCCATACAATCACAAACATTTATGGCGATTTTTTTTCTGAGAACCCATTAGGTTCGAAATTCCCTTGCCATCGCCAGCACTTCGAATCGGGCCATCTGACGATTTCTTTCCGTCCCTCCGGCGGCAGAACTCACGGAGATGAGACTTTTGAGCTCCCAGAAGACGCGGTAAACATATAAAATGTACATCGGAAACCCTCGAACTACCATCTCTCACGTAGGCGCTCTTCGAGAGTCGAATTATATTCCTAGAGGGGCCTCCGACCCGCATCGATGGGAGTGAACAAACGAACACACCACTGATTTTCTGCCAGAGAGCAGATCAGCCACCTCGTTAACGGCATTCCATCTATCTTTCCGCCTCCGCGTCCAATATCTCGCGATAATCGAGGAAGTTTACCTAAACAGAATGGGATAATCCTACTGCGCTGTTTATCCACGATATCCACGGTCGGACCCGCCACTTCCACTCTGTGGGTTGGATTCTCACAGTTTGACCTAGGCACCTTCACCGAATGCGGCATGTGACAATGATTCTCTGACTTTTGCCTCAGCAAGGTGCTTATTTAGAGGCTTTTTGTCAGAATCCTCAATGGTCCGGTGTGTTCAGATAGAGTGCTTGCCGATTCCTCTCCTTCACGCGATCGATACATTATCCGAGAGTGTTGAAGCCCAAGAGATCGAGTGGACAGAATCCAGCACGGAAGCGCCATGCAGGTCTCCGATAATTGTCGACTTTAATCGACTCGGAGTTGCGCAAAAATACACGGAGGTAGGATGTGTGCTTCGTTGACATTGATATATGTCTCTATCTCGGGATTTTTTTCCCCGAAGAACCTGGATTTAGTGGGTAGCTCGATGATTCAATGAATGAGGCAGCGGAAATTACAAAATGATGGAATCTCGCCGGACTGGCGAAAGTTTTCCCGGTGCAGTGAATATTCGGAGGAACGAGAGTCTCTCAACCTGAAGCCGTCTTTGATCCAGCCGATCGCTGTGATGGAATTTCGTCGTAGCAGCGTTGCTTGGAATAAGATTCCACAGTACCTACTTCCTCATATACTCAAGGGAGTCTCTTCCACGGTTAGAGTAATTGTAAAAGTACCTTATTCCACTGTTCTGCAGGATTATATCAATACAAGGTCAAATCACGGCATTCTAACACGACTTGGATGTCTTGCGGGCAGGAATAAAAATGACTCAATTCTGGGCGCCACATCACGGCGAGGTTGCAGAGGATAGCCTCATCCAGGGTGTCGTCCTTGTTGCTGCACAGAGAGAAACAGAACTCCTCAGCGAAGCGCAGTCGACGTCTCTGAGTCATATCCCAAGTCAGCTGGAAACGGAGCGGAAACTATCAGAATCGCTTCCGCGAGCATTAATGAAGATCCCCTAGCAAAGAGACTCACCGTATTCAAGAGCGAAATCGTCGTTATGAGTTTGACATTGACTCCGGGCCGACTGAAATCGTAAATTGTTCCATCTATATTATCCACCCATTTCTGAAGCGCGTACAAGCACTTACGACCTGAAGACGTCATCGTGAAGTTTTTAGACTTCATAGGCTCCATGAAAATCATATGGAGTCCTCTAGTGGCCTTGTCAATCGTGAATCCCGGATATGTTAGGGAGAAAACCGATTTCGTCGACGAAATTGCTGCCAAACGGTACGGGTGCCCTATGCACGGCACCTGGAGATTTCTCGGGAAGCACTGAGTCCTCTCCCCGATCTCGGCCATCTCATCTATCGACGCGTTCATCTTTAGACCGGAATCTGAATCGTGGGCGCACACGCGGTGATTGTGGACGAAGGCAGCTCGAATTCTGTCCAATCGCTTTTCGACCGGCTCATCGAAATTCTTCCTGCAAGACCGCCTACTGATCTCGTACGCGTACACGACATCGGCCAAGTTCATGGTCCGCGGCACCGTGTAACACATGGCTTGGCACACGGCTGAGAATAAGTCGATGCAAGGTGCGCCATGCTCAACGTAAGGAAGCTCATTCCAATTCTCCGAATAGATCAGCCTCAGGTCGGGACAGACGGGCTGAACGAATCGTTTCCGAAGACGATCCATGACTCTCAGGACCCGGATGGGATCTTGGTTCCGTATCTGTTGCTTGATAGGCGAAACCATCTTAAGACCGATTGAATAGGACGCCACGGTGACGGTGACCACAAGAATCGCAGACAGGAGTACGAAGGCGCAGGTTCTTAGGAAGTCGAATATCGGACGCGAGCGATCTCTCCGGGATATCCGATCACAGGCTGATACGTTCTCCCCGGAAGTCTTGCTCGATAGAAGTCGCGTGGAACCCTCTTCAACTTGCGTTCGCCTGGGCATGAGAACGCTCGCGACCTGTTCATCCTGATCTGGAAGGACCGGGACGGCTTTGAGCAGGTGTCCGAACTCATGACTTCGCCTTAGACGGGTTTCAACACGATCGGTTGGGACAGCATCGAGCGAAGAACTCTGGGTTTCCGTCGACATGGGGGAGGAAATGAGAGTTTCTATAACTTCCAACGGTCACGGCACGGACTGCGTCATCGTTGTTTTCTTCCTGCCGTGGCAAGGATCGACCATCATCGACTCCTGCTCATCGGGCGAGCGCGAAGCAGAGCGCTTCAAAGCTCCGAGTTCCCCCTCTGCCTCACTGTCTCGGCCTCGGATGGACTCAGCAAGAGACGAGCAGCTGACAAGCGTGTTCACCCGAGATCGTGATGTTTTCACGAGCGATTTTCATTCATGCTCTTGCCAGCCCATCCTCGAATACCGGGAACTATGCGGCCGTCCGAAGTTTTCATGGAATTCAAAAATGCCGCGTGGTCGACGCCGAACTCAAACTGAGTGGAGAGGGGGTCTTCGCTCAAAACACTGCTTGTTTTGAAAAACCTGCATTCGCGCCAAGAGCTGGAGTTCACGAACAGAGGACTAGAATTGAGAGGCAACGACTCGCCCCGAGGTGCGGACGTATTTCCGCGCATGCCATGTCATAAGTGGGATTGAGAAATATCATATCTGATATCGAGTTGGCACTCGCCGTGAGCTCGAAGGACGCCTCCGTATGTAAGCTTTCGGGGCTCGAAGTAACGAATCCAGCCTCCTATACATACATTCGATCGTTGTGTCTGAATAGCGGTGAGGATGATCTCGCAGACAAGCTTCATCAGCCTTTTCCATCCTGATTCCCGCCTCGCTTCGTTCGGGGTGAGTACGATAGTGGTCGATAAGCAACCTTCGAAGCCTGAACGACTGGCGTTTAGCGAATGACTGTTGCTCGGAATACCTTTCGAATGGTAAAGGCGCTGAGCTTATTCCCTTGAATTGCAGGCAGATTGGCCTCTTGATTTCGAGAACGTCTCACCGCGAAAGCTCGCTGATAACGGTTTTGTTTACCTTGGAAATGAAGATCATGTCAAGTGCTTCGCTTGTGGGAAAGAACTACAAAATTGGGAAGAGACTGACAACATCGTCGAAGTGAGTTGGGACATGATCATACGAGATCTCGGTTCTATCTTACGGTTCCCTATAAATCATGGATTCGGTCTGAGTGGTTCACACGGTGATACTGTGCGAGTGACGCGAGGGAGCACTCGAGTGAGGGACTTCTGCTGTACGAAATTAAGGTCTCTCGACGAGCCGCAATCCGATAGGCTTCTCGTCCCTCACATCGTGGGGCTGGCGCTTTAGTGTGGTGCATGTGTGCCCATCGGGGTGAAATCATAGCAAAATATTCTGTGCATTTCAGGAACATCAGCGACGTAACGAATGCCTGTACCTGAACTATCTCAAATCTGGTGGCTCTGCATATGACATGGATTTGAAAACCGCACTAGATATTGCGAAGGAAATTCATCGACGGACCATAGTGGCTATCGAGAGCGATACTGCTGATGAAAGTGACCTAAAGACTCATTTCAACAGTTCCAAGCCGAAAGGAAGGCCGAAGAAGAAAGTTTAGCTCGAGCTAGAATGAGATTCGATTGTCAAATCCCGTCGAATCCTGGCGTGGATGCGCTCTAGAAAGATTTACTCCCGGAGAAATTTCCTTGTTCAAATTGAAGAATTTCTTCTGGCGTGGTCCCCGTGAGACTACTCACTAACAGCTCTTGAACCCCGAAACGGCTGCACCTGCTCCCTGGAATCATTGTAGATTCGAAGAACTGGATCCGAAATTTTTGCAACGATCGAGTCTTGTTTGACCACAAAACGGGAGTAAAGCGCATGAATGAGAGCTTCGATTTCCTTCTTTTGATGAAATACCGCATCGAGCTGATAAATCGTAAGCTTACATGACTCAAAACATTTTATTGACATGCCTTCCGACGTATTCTCCCTCTCGGATTCTCAAGTCGGTCGATGCCTGTGCTCGCTAGGTATTTAGCTTATGTAACATTCCTATGAACAAAATACGACCGCTGTCTTTAGATATTCCCTGTGGTCCTCCTTTTTTCACGCTGCTCCTGACCTTGCCCGAACTCGGAACGAGCTTATTAGTGCTTCCTCGGAGCTCCGCGGGGAATTCGAAATGCGTCCGCTCACGCAGCCAATTAGGCCACATAAACATATTCATTAAGATCTTGATCGCTCCGCAGCACGTGATTGTTGTTAATGAGTTTTTCGATGCATTCCTTGATGAGCTTCCTCGAGGGTGAGAATTGCCCCTTCAAAATTTCCACAAGTTCTGTTTGCAATTGAGCGTAAGAGATGCGTTTCCGCATCTTCATCAGCTTCATGATCCCCTCCTGCAAAGAGATTCCGAAGAGAATTAGCATTCATGATTGGGGTAGTCCCAGGGAATTATTGGAACAACACCGATGGTCCGGTCGCATTCGATCCGGGTCTTCTCGCCGTAGCTTCCACGAAACCTCGACGACAATGCTTCCTTACCTCGGTACGCAGCTCTCGGAGTACCGCGATCTCATTGTGGTTCTCCTCCGCTGTTTTCTCTGAAGCTAACTGCAGCCTCCCGATCAGATTAAGACGGCCGCGTTTCTGTGCCTTGTTATTTTTCCTGAGAGGGAACATGATGCTGTAGTCGAGTATGTGGTGGGCCTGTACCATATCCGAGAGGAAGCGGAATAATTCCGGAGAAACAGACGTGAGACGGTCTACTTACACGATACAAAAGTCTTGGTTGACCCAGAACACGCTGCACTCTTTGAAATCTTTGGGAGTCTTTACATCTTGCAAATCGCACAGTATAACCTGCTTCTTGATTTTCGTGGAATTAACTAAACTGTACAACGTTCTCCGGAGCTCGGAGTCGGGGAGCTCCGTCGCCAGCCGGAGCCCCTCAAAAGAAATTTTATCCTACAGAAAAAGAGGGGTGATTTTAGATTCAATCCGAGACGAAGCATCCGCACCGACAGACTTGACTTCTGGACATATCGCTACAGACTTTCGAGAGACATCGAAATACCGGAGCCCCGGCAGGGGTTCTTACCAAAGGTCGCTGATTCCAGGCGAACAAAACAGCCATCTGAAGGGTGGTGACTTCGAGATCGAACTTTCCCATGCTGTTCGAGAAACTGACGGTTCCGTTGGCCATATGGTGATGCCACTGGAGCTTCCGACCGTTGTATTTTTGTTTGTGAAACTCCTCTACCTCCGGTATTAAGTCCTCCAGCTCGATTGGAAGGGAGACGGGTATGACGTCCGCGCTCCGAGCCCAGCTCCCAACGTTGAGAATCTTGATGTTGACCGCATCGGTGAAGGAGCTCCGACCTTGCTGTCCACCTTGCCGCTCCTTGAACTCCTTGAACTCTTTGTTGAGACCTTTACTAAGCTCAATGTCTTTGAACATCCTCTGCATATTGTTGATGTAATCCGCGGGCATTCCCACATTGCGGAGACTCTCCACCTGTGTCCGACAATAATGGGATTAGCGAAATTTTGGGCAGGAGTCCCGAGTCCCGACGCAATCTCGAGAAGCTCTATTGACCGCCCACACCGGGATCTGATGGTGTCTTTTTCGGATTGTGATTAGCTGGGTGACTACTTACGAGATTTTCTTCTTTCTCGCTATCGGCTGAAATTTCTAAGATCAGCCGTCGTGTCAGGTGGTGCTTGTGATACCGCATGAATATGTCCTTATTTTTAACGTAACGCAGGAGTATCAAGACTTCGTGGAGCTTCGCATCGATTTGGTCACTTGTGAGCTTCCTCGAGAGAGGAGTCTTCCGCAATAACATATCACTGTAGTTGGCTAGGAGCTCGGGACACCGAGACTCCGGCGTCGTCTTCATACTGCGAACAAAAAAATAGGGTGCTCTCAGCTACATTTGATCGGAAATCACAATCTCAGACCATGAATGCGACGAAAATGACGTTATCCGAGCTCTGCCTATTGGAGCGGGAAATACTATCATCACGTACCTTTTGGGTTTGTTTGGTATTTCAATCATAAATATGCTGCAGTTATTGACGATCTCCTCGAATCCTTTGTCTCTGGCAGACAGGAACCTCGGGTCATTTTCCGTGGCTTCTTCTACGAGTCTGCTGAACTTATTGTATAGATCTAATAAGGCTTCGACATATTTCTCGCAATCCTGGGTGATTGTACTCGCGTTCGCACGCATGTCGGCTAAGCCTTGCTGTACGATGTATTCGTTCATCTGCTCGAGCATCGGTGTGATCCCACGACCGTCCGCAACTTGGTCCATCAGCCGGAAGAGTAGGGCCAGCTTCTCGGTATCATTGCTCTTGATCAGGGCTGTGGAGAAGAGAATCGGTGACTTCCGGCGTCAACACCCAGAATGTCGGGAAGCATATCCCATAAAATCCCGGACTCTTGTCGCGGTGGAAAGAGTGCAAGAAAACAGGATACTCACTCGAGCATTCGGCGAGCATTTGGTCCATGAAATGTTCTACCAAGTGTTCCACGAGACATTCTTTGAGTAAAGCTAATGAATTGGCACTGCTCTCCAGATACTTGGCTCCACGAGCCTCTTCCTCCCTGAGTTTCGCATCGGCGAAGCGCATGTAATCGTGAACACCGTTCTTCTCGAGCTGACGCGCGGCTTCGACTTTATAGTAATCCGCAGTGGCGTTGATGTAGGGTTTCTCGAAATGCCGTACGTAGACCTGAGAATCCGCTCAATTTATTGCCAATTATGGGAAATTATCAAGGAACGACGAATTTTCAGACCGACAGCTAGAACTCGAGCTGGGAAAACCCGAGCGCAGTACTCACTTCAAGGTTTTCCGCGGAATCCGCGATCAGATGCACGCAACTCTCTCTGACACCGATGACTAGCTGCGATTCGAAAGATTCGCCTTTGCGTTCCGCCTGGATAAGCTTCATTGCCGAATCCTGGAGGCGATTCCTGATTTTTTGGAATACGTAGTCGTTCCATGAGACGAGCATCATCCGTCGAACGTGCGCATCGGCCTCAGCGAACGGCGATTCTGGAACAAAGATTGCCATTCGCCATGTTTACATTGTCTAGCCAAGCGTTAATTGTAGTGAACCGATCTCAACTATCGCAATGGAATCAATGCAGCTGAGGTCGACCTACCGTTACCTTTCTTTGGATACCAAGCGTTGGTCGCCATTCTCTGCTTGCTCATAACATCACACGGTCGGAATGGGAGCGGCAAATAACCACATTGAGCGAAGAACTTCCGCCATTCCCTGATGTAGGCTGTGAGTAGTGCAGTATCCTCTTGATTGTCCATGACACGCTGTGGGATATTAATGCATTGAAATTTTATTCGACGGATAGCGTCTTAGGTGGTTCCCATGGAAGAGATGATACCGTATCCGAGGAGAATGGGAATCGAAAGCTCACCCGTTGAGCCTCACGAACGTAGGTCGCTACGTCTTCCTGTAGAGCTCGGTCGAGCTGTTCTGCTCCTTTGTCGTCCCATATGTAAACGGAATGGATGTCCCTGCAATATGAGGCTCCGTATAATTCCAAAGTCGGACTTCCAAGGAGGATCCTTCCGCGATATTCCCTCCGGTCGGGAAATACGAAGGATGTGATTGAGTGAGTGTTATCATTGATCGAGTATACGAAATCGAGACGGTAGTGACGAGAGGTAGCCCGGGATCAAGCAGATCGATATGCAGCGGTAGCCGAGGATGTTTTCCCCCGCGGTTTCGATAATGGGATGAGGGTTGTCGTGGCTAGGATCCCGCTCGGAACTCACCAGAACAGGTTCTGCCAATCCGGCTGGGAAATGTCCTGCTGACGGAGAAGTTTCACGACATGGGGTCGAATCTTTGGCCATTGTGTGACGAAGGTTGTCTTATCCTGCAATCATGGACGAGCAGGCTCAGAGAGGAAACATAGGAATTCCCAGAATCGTCCATTCCTCGGGATTTTCAATTACAACTCCTGACACCAAAAACTGATTTCTGATAGACGGACACATGGATTGGATAAGAGTTCAAAGAAGAAGCAGTGAGCTGAAGTCGCGACGCTGACTCTGGGAATCTGGAGGAGCGTCAGCCGGAGTTATCGCGACTGATCCCTTGCACTGCTCTTCTTCCCGGGAGTGCGATCGTGCCGTTTCAACACCGGAAAGAATGACTCTCAGTCGGTATTCACCGAACAACCAACTGGAGAAGAGATCCGGAGGATGTCGGCCAGTAAGCAGCCTTCGTTGGCAATCCTTCGACGTCCAATTGTTTAGTTCAATTCTATTGTTAGGTACTCACTGACATCATGGTGTCTGGTGGGAGATGCGAGCCAACCGTCGGAGACCCGTCTCCTCGCTGCGAAACCTTTGGCACAGTGTCAGCGCTTGCTACAACGCACCTCGGGCTTGGGAGCGTTCGTTTCTCCGAGGCTCAAATTGATTTTGGATCGGTAAATGCTGCCTTCGAGCTTCCTGACACCAACACCTAATAATTCCGCGGTCGATTCTAATTTCAGAGCCGGATGTACGCACCGCCACTACGGCCACCGATCATCACAGTCCCTACGGCTTCGAAGGCTTCTTTGAGCGAGAGTGACACGGTGGAGTGAGAAGCATAATAGAGTGCTCATTCGAATTTTCGCTCCGCAACCGACCCGGGACTGGCTGACTCTCGTGGGTCACAGATTTTTCCGGGTCGTTATTCCTCGCGATTCCTGGCTGGTGTAAGAAGTATGCTGGCGGCTCTTTAGTGGAGCGATCATGTCTTGGAATTTTATTGTAGGTCCTACAAATACCAGCGCTTCACACTCTGATTAGCAGCCGACGAAAATGGCGCTCTTCGAGGAAGTAGTAGTGGTTAGTAGTCGAAAGTCAAAATCGACGGGATTGCCCCGGAGAAAGTTTGGCAATTACCATGCTCGCGAGCGATCACGGTGTTCCCTCAACTCCAATCGCGGCGATCAGGTTATCGGCTCGACAGCGCAAGGAGGAAAGCATCTCATTCGAATTCTTGATACATGTTGATGCTGATTTATGCTGAGCGCAATTGTTTCACTCCGGAGATCGCGACTCGCGACTGCCAACTGACCCGGAGAATTTTCTGAGCGAGGCGTTTCTTCCCAGCCTCATCGCGTGCGTTCCGTGGGAAGTTCGCGGCTGCGGGTCCGGAGAGCGATGTTCCGGATTATCTTCGACAACTGATCCGATCCGAGCCGACCCATCCTCCGAAAGGCTATGGCCGAATCTTCGTCAACTTTCTTGACTATGGAGTGAATATTCTTCTGAGACATTCTTCAAACGATGCCTCCGTCGTATGTATTTCATCGCTGCCTTCAGCGATCCGAGGAGTCATCGGGAAACGCTTCGGACATCTGCGATAATAGTCCGCGGCTAGTCCGTGTCATTTAATGCTCCTCTCAAGTTCAGATTTCCAGTGCTGAATCCTTTGAGAGGTATGGTCAGAGCTCCACTAGCAGGTAGACTCGCCCAGCTTCGTCTCAGCTTCCAGCAAAGATCACTGTCAGCAAGACCTTCACTCTCCCGCACGGACTCCGATCTCGCGGAGATTCACCCCGGGTTTCCACTTCACGCGTTGCTTGAGATAGTAGTGGATTGGGCAATTGTGTGCTGCCCTGACCTCATTCACAGACTTTGAGAGAGTTCTACGTTAGATTCCGAAAGCGTCCTGAGCGAATTAAGGCTTCTCTCTCGACGAGCGTGATCATCGTCGCTTCGTAAACAACAACCAAAGCTACCGCCGCACCGCTACCACAAAGCAGAAGGCGCTGGATGCTCGTCGTCGTGAAAGCTTCTCTGCTCGTCATTCCGTTTTGAGACAGACGGTTCCAGAATTCGTGGAGTCCAATTGAGGGGCTCACATCAAAAAGGATGACCCAATCCGTGGAGCACCGGGTCATCCAGGTGTCCAATATTGCCTCAGGTGTCAGCCGGGAGCAGTTGCTTGCCTTGTTCAATCATGTGGGCTCAGTGGAGGACTGCCGGCTCTATCCGAGTGTTGAGCAGCCACTCGAAAACGGTACTCGCATCTGCTACATTAAGTTCAAGGAGTTGTGGTCGGTTGGCGTTGCGATGCACCTGAGCAACACGATATTCATGGAGCGTCCTCTCCTGATTTTCCCCATGGACTCAGATCAAGTGCCAGACGAACAGTTCGCCATTGCCGAATTGGCGCCGGGCGCGCCGATATCGTCGAACGATGAAGATATCCCTGAACTCGGGGGGATCCGGAAACTGACCAACGAAATTTCCACGAACGCCGCAGGAAAGCAGGTCATAAATACCATAGACCCCTCACTGGCACTGAAAGGTGCACCGAACTATCCGGCGTTGCCGGCCGGCCTATCGGACGAGAACGTAGAGGAGATCCGGAGGACGATCTACGTCGGGAACCTCGACCCGAACTTGACGAACGAGATAGTGATGAAGTTCTTCAGTCAGTGCGGTGAGATTAAATACGTCAGGATGGGCGGCGAAACAGGGGCGTCAATGAAGCACGCTTTCGTGGAGTTCACCGAGCAAGCCTCCGTTGGTAATGCTTTCCAATTCAACGGAACGCTTCTGGGCAGCCGAGCCATGGTTGTTTCCCACAGTTCGACAGCTATCGTGAAACCAAAGCCCGTTGATCCTCGCGTCGCAGCGGACACTCTTCAAGCCAAATCACAGCTCTCATCTAAAGCGAGGAGTCGCTCCCGAAGTCGAACTCGACGCAAGTCCCGGAGCACGAGCCGACGACGTAAGAGCCCGCGGAGATCCCGCTCGCGATCGAAAGGAAAACGGAGATCTCGTTCGAGGGAAAGAAAACGATCCAGAGACAGGAAGCGGTCCCATTCTAGGAAGAGGTGCGTTGACTGAACTGAAATATCGGATCCTTTTCCGGGAATAATATATATTGTAAAGGAAGATATAATGATATAATATTATAAGGAATTTCGGCCTATCTCTCGTGGAGCCCTCCGTGGGAACACGAAGGCCGGTGATGAGTAAGCAGCCATCGTTCGAGGATTTCTCGAAGCGAGCTTCAGAATTAGTCCAAGATTCCAATGATTGGAATTTTTCGCTTTCCGCAGCCTTTTTTCTCGTGCTCGCGGAGCGGCGCTAATCACTGAATTCCTCGAATCAACTGCACTCTTGGGGGTCCGGTGGCTTCAAACCCGATAATCCGCTACAATTATTGTCGACGAAGCGATCAGATTCCTCTACGGGTGCCACGAGGCAGAATCTCTCATAATAATTTGCTTTCTCTGAAAACAGGTCGAGATCCAGGCGGAGGTCCAGGTCGAGGCGAGGATCGCGGGACAGAAAACGCTCCAGGGAGAGAAAAGAGAAACAATCTTCACCGCGAGACCCCAAAGAGAAATTGGGACCCAGGACTCCGGAAGGCTCCGGACCGCGAACTCCGGACGAAACTGCCGCAGAAGCGAGCTCCTCTCAACCGCCACACGAGTCGACTGAAGCGTCAGCTCCTGCCGACGATTCCTCCCATGCTCAGGGTAACGGAATTCCAGAGAACGGGAGAAGCGACGGACGAGACAAAGATCGCAGAGAAAAAGACAGAGCGAAACGGAAGAGTAGATCCAGGTAAGTCCATGCGATTCGAGCCTCTCACCGGCAGAAAGTCTTATCTCCAAAAACGAGACAGGAGCGACAATTGAATGGATTTTATTCTCCGCAGATCTCGAGATCGTCGACGACGATCCCGTTCACGAGACCGCAAGCGTCGCAGCAGCTCTCGCAAGAGGTCTCGACGAAGCCGATCCGTTTCGAAAAAGAGGAGTCGCTCACGAGATAAACGCAGGAAATCCAGGAGCAGATCCAAATCGCTAGAGAAATCCAAGAGGCGATCACGCAGCCGAGAATCCAAGCGCCGCAAGAGGACGCCCACGCCGCCCAAGCGACGCAGTCCTTCACGAGAGCGTCGACGAAGCCGCTCCAAGGATAAGGATAGGCGCAAGAAATCCCGTACGCCTCCGAGTAGTGTCGAACCAGTCAGCAAACAGAAATCCCAACGACCTCCGCCACGGGACTACGATGAGGAAGAACGAGGAATGGCATCGGATCCCCTAAACCCGGCTGCTGTGGCTGCTTCGATAATCGCCCCGCTGCAGCCGATGGGGCCGGCACCGCCCCCACCACCACCGCCTCCACCTCCTCCGGTCGAAGCCGCCGGAGACGACATGGACCTTTCGGATTGATCCCGATACAATCGACATTGGCTTTTTCGACCTGTTTGAGGGACTAATCCAAGTCGGATCGAAATCGCTGCAAAACCTTTTCTGAACAGCGTCTGTGAGCATAACGAGACTTCAGTATTCGATGAAAAAGCTCAGCGAAAAAGACACCTACGAGGATGTATATTAAATTGTTAAATAAAACCGGAGCTCTTGATTTCCTGCTTTCTCCAAAATTAGCGGTTCCGATGATTTCCATCTGGGTGACCGCCCACCTTGAACTCTGTACTCGCGCGAATCTTCGGCCCCGGTCGGATCAGAGCTAAGTATTGGGGCTCAAGTCTTGGGCCGAGTCTGAGGCATTCCTTCGAAGCGTACACACATATACAGTTGTGTGCTCACGATGAAAAACAGCTCAGAGCTCGGCTCAAGCGGCGCCGTATCAATCTCGACTTGCTAATGGAGCTCTCCTGGGAGGGCGGCTGCCAGGCGGATCATCTCGATTGAAAGATGTGCGGGGCGGATAAGTTGATGTTCTGCTTGTTGTTGTGAGACCTCGTAACGATGCCCCTCCCTGATCTACTTGCGAGCTTTCTTAGATTATGGCTACGCCATTCGCGAGCCGCTGCAATATCAGACGCATAAATACTGTGTCCTCAAATCGCCAATCCTCGTGCAAGGAGGAAACATCGAGTTCTAATTTTATTGAATAATCTATATCTAACACTCATGGGATTGTATCCGACGTAGGGTTGCTTCGATAGGACGAACTCCAAATCAACCTTGCCTTCGATGGAGTTGATTATTCCTTCCTCGAACCTCGTGGATGGACGATACTCTTCGTAAATTCCTCGTTTTCCCGTTCGCTGTGGGAGCGGAAAGTCTCGATGGTTTGCCGACTCAAACTAAGCACCATGGAGATATCCACATGGAAAGCATGGATCCCTCAAATCCTTCAAAACTCGGAATCTTAGTCCTCGAGCCATATCCAAGGTATTCGTACGTTGCCATCTTTCGAATCACAATAATGTATCCCTCGCTGAAACCATGAGATAGGCAGCGAGAGGACATCCCCAATCCATTCCCCCCGTATTCCTTTTTCTTCCCACGATACATAACAGGCTTTCGTACAGCCCGAGACCTTCCAAGATATGCACCAAACTGACGCTATTCGAGCTGAACACTCCACGAGAAATTCCAGCGAAAACGGGATATGAGCAAGGATCACAGATTAGCATAACCATGAACGTGTGTAAACCTTCTCATCATTTTATCATCATCAATGATAATAATCACATCGTTTTCTGTCTCCGTCTAAGCATCAGGCCATGAGCCTTTTCAGAGGAAACAGCGCATCCTCATTGAATTTGATGTGCCTGTGACATTCCCAAGGACACCAGGATGCCGCCTTCCCGGATTCATCATTATTCGATTGATCGAATAAGATATGAGACGATGAGAACATACAGCCATACATTCGTATTTATGAGTTTAGATTATATGTTTAAATGCACTATATTACATACACGACGAGTAGCTTGCGCCATTGCGATTCACTTTTTGTTCTTCAGTCCGAAAACGTCGAGTGATTTCCCTCGCGTCATCTCATGGGCTTCGCTCTCCCCTAAGGCGAAAGCCATGCTTTTCAGTTGTTCGACCTGCCGGGAAAAAGAATCGTCCTCAGTGAAGATTTTCGAAGCCAGAACTCGGATGCAGGGGGAGGGGCGGATTTCAGCCCTTCGATTCTCAACTCGGTCTTCCTTCGTTAAATATCCCGATAACGCGGCAAAGAACCTTAATCTCTCCACAAAAACTCACTGATCGAGCTGACTTCCGCAAATCTACCCCTTTTCCCTATCATCAAGACCCTATCCACGAGAGGAGATTCTATGAGCCTTTTGATGAGCGCCGCAGGACTCCCGGCACTTGAAGTACCGATCCTTCTTCTTTCTTATAGCCCACTCGAGACTTGAGAGACACACCAGCGATATGAATCTATTCAAAGCATCGATTCCGCGGGCAAATAAGTTATTGCGCCCGCTGGTGAATTCGACTCGTCCCCGCCCCGCAGATTCCCGGCTCATTGAAGGGTATTCATGCGAGGAAACAGCACTTGGTCAAGAGTCAGAGACCGGAAAAGATCAAGTAGACGTACCACATCAATGTGAACCTAACATTAGCGGAAAATCTGGATTCTGAGCCGCTCATGCATACATAATGAAAACGGCCCGGAATATCGGATAGACTTCAGGCAGTCGACTGGGAAGACAGAAACTGACCTTCTCTAGAACTTCTTCCGCGCTCATTTGCGAGAGCTCTTCAACTTGATGCTTGTCATCTTCGAGTGAAGCACTTTCGACCGTAGTATCAGCTTCGGAGGCCCCTTCGGCGGTCGACAGCGACGTATTTCTCGGGCTGGCTTTCAAGTCATAGAATGAATTGACCATTCTACCGACGCTTCACGCCCGCGGACAGAGGCATACGACGATAGAAGACATAAAGAGACCACTCGAGAGCGGAGGTAGAAGAACAGATTCGGAACTTCTTCTCAGCAAAATGTCAACAGATTATGACCGCCAAGGCTGATCATCACAAAGAAGTCTGTGCGAGTGTGGGGCCTCTGGAGCGCCACCTGGCGTCATGATCACGAACGGTCTGGACAATAAGGCGGGAAACATCCTCCTTGGAGAAATTGACGCTGACCTCTGGTGAAGACGTCTCTGTACGAGACAGATCATCGGGACGCGAGGGAATTCGCTCGAACGCCTGAACGGTCGGACAGGGATCTCCTGTACGGATGAACGGTGAGAAAGAACTCCGTGTTCAGAGGCCCCTGTGGTCTGTGATGGAGAGAATGATGCTGATGATCTCCGCATATAAAGGGATCCGGATCGGGCGGCACCTCCTGCGAATATGGAGCTTGGAAATCTCAGCTTACTGAAGTCCGATGGATCCCTGGCTGATCTCCATAGAAGATATGGTCTGTGCAGAACATGCACGTGCGTACCAGTAGGTGCATTTTCCGTTTCCGTCGTGTAGGATCGCGAGATTTCGACGGAAACTGAGAACTGAAAACATTTCCCATACGATTCTCGGTCACGGATTATCCCGACTTCTCAGCACCACCGATGGAAGAAGGAAATTAAAGAAATTGGCTCGTTTCAATTCCATCTCCGCCGGTGCCAGGGTGGGGCTCCCTCGTTGCTCGCTGCTCGCCTTAACTTGTTCTTTGTCAGCCTTCGCGAGAACTCCTCCAATGTACGCCCGGATTCTGCCCTCGCCATCTCTCGCGCTTCGGTCTGTAAGTCTGTTCTGATTCTTTGAAGAACTTGACTAGCTCATCCTGGATGGCGGTGTCATGGAACAAGCTGTGGGAGTGCCCGTATACCTCTTAATAGATTTCAGAGACAAATAAGGTGGCGTCATAAGCCAAGAGTTTTTCAGAAACCTCTGTGGCCGGCTCTAGCGCAGCTATCATAGTGTCTCGGAGCTCGAAATCTTCCATAGTGACTGGGAAATCTTCACTGTTCTCCTTGAAGTACGCGACCAGTGACTCTCCCAGATCCCTGAACCGCTCCATCATTATGAGTGAGCTATTCCATCTCGTGGGCACATCTAGCACCAACGTTGTCTTCCGATCTCCGTGGAAGATAAGGTACGGCTGCCGAGACTTCATTGCGATCTGGGACCAGGAGAAGTCTGAGGTCGACCAGGGGTTGCTCTCTTCGTATGCAATGACCAATAGCGAATCGAAAGGCCCCAGAAGAACCAATGGGCATGTGATCACTAGGTACGCTGTGCACGGTTATCACTAGAGCCCGTGACTTCATGCAAAATGCATATAATGCATAAAAATGCATATTCTGGGCTTTTCCTCCTGAAAATGCATATTCTGCGCTTTGGGGCATAATTCTGCATGTCCCATATTTTCCCCATCGATTCTCGCGGGTCTCGACGCTGAGAGCGACGTACAGCCATGGTCAACCGAGAATAGATGGGAACGGTGATAAATCGGATACATCTTCCCGGATTTAGACAAGTTGGTCTCCAACGGGAAGAAAATTTTCCTGAAGTCTGCCGATCGAGTGAGCACATTCCGCGAGATCGCCCCCGGAGTGCCGCTGCCACCCCAGCCAGTTCTGACAAGATGGGGTACCTGGTTGAACGCAGCCGTCTATTACGCCGACCACTTCGATTCATTTTCGAAGGTTTTGTGAGCTCTGGACGTCAAAGACGCTGCGAGCATCGGAGCGGCTGCTCAATTGGTGAGGAAGCCCTCTGTAAGGAATCATCGCTCTTATAAAAGCAAACTTCGGAGAGCTCCCGCATGCCATCGAGAAAGTCGAACCGAAGGGACTGTCTTTGGTAGGAAGCGTGGGTATCTTCGAGGCACTTGTTAAAGATCTCAAGAAAACACCCGGTGATGTTGGGGATTTGGTCCCTAGGAAATGCGATGCGGTTGTGATTCGTAATGGCGGCTTCAGTATTCTCAAGGATGTCTCGGACATACTTCAGGGGGGCAGCTCCGCGGATAGTCTCATTGGTCGCGACCCCTCGGAGATAGCCTGCTTCAAGTACGCACCGATCACGTCGGTGGATGTTGAAAGGAGCTCCTCTAGTTTGAAGCAACTTCTCAGCGCCCGTCGTCAGAGTTTACGTTTGAAAATTTGAAGATGCATCTCATTGTCTACTGTAACCCGTAACCTAAATTGTGCCTGTATAAAGCAGGATTGAGTCAATTCCAGAAAGTCTCATAAAACCTGAACGAAGCTCCTATTTTTTTGTGCATATTTCTCTTTTTCAATGCATATATCGGCCCTTTTTCAGGGCATACTTGCATGCATATTTCCGGTTTTTATAGTGCATGAAGTCACGGGCTCTAGTTATCACCATGTATTGTGCAATAACCAAGCTTATCACGAACCGTCCTCGAGCTCGAAGTCGACTTCGGGATCGTCAACAGGGAAAGTCGAATCCTGCGGAATTGTGATGCTCTCAGAGTTGTCACGGAGGGTCTCCGTAAGCGCAAGGTGCAGGCCATCGGACATGCGTTTCTGGTGATAGGAAACCCTACTCGTCAGCATCAGTTGTGATGCCGTGTATTCCATCACACGTCTGATCCAAGGATTGAAATACGCTCTGAATCTACCGGAAGATGTTCGATGCGTTTCCCTGCACAGAAAATCAGATTCAGAAGATGTGATCTGAGGCAGGGAATCATCTTGGAGGAACGTCGATGAATCTTTCCCCTCGGCACGTCCACTCATCCGCCGCTAGTGTGAGAACCGCGCCTCCATTTTTGAGTGCGGCGAGCTCGCCCGTCAAGAGTTCTCGGACTCTGTCGTACTCTTGGTCAGTCAACCGCCATGCTATACTCGCATTGATCGCGCCCAGGTTCATCTTGGGGGATGCGAGCCCGAAGGTCGGATGAGTGAATTTGATGAAGAGAGTATCTAGTTCTGCAGCGGAAGATGAAACCCTAGTCTCCTTCAGACGACTTTCCCCCGCAGACATCGCGAAAGGAGTTCTCCGCGACCGAGAGAGGCTCTCTTCCTTCCGGTGGCGCGCGAGATGATTTCTACACGCGGTTGGACTTTTTTTGCTGAATTAAATGGTTCCTCCACATCTGGGGCATTGTTGTCGATCCCCTGACGGAATGAACTGAGACAGAATCTGCCGTCCTGCAAGAATGTCAAAGGAACGTGAGCAAGGCGCCGTAAGCTGGTGACCGGAGTTATATTCAGGTCCTAGGCTCATGATAATTATTCAGCTACGACCACGGCAGCGGCCGGAGAGGGAACAAGCGTGACCGCTGTATCTTCTTCTAGACAGCCAGAAGATATCCTCGCTACTAATATAATTGAGGAGCTCAATGGAAGACCCCGTTTGAAGTTCCTGGATCTAGGTTCCCCAGGTATATCTGCCGCGAAGCCGCTCCACTTGATAGAATTTGATCGATTAGAAAATCGGGATCAAAATTTGATCCCTTGCTATCGAGGAGGGGTAGCGACCCGGAATGATGACGCACCCCATACGGCATTACCGTAAAAGAGTTTGAGGGGGAAGGCATAGCCCCCTTGGCCCCTCCCTTGGATACGCCTCTGGGTTGATGGACCCCTCGATGTCCCGGATTGCGGGAAGAACGAGGCGTCAGAATTGACGACTGAATTTCGCCGTGATCTCCATACATTGCCGGCCATTTCCCGAGACGAAATAGCCACATGGAGCAACAGGGACTGGCGCTCGGTCCCTGAATGAGTTCAAATATTCGCGCCCTGTATTCGACACATGATCGCGAGGTTGGCTTATACCTCCGGATTTACCAGATTCGGATAGCTGCTTCTACTGAATTGACGTAAGGATCTCGCAGAGAGAGCGTGGACTGTCGTCCCCGACTCCTACCGAATCCGAAGCGCTATACGTTGCCGAAGCTATATGCTCCGGTTTGCTGCCGAAGAGAGATACAGCGCAGGGAGAGGGTTTCCGTGTCCTGCGAGATGTTGAGTTCTGGGCACCTCCTCTGAAGGATCAGCTGATGTGAATGTACTCTCTGAGCGCGTAAACGATCGGGACAGCGAATGAGGTGAACATCGCTCTGAAGCTTCGCAGAAGGTCGTGATACCGTTGAGAGCCATGGATGGCTCACCTCCATCTACGTCTAATGCGACCGGATCTGGTGAGGGCAAGCACGGAATCTCTTACCGACACCTGTAGAAATAATCTCGCCAGGAAATGAGAGATATTTCCTATTATCCTAGCCTACAGTAATTACTGCAGCCAGCCCTCGAGAGAGGAGTCGAGGCCGCAATAATAAGCGTGCTCATCACGGAGAAGTCCGCGTCCCGGAACTCCATTTTGTTCCCGGCTAAGGTCAGGTGTGATGTCGATTCGCCTTCTGTGGGAATCACGCGGCTGGCGGCTCATCGAACACCTCTCGTGTTCCCAAAAACTCTCCATCCAACCCTCCTTGGTGATAATCCGATGACGAGGGATGGCAGACGGCAAGACTTCGGCGGGGGGCCTAGCAGCTCTATTGAATCAAGTCTCATGGAGACATCTCTTACGCCCTAGGGCGAACCTAATTATTGAAATTCTCCTATTCGTCGTGCCCCTCCTCCGCCAGCTCCTCCTGCCCGGAGTTCTCTCAGGAGTGGCGAAGTACTACTCTCTCCCTTTTGATCTCGATTCAGTGGAGTCTGACTCTCGAAGTACCGACTCGAGAGCTTTCCTCCATGACGCGAGTTTCTCCTCCTCCATGCCCGCCTAACGAGTTCCTGATGTATCCATGCAATCTCGATCAAAGTCAACACACGTCGACTCATCGGATCACGTCTTTGACCCCTGAGCAGGCTCCGTCGGTCCTCGGCAGTGAGAGGAAGGTGTTGTTGACTCTCCTCTTTGGGGGAGACCAAGACGAACGGATTGCTCCGCCCCAGTTCCGTGACGAACTTCTCGAAGGACACACGCATCGAGCTCCCCTGTATCGAGCTTCCTGCGATCTTAGGATAGACCTAGGCAAGGTTCATCCGGACCTCCGGTCCGCTGATCGGAGGATAAGGAGGGAAACTCTGCGCTCGCTGATCTTCAGTAGCGAACGCTGTGACGGATGCCGTTTTTTTTAGATATATGGCTGAGGGACTGGGTGGCGAATCTCGTGCTCACGCATATATTTCCAGGGCGGAACAAAATTGCTCTGGCCACCGGTCATTCGCTGATGGATTGGATCAAACTGTCGCAGAAAGAAGATCTGGCTGGCGTAGGCGGACAGATTCTGAAGGTCACAACAGAAGAGTTTCGGAAGCACAACAACGAGGACGACGCGTGGATTTGTATCAAAGGTGAGACCTGGGAACCGATTTTCGGAGCTCCGCTTCCAAAATGAGTTTCTCTCCTGAGAGGATGGCTCCAGATCCCTGTGGTGTAGCTAATCGGAACGACCAGGTCCAGCAGGAACCCTTCTAGGTATCAATATTGAACTACGAAACGGTATTCCTTTGCGGAGCAATCATTTCCCCCTTTCCCGCTTGACCAACAAGCGCTCCACGGGCGCAATAGCGTCCAGAAAACCCTGGATGACCATGAGTTCAAATCCTACTCGCTGTTCCGTTGGGGGAATCAGGGAGAATCATTTCGGAAGCTTGTCCAAGGGAGTTTTACCGCGGAATCGCGCCGAAACATATCCTGCTCTGGGGTCTCCCCTCCAGCGCAAGTCTCTCACATTGCCAACTGACCTTAGAAGACCAGCGGCTCGTCCCTAGCTAGCTCACGAAACCTTCTGTGTGATTCGGAGATCCTCGGATGTGCGGATCCTCTATGTCATTCAAAATATCCTTCCGGATGGTTTGCGGAGAGTTCGCGATATTTCAAAATCCTCAAAGTTCTGACCGCTTGCTCGAAGTTTCATCAGTGCGACAGGGAGGAGTAATGCAGATGACCCTAGTCGGCTCTCGGCCAAGCGAAAGCTCGAGCCCTTATCCCGTCATTTGATCATCTCAAAACCCCAGGTCGGGTCAGCAACTCGTCCTGAGTCGTGCGTCACGGCGCGCATTTTCGCACGATATGTCGATCCACCGGAAAAATTATGATATTTGACGCCATCGCCATGCAACTCTGTTCGTCATTTCCTAACTTGAGTGGATCTGGGCTCCCAGATATTTTCAAATTGAATGAGAGAGCTGGGGGTGAGGGTGAATTTCTGACAAGGCTACCCGAAGTTACAGCGAGTCGTTTGGCTTTCAGGGAATGTGTACAATGTCACGCGCTATCTAGATTTCCATCCAGGAGGCGAGGGGGAACTTATGCGAGGCGTTGGGAGAGACGCGACTGATCTCTTCAACCAAGTCCACCCGTGGGTCAATTACGAGTCTATGCTTTCCAAGTGCTTAGTGGGGACACTCGTCACTTCGCCGAACGGTTCGGGCCCGAGGAAGGCCAGGCTAATTGGCGTCAAGCCCCCTGTCAAGAAACGTGAGTATCTGGCCCAAATTGAAGCCCACAAGATGTGGGGAGAATATCCCAGTGCTCTTCCCCCTCGATATCCTCCTCATCTATCTCCCGACAAAACGATCCCGGACTCGTCTCCGAGCTGATCGCTGAACACCTCTTGACACGCATGATCGTATTATCACGGGAGGTCTAGCAGTGAGAATGTTCGACAGTTTCTCTCCCTCTCCCGATTGCTCTTTTGCCATCAGAGACGTGGGTGTGAAGTCTTCGTCTGCAAGCTTTTTGGAATGATGCAAAATTTGTGAAGTGAATGTGCATGAGCTGGTTAAACTTTTGTTCTTTTTGATGCGAATCAACACGGGCGAGTTTCCGCCGGACCTTGATTGTTTTTGATGCGGACCAGGAGTCCCCCGAGCGCGAGCCGTGTGTCTCGTCGGCCACTTCTGTTCTCAGTGGACGATTATTCGCGTGGTCATTAGGAATGGATCTTTGCAGCTCTAGATCGCAAGCAGTCAGATTTAGGTCGTAGAGACTTTGTGTACTTGATTTTCATCGCATCTTGTAAGAAATTCCTTTGCATTTATTCTCAGCTGGTATGTTTTGTTTGTCTTTACCGAGGACTCTCGGTAGCTTCTTCGCTTCCGGCACGGAGAAATCCCCCACCGACACTGCCACCCTCGGTAAGAAGCCTAATTTCTGTGGATGGAATGCCTCGGTAGAATGGACCTCGTTCCTTGAGCCGTAATCCGAAAATAAGTTCGTTGTTCGCGGGGGAGAAATTAGGTAATCACCCCCCTGGTGGGAGTATGAAGAAGACGACTCGTACCTTGCCCTCATGGCATCGATGTTACTGTAGAGGCTCCGGGGAAGCGCATGTCATCTACGTGTGATTTAGCCATGGATACGATACGAGACTTTCTGGCAGTTCACCGGAATGAAGTCTCGATTTCTGCAGGTGGGGCACCGCAAGTCACCTATGAATGGTCGCAAGACGATTGCACGGTCTCCATCGTCTTGTCAGTGAAGACAAAAGCCGTGGTGGAGAGAGATTGTATCGCCGTTGATGTATGCGGCAGAAAGTTCCGACTCAAGATCAAAGCCGGAAAATGGGTATATTTGATGGTCAAGGAGCTCGCCGGCGAAGTTTTCCTGGACTGCAATCGTGAGTATTCAGTTTGATCCGCCTATAACAGCAACGTTAGCTCCTCCGGGGAGACTGTTGAGTTTTTTTCCGCCGTATAGATCAAGAGCGATCACTTCCGTGATTTCTGCTGGTAGCTTGGTCGTCCCCGAGGCTGAACGGGCCCGCGGGAATCGACCTTGACTGACAGAAGTTTCTCGGTCAGATTTTACCCATTATTGGCAGCGCGTTTACAAATTACAAAGCGCGGGACGTCAGTGGAACCTCTCGACGGAACTTTCCGGTATCCGCGATTGTCCTAGATGGACAAGTGGAAATCCGAGTTTGTTGAGATTCGATACGAATTTTAGGGTCGTTGGCTTCGGTGAACGAAAATCTTACGAGAAAGCTTTGAGAAAATTCTGGAAGAACCATTACGAGATGTTGAAGACGAAGGCTGAATATGGTGTCTCTAATGATCGCTCCGTGTTTCAGTCTGTGTAAACACGAAGGAGAAGACCGTGACTGTCCGACTGGTGAAAAGTGAACCGTCGGTTTCATGGGCAAGCTTGGGCTCCGCCGCACCCGGGGACGAAGATATAATTTCAGCTAAAGATTACGGCTTGAAGCGTTATTTCCGGGATGTAACTCTTACTGCTCGAGAGCAGATCACGCATGATTCGTTTTTGTTGACCTTCGATATGCCCAAAGGTGAGAGCCATTGAGGACATTGGAGGTATCCGGAGACTTCTCAAGCGACAACAGTGATCGGGACAAGCAACCTAAAAGATCGCCTCTGATTTCAAGGAACCTTAATCCATGTACCGGTCGGTCAACATATTTCTCTACGGGTCCTGAAGCCGGACGACTCCTACCTGACTAGGAGCTACACCCCAGTCCTCCCCTCTCTGAATTGTAGCGAATACCAGAGCTTGACTGGGAAGAGGATCGTCTTGATGGTCAAAATTTACTACAAGGGTCAAATGACGACTATATTGGACTCCATGAAAATAGGTAAATCTTGGGCGTCGTGCCTGCGCAATCATCTCTTTCAGGAGGCGGACCGGAGATGCCGAAAAACAAATGTTATCCGCTTCCAGGTGATCGAATAATGATGGCAGACTCAGTGGGCACCTTCGTGGTACACGAGTACACGCAGCTCGAACACTTGGTCCTCCTCGGGGCCGGCACAGGGTTCACACCCATGGTTCGGATGATCCACTGGGCGCTGTTCCACTGCAAGAACTTGTGAGTTTGACGAACGCATCGGACCTTCTGGAAGGAAGGGATTTTCGGCCTCCTTGAATCCACGAATCAGGGGCAGCCAGGCCAGGACGATCGATTTAAATTGGCGAAATCCCGTTTCCAGGAAACAAATTCGACTCATGTCATTCCATAGAAGTATCAAAGACATACTATTCAAAGAAGAGCTCGACCGTCTCCAAGAGACGGAGAAAAGGTGAGAACCCTACTCAGGAAAAGCTCGCATTTTTAGTATGAGTAAGCGTAAGGTGTCGCTCGACGTTCGAGATTCGGGTGCCGGGAATCGCGGAGCTGGGTCAGCTGTTGAACAGTCTGATTCTCCGGCTCCCGACTTCTTCTTCGCGGAAAAATCCTTCCGAGCCCCAGCAGAGCTATTTATCCAATACGAGAAAAGTAACCCGGTGCATTCGGAATCTAGGTTCGTTCACAACATCGTACTCTCGGAACCTGACGCTTCGTGGACGGGAATAAAGGGCCGAGTGCGAACCGAGCTCATAAAAGAGTTCATACCATCGGAGACAGACACCAAACTCTTAATAGGAATTTGTGGCCCCAGCCCATTCACAAATGAAGCCGCCAGGTTAGCTTATCCATCAATCCTGCGGATGACGCCTAAAATCTTCGCGTGAAGCGAAACGCTCAGCTTTCTTCGCACTCACACAATCGCCATCTTTTCAGACTCCTCTCAGACGAAGGGTACACCCCGAAGGCAGTCCATCGTTTCGAAACGTGAATGGGGAGCATCCGGTCCTACATCCGATTTCGATCCCTCGTCTGACCGTGATGGATTGATGAAGCATCGCGCTGAACGAAACTGTATACAACGACGGTCGTCTCGCTTTGGTCCTCGAGGCAGAATCTTCAGTAGATGAGAGAATAGGCTCTAATATTTATTATTTTTGTTGTTTTGAATCGAATTCAGGTTCCGTGAAAAGAGAGGTTGAAAGGTGGCTCTAGCCCTCGAAACTTCATTTTATCCTAATAAAACATTATCGATGTCGTTCGAGATGAGTGCTGTTTTCGGAGCATCATCGTTCCTCCGAGGATGCAGTAGCTAGATATCTGGTCAAATTGATCGACGGCCCTTATGCAACACGACTCTGCTCTCGTCATCCCAATCATTCGGCAGGTAACCCAGTGTAATTGGAATGTTTTCGGAATATGCCTCGCTTTCTCATGAGAAGTCAGCAGTGTAGTCGTCCCGGGATGCGCTGAATGTGTCAGACAAGGGAGAGGGAGCACAGGTAAGAGTTACCGAAAATTCAGCGAACGCTTTCTTCAAGCGAGCGGGTCCTGATCTGATCGTCCGCGGAAACCATCATCTGAATCTTCCCTGAACAGAACCGTTTTCTTACTGTATGTGACTCCTGCCTAGCCCCTTAATTGTGAGTAAACTCCGAGATTTTCCCGTATGGCTTATGGGAACGGGTGCCTCTACAGGCGATCGGTTCCCGTCTCATGACCGCGGATCGAGACCTTCGATCGCGAGCCTCCTGAAGGCCTCTCGAATTTTTAGATATGATGATAAATAGATGCGATCGTGATCGAGAATGACTCGAGAGAGTCTCAATCTTCTCTAATTCGAGTGATTCGACGTCGAGACAGGAGTCCACATCTCCCGGGGCTAGGACCCGAGATGCAGGGACTGACAGCGCGGAACTCGTCGCTTCGAATAACTGTCAGCTCGCAACGATTCGACTGGGCAAGCTTGTGAGGCGCGTCCATGTATCAATATTGACACTGACAGCGCTCTTTTCGCACCGGATATTGTATACTTCCTACTTCGATCATAGCTGAGGCGCTTATGGCTCGCACCTCGGGATGATCCGCAACGGCTTTCACAGAGTTTCCGCGCTCCGAAGACTGCTCGAGGAGCCCTCCGGTGTTGGTGCTCTTCATCTAAAAACAGAGGTTATCCAATAACCCGCTGATAATCGCAACATGGAATGCGAGCGGCGATGAGGCGATCACGGGAAAATTGCAAGCGTCTGAACCCTCACGTCGATGGACAATTCCACTCAATGCCGAGGCAATCAAGCGTTGCCGCTGACATACTCAGCCGTACCATAGTCATTCCAATAATAATATTTCCTGGATCTCTTTCGGAGTTGGATATGAAAGCCAGACCGTCTCATGGATGATCGATCATGAGTCCATTCGATGAAGTTGTTTTCCCCGGGGACATCTCCTACTCCGTGTCCGAAGCGAAGGGAAGATCGCTCGAAAAAAACCATGAATCCTGGGTTTTGAACTCTGCGTTGCTTCATGACGTCATAACCCGATCCGGAATGTGGCTCAAGATCCGCAAGGCGCCCACGACGGTGACTGCTGCCGCGCGCAATACCAAGTGGGAGGACGGAAGGAGAATGTCGTGGAGCGCTGTCAGCAGCGGCGGTAACTGCTTCCTAGGCGGCCGCAGGGCTGTCCACTGATTGTTTAACCCATTTGCATATGTGAAGACAGTAAGAGTCACGCGTCCGCGGACTCTCTATCCGTTTTTCTCTTGTTCACGACCTTTACGCATCGCATGGCTGGAATTATAATCGTGTCTTCTGCATCGCGGTTTCATTACGAATAGCTGACAAAATAATGAAGGATCGAAGGGACGTCGACCTCGTTTTTTGGCGCCGCGCACACCTTCGAAAATGGCGGGCAGCAGACGACTGCTTATTCCGTCACTCGCCGACACGGACATCGTCTGCCTGAATTTCGTGTTCGCTCTAAGAGCAGTGGCCGTCGAATTTCTTGCACATTCACAAAGAGTTTCACTCGTGTTACCCATCGACGGCAAGAACTCATCGGGAAAATAAGTGATCAGATTAGTGACCGGAATTGTTGGGGAGGCTGTCATAATTTCGAAGAGTTGGAAACATGGAACTCAACGACTCCAACTTGACAACCCTGAGTCAGTATTTGCAACAGACGTTGGAACCGCGCTTAGAGCAACGGAAAGCGGCGGAAAAATTCCTCGAGAGCGTAGAGGCGAACAAAAACTATCCGATTCTGTTGCTGCAACTCATCGACAGGGAGAATGTCGATATGGTGATCCGAGTTTCCGGCGCGATCACTTTCAAGAACTACATCAAACGCAACTGGTCTACCGGTGAGGACGAGGGAATCTCGCAGAGCCGGGTGCATCCCGAGGATCGGGATCAGATTAAGCGACTCATTGTCGGTCTCATGCTGAAGTCACCGTCGCATATACAGCGTCAATTATCCGACGCTGTCAGTATCATCGGCAAAAGTGATTTCCCCGATCAGTGGCCGAGCTTGCTCGATGAAATGGTGCGGTACTTCGCCACAGCCGATTTTCACATCATCAACGGAGTCCTACAGACGGCGCAATCGCTCTTCAAACGGTATCGTTTTGAATTCAAGTCCGAGAAGCTTTGGCGGGAGATCAAGTATGTCCTCGACACGTTCGCCAAGCCCCTCACCGATCTCTTCGTGGCCACCCTGGAGCTCACGACGGCCAACGCCAACAACAAGGACGCTCTCCGCGTGATTTTCAGCTCGTTGGTCATAATTGCCGAAATATTCTTCAGCCTCAACTACCAGGACCTCCCGGAGTTTTTCGAGGATAACATGAAAATCTGGTTCCCGCCTTTCCTGAGCCTCCTCACCGCCGACAATCCCTTGCTACACGGCGACTCCGACGAGGAGCCGGGCGTTCTCGAACAGCTTAAGAGCCAAATTTGTGATAACGTAACGCTCTACGCTCAGAAATACGATGAAGAGTTCGCGCCTCTGCTGCCGGACTTCGTCAGCGCGGTCTGGCAACTTCTCACTGCCACAGGCAAGGAAATGAAGTACGACGGTCTCGTCAGCAGTGCCATTCATTTTCTATCGACTGTTGCCGAAAGGCCGCAGTACAAAGCCTTGTTCGAAGAGCCTCAGATTTTCGGTTCGATCTGTGAGAAAGTAGTAATGCCGAACATGGAGTTTCGGAAGGCCGACGAGGAACTCTTCGAAGATAATCCCGAAGAATACGTCCGACGAGACATTGAGGGCTCCGACGTGGACACTAGGCGTCGATCCGCGTGCGATCTGGTCCGGGCCTTATCGAAGCACTTCGAAGATAGGATAACGGAGAGTTTCTCAACCTACATCTCGGCCCTGCTCAATCAATACAATGGCGACCACAAGCAATTCTGGAAGAATAAAGACATCGCCATCTACCTTGTCACTTCCATGGCGGTCAAAGCGTCCACGGCGAAACACGGCACGACACAGACCTCACCTCTGGTGAATATTCCTGAATTCTTCGCCAATTTCATTCTACCCGAGTTGAAGGATCCGGATCCCCTGAACCTACCGGTCATAAAAGCCGATTGCATCAAATTCGAAATGAAGTTCCGAAACCAGCTTCCGAAAGAAGTGCATTTAGAAGCTCTACCCCACCTCATCCATCACCTACGAAGCCCACAGTTCGTGCTGCATACGTACGCGGCGGCGGCCATCGAGAAAATGTTCACGATTAGAGTTCCTGCTGGATCGGGAGACGTCGGTCTCATTACGAAGCAGGACGTCCAGCCTCATCTCGGAAAGCTCCTGGAGAACCTCTTTAGCGCAATGGCGAACGAAGTATCGCTCGAGAATGAATACGTCATGAAAACCGTCATGAGAACTTTCAGTCTGAGTCAAGAAGTGCTCATTCCTTTCTTACCGGTTTTACTGCCCAGTCTGACGAACAAACTCATGGCGGTCAGCAAGAACCCATCGAAGCCTCACTTCAATCATTATCTCTTCGAGTCGCTCTGTCTATCTCTGAAAATCGTGTGTGGCAAGGACCCATCGGCGGTCTCGAACTTCGAAGGCATGTTCTTCCCCGTCTTCCAGGAGCTCCTGACACAAGACGTTCAGGAGTTCATACCTTACGTGTTCCAGTTACTCAGCATGATGCTCGAGTTCCACAATTGTCCGGCTCCCCCACCGTACATGGCCATGTTCCCTTGTCTCCTGGTACCCACTCTGTGGGAGCGGCAGGGGAATATCCAGCCTTTAGTCCGGCTAATCCAGGCTTTCATAGAGCGGAGCTCAGAGCAGATTGTGGCGGCGGAGAAGCTGCCCGCCGTTCTCGGCATTTTCCAGAAATTGATCGCCTCGAAAATGAATGATCATCAGGGTTTCTATCTGGTGCAGTCATTGATCGAACACGTAGCACCGAATCACATGCAGGCGTTCATCAAACAAATATTCGTCCTCCTCTTCCAAAGACTCTCGTCGTCGAAAACTATCAAACTCATCAAAGGTCTCCTCGTTTTCTTCAACTTATTCGCCATTAAGTACGGCGCCACGACACTGCAAAGCACCGTAGATGGAATTCAGGCGAATCTCTTCGGCATGGTCCTCGAGAAACTATACATTGCCGAAGTTCAACGCGTTAGCGGCACGGTCGAGCGAAAGATCTGCGCGGTGGGCATGGTGAAAATCCTGTGCGAAACGCCCGTAATGACAACGACGTACTCTTCGTTCTGGCCATTGATTCTCGAAGCTCTCGTGAAGTTGCTCGAGGCCCCCGAGGACACAACGGTACCCGACGATGAACATTTCATCGAAATCGAGGACACTCCCGGCTATCAAGCAGCCTACTCCCAGCTCATCTTCGCTGGCAAGAAGCCTCATGATCCTTTACAAAATGTTCAAGATCCCAGAATACTGCTCGTGGATGGGCTGCGCAACCTCGCGAATTCGCGCCCGGGGACTCTGCCCGGACTCATCCAGGCAGGATTGTCAGAGAACGCCCAACAATATGTACAGAACTATCTTCAGGCTGCTGGAGTCGCGTTGATCTAGATAGGATGTTTGAGTGGATCCTTTCACTTCGGAAATCGATCATAAATGTCAGATTCGAAATTATTCTGCAAGAATGAATCCCGCCTCTTCGAAGATGCTAAGGAGTTTTTACACGTTTTGGTGGAGCTTGAGCTTTCTTGCGAGGTACAGCGATAGATTTTCGAATCGAGGTGCGAAATCATTACTGTTCTCAGGGAAATCCATCGCTGGTGTTAGAACAGATTCAAGGAACAATCTGGAGCGCAATTGTCAAGTTTCTGCGCATCACCGCTTTTTATCCGATAAAAGAAAGTTGTTGCTATCAGCTTCTTCTGTTTTTCTTAATGTACACGATTCCAGGTGAGACTCCTTACGATCTGCCGATTTCATTCGATTCCAGCGAGTGGATCGTCGGACCATTCGCGTGAATCGGCTCATCTCTACTTATGTATGATCGGATTATATTCAATGTTGCTTCCGCCAAATACTCAAATGACTGATAGACATCTGACATGTGCGAGTGGAATTCTCATCGATCGATGTTACATGGGAACAGATATTCCATGGGATGCGATATTGGCAGCATGAGCCAAGCCAGAGTTCTCGATTTCGGTTCAGTAGGAGAAACGGCAAACGCCCCGACCGAAATTCGGCTCTAGCTCAGAAGCGTCTGTGTCTTCATTTGCGGCGCTGGGTCCCGCTTCGTTAAGCCATTCGTTATGCAGGAATCGCTCCAGATGCCCCCACGCGCATTATTTTACGGGGAGCCGGTATCGTTGTACTGCAGCGACGCTCATCACAAGGAAGCTCCTTCCGTCGGCGTTGCACCCGGCGCTTATCAGAAAACCTGTTAAATCACATATTGAACGTCAAATTGAAGTGCGGAAAGGGAGCCCTGCACTAAGGAGCCGCGGAGTCGCGATGAGGAGGGGCCAGCTTGAAGGGCAAGAACTCACGGCACGATCAGGACATCTCATGTCTCAAAGAAAGCCTCTTTCAGGATGCTGACTCGAAATGCGGTGCATAGCACTGATTTTAGTGACTATCGTATCATCGACCGTTGACGCCGCCATTCCCAGAGGTACCTATGAGTTCAACGATGTTCCGGAAATGAGGACCAGGATCTCGGGTGCGTATTCAAGCGATGATAATCCCGACGTGCCGAGGGCTGCTCAATGAGCGAACACGGCCCGGAGTAAGCTGGGAATACCTCAATTCATCTCTTGTCAATATGGGTCATGTCGCTTCATTTACAGCCCTCACGAGTGGATTCGCCAATCCATTCAAGAGCCTCTTGCCGCGGGTCGATTACCAAGAATGCCTGAAGAGATCCATCTGCGAAGCGCATCGTGACCGCATGAAGTACGGTGTTGTTGGTCTGGCCATGCAAGTGATATTCCCGTGAGTCTCGTGACGCATTAATCGGTGGATTCCATCGGAAACCCGAAAATAACTTCTTCAATAATAGCTTCAAAGTTACAGAAGTCCGAGGAGCCTCCCCAACTCTTGATGAGACGATCCGATATTGTTCTCAAAATTATTTTCTGTTGCAGTCCGTTCGATCGGAACATTTTCGGGTCCCGTATACGGAGACCGTTCGCGCTCGCGGCTCAGTACGGAGCATCTCGGAGAGCAGATTGCACAGCGCATTACGATGGATGCGTGGTGTCCTGGCTACGGGTTATGCAGAAAACGATGGATTACATCATGGTGAAACGGGACAATCGCGATTCTTCATCAGGTCACACCGATTTCAAAGTACAGCGATGACAGAGCAGGAACGCTATGGTGTCGCAGGCCGAAGAATCTTGACTAGAGTGATAATGTACAAAATACGAGGATCGATGCGACCGAAACCGGTCGATAGAAGTGGTGAAGGCCATTCGATCGCTTCTAGATTCCACGTTATTAAACGGCGAACTCAAATAAGCTCACTCTGGTTGTTTGAAGCTTTCGTCGATTATTATCATTCCTCTAGCAATTCGCACCCTCGTCAGGATCGAAGTTCCTCTCCCGAACTCGTTCTGCAGATTTGGCTGCTTCTACAGGCGATGAGCCTGGACCGTTGTGTTGATACCTGCCAAAAAAATGTATTATGTGATAGTAGCCAGTTCTAATGAAGATTCCTGTCGGTTGGCTGCGGAGTTCCGTACCAGTGTTCTCAAGCGGAATCTGACTTATCCATGTCGGCGAAGTATAAGTCTTGTCGGTGTGCTTGATCTGTGTAGCTTGTTGGTTTGTACGTATGTATGTCGTATTTATTATTATCATTATCGCTTCGTAGTTGAGCGATGAATTTGCGATAGGCATATGAATAAATATACGATATATATGATACTTCAACTTCTCAACAACATTTTTCGCAATCTATTGCTTGTGTCAGAAAGGTGTTTCTCTGGAAGAATACGTTTATTTGCGTCCTCTTACGCGCGCCCCGCCACTGGGCTGAGCAGTTAACAGATCTTCGTCACAAACTCGATCTCGAAAGCTCAGCACGCGGTGACTTCGCGGAAATGATTCAATATATGTACAAGGCTCTCGTATTTCACAATATTTATAATTCATGGCAGGCTAATCTACGATTATTCTTCGTCCAAGTTTAGGATTCCTCCTCTAAGGTTTCGGAAATTCCGCCCAGGAGCCCGAAAGACCTGAGGCTCAAGCGGAGACGGTATCGACACTCCCGTAACTCGTATGAATGTCCGGGGCGGGAGTCTGATCGTGTCCTGGAACGATAACTTCATGAGCGTACGAACCTCTTCGGGAAAACATTAGAGCTGGCAACGGCAAGAAACAGGCGAAGGGGTCGGCGTTGCGAGCGCTTCTATGGATACACTCGGCAAGTCAGACAGGCGAACATACGTTCACGGGGACCTCAGAGCAACGAAAGACAGAAACTCTGAGAGCAGACACATAGAGCAGCGGCTCAGGTACAGCGGTTTTCAGGGGGCCAGAGCTGTTTGGATCGAAGTCGAGGAACGATTCTCTGTCGAAGTGTTCGGTTCATATAATCGGAAGGGTCGACGATCGGTGACCATCGATGGGCGCTGGCTGTCGCCGCGAATAATTCACTCACCCTGTGATCTTATCCTCGAGGGATTAACGCGGGATGTAAGTGAACACAGGAGTGCGCATACAAGAGCCATCATACCGAAAATCCGGAATGCGCCCTTCGCGCCGAACGGTTGTATGAGACTTCCACCGAGAAAACTACCGACGGCCATCCCTGCCAAAACGGAATCATACATGAAACAAAGTCAAGCAGCGAAATTTATCCTACAATAGAACAAAGTGTTCCGCTGGAATCGCAAGCCTCACCAATGATGCGAAGTCTCGCACTCACCTAGGCCTTCGTATATGGCGCCGAAGAGGCATTGCATCGTCGCAGAAGTTCCGGGAGCAGCGGCCTGATTCGCAAAAGCTGTTGTGGCGGCATAGAACATGGGGAAAACCGCTCCGCCCACAATGTCCACCAAGAGGGCATACCAGGGATTGACCAAGAGGGAGTATCCCAATAGCTTTATCCCGAAACAAATGAAGGCGGTCGTCATACAGCCGAAGTAACCTTCAATTCCGGAAGTTTCAGTTAGGTCTCTACAGAGTCCCAGGATAAACTGATGGCTGAGGTAGCTGCGCGGGCAATACCTAGTCGCTCGATGAGATATCCAGCAATGAAGAACATCGGAATCTCGATGAGCAGAGACTGCACGCTATACGTCAACCCGGTCAGCGTCTTGGACGCATCGAGTTCCTCGAGGAGCCACACGGAGTAAGTCCAAATATTCCCGATGAAAACCCCGCAGAAGAAAACCTGGGGAAGGGAATTTTTCTTGCTCCTATCGTCGAGATCGAGACATGCGTTCTTTGAACGAGTTTTTCGGGACAATGCAATGCGAGCGGGAGATGGGGAGTCTTACCCAAACAGAAAATATGATCACGTCGACATCCGTGAAAGCGTCTTTCAAGTCCGAGAAGAAGTTGTTCGAACGTACAGGAGTCTTGAATCGCGGGGCGCAGTAAAGCATCACAATGTTGATGCAGATGAGAATTGTGAAACCTATAACGCTGGCCGAAAAATCTGTCTGACCACCGGAGGACGAGGCGTCTATGATGGCTCCGATCGCAGGACTGATGATGCCCCAGCTCAGCGTCCCCCAGAGTCTCTGTCGACCGTACAAATGGTCTCGTTTTGGCCCAAGGGTAGCGAAGCAGGCGGCATCCGAGATTGAGTACAAGGTGGCTGCTAGCGAAGAAGTCAACAATATCGAAACGATGTACATCAAGAGCCCCAGTGTGGACAGATGAGCTGAAGGAAAAGAACAGAATAACCAGTCGAATCACAAGACAGATCACTTTCAGACACAATGCAATGAAATATTATTCATCCACGATGTCGAAGCGTCGACGCTCCATCCAGATCCCGATTTCCTATGATTCGAATGCGCGACTCACAGTCGGCTGAGATGCAGTCGATGCTGCATGAAGCATTGCAATTCGAGACCGGGTTATCGATGTAAATGGACCTCGTGCTCGATTCGCAGGACAACGTGCATTCGGTACCTGGAGAAGCCATTAATTCATATAGATCTGGTCTGGTCAAGAAGCGAGACTAATTGATGGAATCGGATGAATAAGCCGAGAATCGAGTTTTCATCAGCTGCGGCCTAGAACCCACCGTTGGCGAAATTCTCGATTTCTGTTGTGAAGTTCTGGGGGCACAAGTCGAAGGATCGATTCAACAAAAGCCGCGATGACCATTCAGGTGCAAGGAAGACGCCCCAACAGAAAGCCATCAGGAGTATCTGGAAATTAGGAACACGTCCGAATTCCTATAGGAGCTTCTAGCTCATGAAAACAGTATCCCCTGCTCCTGAACTCTCAGCTACCGCACAGCGGAGCATGAAATATCCTACCTCTGACACCATGATCACAGCCGTGATGTTCTGGATTCGATCGGAGATGGCCCCAACAATGGGCTTCATGATTGTGGTGATCAGAGGCGCGACTCCGAAGATGATCCCAGTAGTGGAAGCACTGACTCCAGCCTGCTTGCCGACCACTGCCAAGTAATTGAGGTAACATGCCTGAGCTGAAGAAGAAAAATTCCCTCAAAACTCACTCCTGAAGCTCGATGATTGCTGAGCTCATTTATGAAAGAGCTGCTCCGCAAAGTTTTCACCGTGATTATCGATTTCGTCCTTGCTTTGATTCTGTCTTCGCTTTCATCCTCTTCTCGCGACAATCGACCCTTATCGTCGATGATTTCAATCGTACTGTGCAACGAATAAGCGATAGGCTCCACTGAACCTGGCAATTATCATCGAACCAGCTGAGTCATTATATGAACTTAAGGCTGACACGTAATAATCTCGTATCTCATCGGGAGGACTAGCCCGGAGATTATCGCCGCTCTCTTAGAGGACGTCATCATACGATCGAATATTCCCGGCGGACCGGAACATCGTTGATTGGATCGATCACTGAGCCAAATGGAGAGATCCTAGATGCTTGGGGAACGTTGTCTCAGCTCTCGGGCGACGCATAGAGCCAAAACGGAGACCAACTGTGGGATACAGTGAACTCCGCTCATTGGGAGTACCAAATGATCGGACCATCCGCTTGATCGGACGGAATCCGGATCCCCGAATGAGGTTTCCCACTCAAAATCACTCCGTTTAGTCGGGCCAGGTCCAATTAAGCGGAGTCCAATGAATTAAGAACGAGTTGGGTCGGAGCGGGAAGACATCATGTCAAACTGCGCCTCGCAATCGGGACTCACCGCCATTGTATAAGAAGAAATGGGCTTTAATTGGGTATAGGTCCGATGATAACCCCCACATGTTGCCTAGAGTCGCGGTTCAGTGATACACAGCGAGTGGCCCGGCACTGGAAAGAGGAGAAAAACTTGTCTCGTACGGCCTGACGCATGAATGTTCAATTTCACAGGCGGTGGATCGGAATCCCTGCTTCCTAGAGGGATTATCATGATTTTGGTTCCTCTCAAAGGATCTGCGCCCGGCGATCCTACGTAGCGTTCTTCCGGCAACGAAAATCTCGCTTAGCGGCCCTAGTTCAACGCACCGAGAGTCTGAACAGCACACTATTGGGTTCGATCTACGGCTTCCGGAGTTCCCCGCGCAGGAGAATCGTCTCCCGGACTCGTCCACGGCACTCGAAGTATGGAAAGTCGTACGAAATCAATCGGGCCTTTTGCGGGATATCGGGCCGCAGGGCGAGCGCCCGATGGACCGCCGCACCATACTCTCCATGACGCGGAAGAATCCCCATTCGGAAAGAAGTCGAATTATGATCACCGTCGCGGTGAATCGTCCAGGATTCCCCTGAATGCCGCGGAGGCCCGAGAGAATCTCCAATCTTCAGAAAAAGTCGATGCTTAACTTCCAAAACACATCTCTCAGGATTCCAAGCGACATCTTCGTGGCTCTCTGGAGAGCCTTGGCTTTCTGTGGAAATCGATTTGAGTATGCAATCAGCGCCGAATCGAGCAATGGGAAAGCGTTTTTCTCCGTGATCCCGAGGTAGGATAGATGTAGGGGTAGGCTCGAAGTTCTTGGAGTGGCACGAAGGAAGTGTGGCTCCAATGGCATTCATCTACGAAATTACTCCGGGACAAATACCCTCTGCTTAAGGATAGGGACGCGTTGACGGACTTCGTAGATTCATATTCAGTCCAAAGATTTCTCAACACGAAGCTCTTAGCAAGTTCCCCGCTTAGAGCATCTTCGCCTCTGTAAGTAGCCGATGCACTTCATACAGGCTATCTTGTTGACTCTCGATAAAGAGTGCGCTTCGAGATTACATCGGTCGGCACGGGAGGAAAGAGAATAGATATTTCGTCTTTTCTTTCGCCGACTCGAAGCGTTCACGAGAGGCTTTTTCAAGTTGCTCGCTATTTCGTTCCCATGTCCCGATACGGAGCTCCTCGGAAAGCGAAAGAGTCGAAAACAAAATCCAGCTCCTGATACAACATCAGGCATGCAAATTATTATTCATTATTCACATGGAGCGCCCTCGCGATTCCGTTTTCTGGTCGTTGTAGTTGAGCAGTTTCGGAGATCTGACCATGTCTGGTCAAGCGCGAGATCGGCAAGGGCTCAGCAGTTCGGAACTCGACGACGTGCGCAGAGAACATGCGGAGATTTTCTGACATTTCGAATCAGCTTTCCGCTTCAGTCGATCTTTTTTTTGAATCGTATCGGGCGGTTGGCGGGTGCTGGCTAATGCAAGGATCGTGCAGTAAAATCGGCCCGATACGCCGAGATAATCTTCCGCTATTTTACGCTCATTCGTCGAGCGTTCATTTCGAGCTCAAGCATGAGCCGTGACTTGGCCACTGGACTTGCTCGCGCAATGCCCCGCAGAATTTATGGCATGCGAATGAGCTCGGGTCGAAGCGAGAGCTTTCCTGACCGACGATTTTGCGGATATGGAGGAGATATTCGATTTCGGTAGCATCGGATTCAATGGCAGAGTGAACTCACCGTTCAAACGTCTGATCCCAGCACTGGACGTCAATCACAGCTTCGAACATTCGCAGGTCCGTTATAGTCGAGAGCTTCATGAGCCCGGTTTCCACATGGTCAGTGTGACTGTTGCTCTGCCAGCGCAGAGCGTTGTATGAGAGGGTCGGCAGGGGGAGAGGGACGGGACAGCTTTGCGAAGACGAGATTCGTCCGGAAAGACAGAGCTTCTGAGCTATCTTCGAGCGCGTAACCATGTCAAAAATCCTATGATCTACACCGAACATCCGCTGAGAGCGGAGGCCGATGAGCGAATTCAGAAAATCTAAAGTCAAGTTTTTCCCCGGAATCCTAATGCCTAGATTAAGGATCTCCACGCATATATTGATCAAGGATTCTCCCGAATCAAGTTTCCCCGTTCGAGGCGGACGGTAGCTCGAGAAATGGTCGCGCTCAGCTATCGCAGGCCGCAGGAGGGTGGGATGAGGGAGATTCCCGAGAAATTTTTCTTTGAGTAATAATCATTAATAAATGGACCGATCGAGCCCGCGCCGCCCCAACGCTCTGTCCTGGAAGTCAAAGCAAGCCTGCAGACATCCGGGTCCCGCGTGAGGGTCCTAATCCATCATGACGGAACTTCCGGACGCTCGCTACGGTCCTTGGACTTCTTCGCTGCACGGGAATGATCCTCGGATATCGATTACCAAGCTCTCGTAATCTCGACATAACTAACTTTGAGTTCGGGCTGCTTTCTATTATTTCGCGATTCCTTGTCAGCGTCAGCGAGTTGCCGAGACCGGAATGCAAACACATATCATTGCGGATCGGATCATCGACACTAGCAGAGAGCGGAGCCCCTCTCACCGTCGTGACATCGACGGAATCAGAAACGTCGCGTCGTACAGATGGGCGGGAGCATTTTTTCCTCCTCGAATGCCTCAGCATGGAAACGCGTATCAGCGAAAATTCGCCACTGACAGGTTTCATCCATGATATCAGAGCGTAGGTGTCATAGCACATCATGGGTGTCATAGCATGAGCTGATCTTGTCCTGCAAGGAATGGGTTCCGTTCCCCTAGGATAAGCCAGACAAAGGCCAAGGATGCCGCTTTGGGAGAGTCACCCAGAAGTGAGTGAGTATACCTACATACATAAGCTAAGTCTCCTTCGCTAGCAGCCTTCTCTTTGGGTCCTCCGTCCTTCCTGACGATTCGCTGCACTGAGTTACCTCCTGGAGGTATGATCATCATCGCCAGGGAAGACTAAGAACATGGGAAGTTCTGGCGGGAGTTGCCGTAATTCATCGAGTTCCCCTCTCGCGCAAAAGTTTCTCTTCCCTTGAATTACGTGTCACGGTCGCGTACGATCGCTGCTCATTGACGATGCGAATCGTCGATTCGGGGAGGAACAAACTCTCCGAGAGTCTATCGGATCGAAAGTATCGACCAGTCTGATGTGTTGACGTATGCGTATCGCTTTCACTACATGAAAATTCAGGCTCTGTTCCTTTGTACAACAAGTCGCTCTCCATTCGTTTGTTTTATTTGTCGCTGGTGGCCCAGATCCCAGCGCCACGTACCATTTAAATACGTATAAACACACATCTATTTTACACACTCTGCTCCGCTCACTCGTGGGTCGGTGGGTTCCACCTCGTCCGTCCCTAATCTTGCATCTCCTCAGTGATCTCATGAGGGTTGAGAATACCAGGCACGGACATCTGCTGCTTCCGCTTCTCAGCTTCGGCTTGTCGTAGAGCGGCTTCGCGCTCTTCGAGGTAGAGATCGGTGTCATCTTCTCCAGTGAACTCCTAGAGATTTTCGATTATTTTTAGTACACCCTGAAGCGGATATGAGTCACGGTCTCCGGATTTCAAATACCGAGCGGGAGGTTTTAATTCGATTGCGGTCAGTCCACTTACCCTGATTTGAACGAGGAAATCTCTCAGATGTTCTTTGAACTGGGGAACGTTCTGATCCAAGTTAATGAAACCTTGTACAGTTATTTTCACTTGATTACTGCAAATTGAAGACGGAACAATTAGTCACGACAGAATTTTGAAGATCAGTATGAGCTCCTCGATATCCGCAGCGGCTGAGTGCACTTACTCGCTGAGATGTGGGAAAGCCGTCTTCAGGAGATTGGCTACGAATTGTTGCACGTAAAGTGTGTTGTCAGTGATTCCCGGGGCTAGGGGAGTGGTGATCTTTCCGGAATCAACCAGAGCAAACATATAGGCGAGGATCACCGCTTGCTGAGCTAGGCCCGCAGAATGAGACGTATCGGTGACGACGCTGAACAGATGCTGCAGAATGTCGGTGAAAAACGTCTGGTAGAACTGTTGAGCGGCCATCTCCTCGGCGGCCACCTGCTTCAGGAGGGTGAGGAGAATTTCCAAGCCGATGTCCGCGACGTTGCGCATCGTGTGCTTGAAAGCCCAAACGATCGAGTCGAGAACAAGTTTGAACTTGTCTGGAGATAGCTGGATCAACGCCCCGAAAGTGAGCGTCACCATCGATTGGAGCAACAGATACAAATGCAGTCTGTGCTCGGGGAACTCCTCGAAGTCCTTGTTGATCATCTCGAGCGTCACCTGGAACAGGGCGTCGAAAACCGTGGGGACGAATGGGATCATCAAATTGTTCATGCGCGTGATGATCGTTGTCATGGTCTGGAGCACTTCGGGCTCTCGGGCTTCGGCCACCGGACAGATCAGGTAGTCCTGGAGCACAGCGTCCAGCAGCGGCTGGATGAAGTTGTCCAATACGAGTTTGGGATCATCCGACTTCGATACCCAGCAGCCGATGAGTTTGAGGATGTCTTTCTTGACCGTTCGCATTGCGCGGATCAGAGGCTGTTTCGTCACAGAGTCCCCGTGGCTCTGGATGGCCACGCAGATGTTCTCGGACATTACTTTGTAGACATTGAGCATATCGAGATAGATTCGGCCCAGTTGGGTGACGTACGGGTGACCCAGCGACTTGCATGCCCGGTAGTTCGTCTTGAGAATATTGCCCAGCTGCTTAACTGCGTCGGGATTTTTGAGAACGTCGACGTTCTTCGTGGCCTGATTAATAATATCATCCCAGATGACGTTCGGTAGCTGCATATACTTTTCGATGAGACGCTCCTGCCTCGATTGCTCCGTTTCGGAGCTAATCATGTAGCCGACAGCCTCACAGAACGTATGGACCTGTTGCGGTTGTAGGTCGTATATGATCGACGAAATATTCATCAGAATCTCTTCGATGAAAGGCTGGACCTCGCCCACTTGGACCTGGGGACAGGGATTACAACCGATCATGAGCATGATCACGAACACCCTCGAATTTGACCTCGCTCGAGGATAATTATGAAATCCTCGAATTTATCGCGCGGAATAACCGAACTCACCTGAACGAAGTGTCTTTTGCACTTCTGGGCGATTTTGATGAAAGTGTCGCAGGCCATGTCTTGAACTCCTTCGTGGGTTTCGTGCATGAACTCAAACAACTTGTTCACCACGGTCTTGAGGAACTTCCAGTGTGCGCGCAAGAATCGAGGGTACTGGCCGACGACGTACATGATGTTCGAGGCGATGATCGCCTTGTTGTCTTTGCCGCGTTTCTGTTCACAAAGACCGAGCAGGTCCTTGATGACAGTGACAAGAAATCGTTTTTCGTCTTCTTCGTGCATCGCACCCGAAATGGAGCCGATAGCCCAACACAAGGTGTTCAGGTTCTTCCACGACCATTCGGTTCCGTTGACCTGTTTGTGGAGCTTCTCGGTCATGATACGATCCGTATCCTCGCAGTTCAAGTGGGTCAAGTAAACTACGGGAGGAATATATTCGAAATTATTCAATGCCCAACCGACGGACTCGATTAATATGCGAAAGAGCGGATCCGCGAGCGTAAGCGTAAGATGACTCTTCCGGGCACTTACCAAGACACTCCCGCATGTTCTTGTACAGCGTCATGGAATCAGTATCTTTCATGAACTCGCGAACTACCTCGCCCTGATCATTTTCGACGACGAGAACTTCTTCCGGCTTCGCCATTCGACCGATCATTATGTAGCGCAACTGAGTCAAAACTGGAGCGTAGAGCTTCCTACGAGATGCACGCGCATCTCTCTCGGTAGATGAATAGATCAGCGTAATGTGTAACGAAGTGCTCATTTCGGTGCTCCGGTAGAGTTCCTGTGCGAGATAACCCCAGTACTCGAGGCATATTTTGAAAATTTCCACGTCCTCCACTTCGGAAATGAGCAAAAGAAGCTGCAATGCCTCTAATACGACGCCGGTCTGTTTGCGGCTATCCATCAACGAGGTACGCATCTTCAGCATCGTGCAGAGGAATAAAGCAAGGTTCTGGATGAACTTCTGCTCCATATCGGAGCCGGCGGCGTAAGCGGCTTTGATATTCGTATCGCACGGAATGATCTGCGTCATGAGCTTCATGGTCTCGACGAAGAGAATCTCAAATTGGTCGTGGTAGGCGTCGGTTTGAACAGCCCCGATTTCGGTCAGGCACTTCAGCGTGACGTTGCGGAATAGGTTCACGTGAAGAAACTTTGATATAAGGTTCTCGATGAGTTTCGTCTCAAATATATAGCCGAGAGGAATCCAATTCAGGAATCTCAGCAGGGTTTCGAGCGTCGCTTCGACGAGCAACACATCGCACGAGTTATCCATCACGTACAGACACAGGGTGTAGACCTGTGAGAACTCGTTGCACATGGTCTCTTTGAGATGTTTGGCCTTCGTTTGAGTCATCGCGCCGCAGCTGAAGTCGAACAATTCTTCAGAGAGCAGCTTCAGGATGACCATGTTGTTGCGACAGAGGTTTTCGTTTATCTTCGACGCCCCGACGATATCCGAAATGAAAGTTGGCCAATTCTTCGGCCACTCACGCTTCAGAATGAGCACGAGAACCATGTTGAGTTTGTTGAGATAAACTCTCCCCGCTGATATCGAATCGGCATCCTGGGAATATTTTATGATGAGACCGACGATGTATTTCTTGATTCCGTCGCACTGATTCCGAGGAAGTATTTTCCAGCGAGTCTTGATGACCGTTTCTAAAATCTGGAGCGCGAAATACTTTGTCTGTTGGTGTTGAGAGAACTCGAGAATCGTGTCGACTCGAGTCCATGCGTCTGGATGTTCCTGCCGATCGAAAGATTAATTTTCAGCCCATGCTCCCTATCTCGCAGGGCCCTCGAAAGTCGAGTGAGTGCTCAGCGGATCGCAACCCTGGGAATTAAGGAATATACGAGCATTTGAGCATGGCACTTAAAACTCTGCGTTGCTCACCTTGAGTCTCGTGAGAATTTCCTGGGCCATTCTTTGATCATTACCAGTGGTCGAGTACATCGTTTGCACCACATTATCGAGGAGGTTTATATCGAGCTTCTGGGAGAAATCGAGCAATTTATGCGCCGCCGCAACTTCGAGCGGCGCCGAAGAGCCGTTGACTGCAGCGGGAAAGGTCATCGTTGAACTTCTGCAATGAGAATCCAACCTTTCAGACATCCACCCAATGTGAGCTCAATCCGACAGGTCTGAGAGTAGTGAGCTGACTCCGGCAGAATATCCCTCCCATGAACCTCCGATGGACTCCGAGGAGACGCTCCCGAGTTCGAGAGAAATGCACTTCACGGCCGGAGCTCCTCACCCCACTAGAAAGAACCCATTTTCGTCACGCGAGCATTCCAGAACGACTTGAAAATCTCCTCCACGTCGGACGGAATCAAGAAGCGCGAAAATCTCATCAAGAGAACGTGGCCCACTACGGACGCAATAGGAAAAATACGCTCGAGATCAAGCGGAGGCTCGGCAAAATGATTGGGTGCACTCCCTAACATAACCGTGCTTCTTGTTGAGCAGGAATTCATTGAATTAATCGACGTTGAGGCAATTTCTCAATGAGCAGAAGATTGTCAATGCAGTGGACTGTGGGAACACGACATGATTCCCTAGTGACTAGGATGCAAAACAAAACTATCGTCCACAATGTTTGAATCATGCCTCGGTAAACAATACCCCGAATTTCGGGAAAGACTCTCCTCGAAGAGAAATAAGCTTCTAGATACGTTCGCGGTACAACATTGTCGCGATTCGCATTCGGAATTAAATTCTGCAAAAGCGCAGCTCAGACCGCGATAGTGGTCAGAAATGCCCCGACTCTTGAGTCAGCCGCCGTTTCCGACTTCTGTTGCGCACTTCGACCGATTTGTATCTAAGGCAAACTCACCAACCGAAGTAGACCGAAGCAGAGCGTTGTAAGCAATCGCGTAGAACTAGTCGTAAGGAACGAAAGTCGACAATTCACGACGTAGAACACGGCATGTGTGGTGCTGATGGTTGCAGTAAGTAGTGATGGGACGAACGAGGATTGGTGCTGTATCCCGAATGAGGCGCCAAAACCCAGTACGGCATTAGCGTTCCAAGAGGTGCTCGCACGGCGCGTTCAATTCTCCAACAACTCCTCTGAGATCCCTAGACACTCGAGACGACAAATCAATACCGATATCCGTGATGGATCTGAATAAAAAGCCAGCGTTCCAGGACTCCTCAACGGCTTGATTTCGAGCTCTCTACAAAAGACCGCCTCGGTCTGCTTTCAACCGGATCTAGCCGGATCAAACCGACCTTAGGCGAGTTCAAATGTACCTCTCGTGGTAGATGTCGACAACGAAATGAGAGAAAAACAGAAAACTCTCTCTCTGTACGAGGCAATGTTTACAGCGATGGATGGATTTTTGTTCCCGCTCTCCAAAGCGGGCGGCTGAAGCGAAGGCGCTGTTCAGGCGATGGGCGCGCTATGTTGGCCGAGAGAAATCATTGCTCGGCGTCTTTCAGATCGCTTTTACAGCGTCGAATGGCTCGGAGTCGATGTCGGGAAATATTGCTTTTCCGAAGAGCTTATCTATCAATGAAATTGAAAATCTCCTATCTCTCTCTTCTGTGGACGTCTAACAATAAGGTTCTACATGAGTTCTACAAGGGAATGAATCCAAGGTTCTTCGGCGCGTAGTTCTTTGCATTTCCTCTGTCACATAGCCCTGGATCTGCTTTCCGCGATCGAGGAGCGCCTTGTGCGCGTCGTCCGACAGCGTAAGCGCGAGCACTTAAAGGGTTTCGACAAGACTCAGCGCTTCGCTTGCGGATGGGACCTTTTTCGGTTCGTCGACAAAGGTTTCCTCTCCTCCATCGTCAAGGATCTCCTGCGCCTCCGGAGAAGAGCTTTCTGCACAAGGTGTCCGGAAGCTCTCGACGTCCTCCATGGAGCAGGGATCCGTGATGCGGACTCTTCCGCACAACCGTAGTCACAACAGGCCTTCGTCCACGACAAACTCATCGGCCGGATCGCGTTCTCGCACATTCTCCGCACTTGCGACTCACTCACACCGAAACCTTGAGCTACTTCTCTTCGGCTTTTACCTCGACAGTGTCGCTGAATCATTCCCACATTCTTGTGTGGCGCAAGCTCGTTTCTTTGTTCTCACATGCTGGAGACTTGATAAGATATTAACTCGAGATCGAAGTTATCGCTCCGAAGATTCGCTTGCTTTCCTAAGCGCAAGTCGAGAATGGTTAATCTCCGTCGAGCCCTCCCTCGGCCGCGCTCATCATGTGAGACGAGGGAAAGAAGATGGGACAGAAGCGAGAGTCCACTGAAGGAGTGATCCTCAATCTTACTCAAGCATCGCTCCACTCCAATACAGACGGACGGTCGCGTGGTCGGAGCGATCTGCAAATCTCATGAATGTTGAATCCACTTATTAGTGGGCTAGCCCGGTGAGGTACGGGAGGTCGTTGGAATTTCCTATCTGCAGTCGCAATTTTCCCCCGCGGGAATATCGAGGCATAACTTCCGACCGTGGCCTCTTCTGATATTATTTGACTAATGATCTAATTTTTTTCTCTCGCGATTCAGAAACAAAAGTTTTCCCTCGGACTTCCTGGGTGCTCTCCGGAGGGCTGGGCGATACTGCGATATCGTCGAGACTCGGAATGACCGCCCAATATTCCGTCCACAACATCGACGAAGATCATCGACACCATCGTCTGCACTCCCCTCTCTCTCCTCCCGACGACGGTCCGACGGACGACAGATTCCGTTTTCCAAATAGCTCTGCACCGCTCTTTTCCTGAAGACCGTATCTCAGCGAGTGAGACACGGTCGGGGAGCTCTGAGGGCACTCTCAACAGTACATCCGAAGATACTCATGACTAGCCCTTGTTCCCACGAATTCATGAGCTGTTCCTCGCGAGCCTGGCAGCGCACTGCCGATCAGCCACTGGAACGAGATGGAGAGGGAGTATGAACAGAAATTTGTCACGGCTGATCATGCTGCGATGCGGGCGCTCTCCTGTCATCTGATTATCATAGGTCGGACCTCATGAAAGAATCCCTATAAGTACCGATCACCTCGACGGGTCCATCCAACGCTCACTCGGATAAACCATCGGCGCCAGTGACACTCATGCTCCTTCTTGGAAGCCCCCGAGGAAATATTCGCCAAGCGCCGTCTGATAGTCATGCTGAAGCTCGAATAACGTCATGATGCGCTTACGGAGAGATCAGAACGTGACACAGACCTGTGGATGCTCGTGGCCAGTCAGATCACCGTATCAGACCCGCGCGCCGGCGCGGCGGAAATCCGGGCTGCTGTTGGGAAATCATGACTGACAATCGATATCGAATATGCATGATATCCGATTTCTTCCACCCCAACACGGGAGGACTCGAGACCCATATCTATCAACTGGCCCAGTGCCTCATACAGAGAGGCCACAGTGTCGTCGTTTTAACTCATTCGTACTTCGATCGAGCCGGCATACGATACCTGACGAACGGACTGAAGGTCTACCATATTCCTCTGTGGATTGTTTACTGTGAATCTGGTCTGCCGACGCTTTTTTGCACGGCACGACTCGTGCGGAACATACTATTGCGGGAATGTGTCGACATCGTTCATGCCCATGGAGCATTTTCGAGCTTAGCGCTGGAAGCCATGGTACACACGGCTTGCCTCAACCTTCGGAGTGTCTTCACCGATCACTCGCTGTTCGGCTTCTCCGACGTTTCGGCCGTGATAACGAACAGCTTGTTGAAATTATGTCTCCACATGTGCGACCACGTTATTTGCGTCTCGGAGGTCGGAAGAATGAACACGGCTCTACGAGCTCTGGTCCACCCCGACAGGATCTGCGTAATACCGAATGCCGTCGAAACAAAGTGCTTTCAGCCTCTGCATAAGCCTCGCAAGAGCAAGCAGATCGTCATTATAGTTCTCTGCAGGCTTATGTACCGGAAGGGCATCGATTTGCTCGCCGATATCCTCCCGACGATAAGCAAAAAGTATCCGGAAGTGAAGTTCCTGATCGGAGGCGACGGACCCAAGAGAGTCCTCCTCGAAGAAGTCCGAGAAGTCCATAAGCTACAAGATCGAGTGCATCTGGTCGGAACATTGAAACATCACGAGGTTCGAGATTTCCTTGTCAAAGGCGACATCTTCCTTAATACCTCGTTGACCGAAGCCTTCTGTATGGCCATTGTGGAAGCGGCTTCGTGCGGACTCCAGGTTCGTCATTCCGATAATCTTTCCCGCAGTCAAAATTCAGCCCCATGTTGAGCTCCACATAGGACGCGCCGTGATTATAACTCCCGCGCTAAACAAAATTCCCTCCCCTTCCCCAGGTGGTCTCCACGAACGTGGGAGGTATTCCCTACGTTCTGCCATCGGACCTGATTTGGCTGTGCAATCCATCGGTGGATTCTCTGATAGATGGCTTGGAGAGCGCTATTCACGCGAAGAAGAAATCCAGCAACGTGAAGCCTTGGGTCGCGAACCAAAGAATCTCAAATCTTTACCAGTGGAGCTCTGTGAGCCGCGAGACTGAAGCGGTTTACCACAAAGTGATGGCTTCCGAGAAGCCAAGCATAGCCAAAGCTTTCGGGCCTTTATTCAAAAAATGCAGTATTTTTGAGAGTTTATTCTTTTCCTATATACTCAGTCTCATATACGTGGTGTATAAATTCTACGACTGGTGCTACCCTCTCAAAGTCGACGATTTGCCGTGGTTCATGCCAACCCATGAGAAGCTAACCAGATCAAGATCAAAGTCCGAATGATATTCGCAGCCTTGTTCCTGGCCTGATCGACCGGTTACGATCCGGGGTGAGGAGAGTTCGTCGGAATATTCAAGGGAAAAGCTTCGCCGACGAGCTCCGGCAGAAAACTAGTCCGCCGAGGATTCATATGACGACGATTGGAAGGAAAACTATCCTTGATATGCGCGCTGCGCACAAAACTTTCCTGCTGAGAATAGCCAGATTGCCGCGGTGGAGGACAAACTATACTTTATAAGATATTTCGTTCCCTAATTCGATCATTGCGATAATTAATGCGAGGTGGAGAGGACTAGGTTATGAATTTGATACAAGGCTGTGACGAAGAAAATCAGATGGGCATATTGGAGGCGTTTATTTCCGTATCGACGGCACACTGAATCGTCTATCAGAGGCAGTCCAATTGAGATGAATGACACAAGTTAATAAAAAAAATCTATTAAGAAGAGCAGCTGCTGATCACATACCCCTGACGAGGCGAATCCTTCATTTGTCCAACTTCATTATAATCTGCCTGTTCTGGAGGCTGAGGATTAGCGCTTCAAGTCTTTACCCATTCGGTAAGGGCATCGCAACGGACGAAGAAATCATGAATCGAATTCGGCGGGGATCGCCGCGGGTTCAGAAGTTCGTCTAAGGTAGGTTCCCAATCCGGGTCACTGCGTGTACTTTTCGAAAGTTCGATCCCACGGTTCCGGTGAGCGCGCGAAGGAGGTCTCCGCGTATCCCGGTCCCGGAACAATGCGTTCATCCATTCGAAGAGAACACGAGTGTTCGAAAACCTCCATGCGAACTGGGAACGCGCGGTGTGAACTTCTGACTGTGTTTGCGGAAGTACGGCGATTCAATTCTTAGAGCTCCATGAATTGATTCTCCTCTCCGACTCCGTTCAGAAATACATAGAATAGCCTCGAATTATCCTGGGACTTCATCAGAAGGAAATGAAACTGAGCGCGGTTCCGGTCTCGAGGAGAAGGGGTCAAGCACAACAGGAATCGAGCACGAAAAGTTCTCTACCTTGAGACAAAGTCTCTCGATTTATGACTGACCTGAAGAATTGAAAACGGTGACGTGAATACCTGCCTAGGACGAGGGATATCGCTGCCGCTAGCGAGGAGAGCTTCACAGGCATCGGGTGAAAATTTCACTACTTTACGGCGATGATCTCTGTCCAAAAGTTGTCGATAGTTTGCTTCGCTCCGGAACCAGTCCCTTGGTCTGAATTTTGAGGATGAATTCTCAGGTTTGATGAATCTACCGTGGCGGAAGCTGAGACTGACGAATGCGCTGCTCGAGAGAGCATTCTTCACATCGAGTTATGCGTCGGCGAAGAAGAAAAATTTAGGACCAGCTAAGTTCTCGAAAGTCAAACCTTTGACGCCCGCAATTGAAGTGAGTTTATGAACGACTCCTGGTTGGAATCATCCTCATCGAATACTATCAGATGAGCTCACACAGCTCGGATCAAGGGAGTCGGATGAATATGGGAGAAATGCTTTGCCTGAGAGAAGAGCTTTCCTTCAGGTGTGGGACCAGATCAAGATCAAAGAGTTATCCAAAATTACGCAGCGATCCATTGACGATATCTTCGAGGCATTGTTCTACATCGACAGGGCCGATGTCTACGGAAAAGTCAGCGATAAAATCCCCAGACAAGACCTGAAGAAGGTACGTACCCATGCATGCTCATCTGATGCATCATTATTCGATCGAACCACGAATCGGCGAACACCTGCTCTCGAACCAATCTCCGAACTAAGAAGTGGAATCTGTTGCTTTGAAGGTTCTCGAGAAGTTGGGGATCAGAGGCAGAATTGGACCTCCTCCCGTGGAGACAAAAATCGAGCACGTCAGAGAGAAAATTCCTTTTCTCGATGCTGTGCGCCAACCGCCTCCTGCCGAGGAGCAGCTGAGGCCGAGAAGACCAGTGGGTCAGTTGAAACAGATGTTCCACCGACAATGCGGGGGATCGCGAAGATTCAGCCCCGGAGTGGAAGTCGGACTCGATCGAATCTTGGAGGCTTGGATCTGGCGAGACCCATGCAAACTTTTACTTCATCGCTGCCTACTCTAATTCCAGTCACCGTGATGGGTCACGTTGATCACGGCAAGACCACTCTACTCGACACCTTGAGGAACAGCCACATCGTCGACGAGGAACACGGTGGCATAACGCAGCACATCGGCGCGTTTTCCGTGCCGGTTCCTCAATGCAAACTGGGAGCAATCACGTTCCTGGGTGAGCATAGGTCTCGAGATACCAAGCGAGAGACCAGAAGTTTGAATTCCATGTGAGAACTTGAGGATCTTTGATTTTCAGACACGCCTGGACACGCTGCTTTCTCCGCAATGAGGGCCAGGGGAGCGAACGTGACGGATATGGTCATCTTGGTGGTCGCTGCGGACGATGGAGTCATGGAACAGACAGTAGAATCGATAAAATTTGCGAACGAAGCTCGGGTCCCGATGATTGTGGCGATAAATAAGATTGACAAACCCGGGGCGGACCCAGAGCGTGCTAAGAGAGGTGAGAATCCGTCGGAGCTAGAAATATAAAGAAATGGAATTTGATTCCGGAGCCTCCGGGAACTCGCTCCCGAAAACGCTCAGGAACATTATTGTGAAACGTCTCTCCCAAGGTCTATTGGAGCATGGGGTACAGTGCGATGCGGAGGGAGGTGAAGTGCAATTCGTGCCGATCTCCGCGCTCAAGGGTCAAGGTCTTGACGAGTTGTTAGAAGCTATCGTCCTCCAAGGCGAGCTCATCGGTCTTCGGAGCGCTTTTGAGGTGGGTTCTCGAGTTTTAGTGCCAACGTGCCAATTGATCCATGGAGTTTCCGACGGTGCAATTGTCGACCGTCGAATATGTCCGAGCATATGTATCAACTGTCTTGGTTTGCCTATGAACTGTAAATTAATATAGAAAATTATTCAAGGGTCTGGTTGAAGGTTATGTGATAGAGAGTTTGACGCACGAACACAGGGGCAAACTGTGCACGTTACTCGTCTACAGAGGCACCTTGAGCAAAGGCGACATCATTGTGGCGGGACAGGCTTGGTGCAAAGTTCGATCTCTGTTCGATGAGTGGGGGAAACCTCTGCAGAAAGTCGAGCCTGGCTGCGCTGCTCAAGTCACAGGTTAGATGAAATCCACGAAGCCAAGTCTGAGCTCGAGGGCAGCTCTCGAGTCAGCCCGGGACCTCCAGCACGTTAGCGATTTGGACATTTACTGTCTTTCCAGGCTGGAGAGCATTGCCCGCGGCTGGTGATCTGGCGCTCGAGGTTGAGAGCGAGCAGCGAGCTCACGAAGTCATGAAGGTACGGGAACAAGCTTCCAAAGTTGAGAGACTGGCCGTCGACGCTAAGGTCATCGAGGAGAAGATGGCAGAATCTCGAAAATCATATCGGGAGGAACTCGAAGCTCGAAGAGCCCTCGGATACTATCGGAAGCGAAGAACGACGATTCGAGCGAAAGAAACCGAGGAAGACAATCATCCCGCTCTGCATGTCGTGGTCAAGGGCGAGTAGAAAATTCGCCGCGTACTGTTTATGATGTGAGGGGACTGACCTCGGGGTTTGAATCTCGATTTTCATTTTAATTGGTACCCACAGGCGATACGGACGGCTCAGTGGAAGCTCTCTTGGACATCCTGGAAACGTACGACCGGCACGACGATTGTCGATTGGACGTCGTTCATTACGGAGTCGGTCCCGTGTCTTTGTCGGATCTTGAACTGGCGAAGACGTTCGACGGCATCGTGTACGCCATGCATGTGGGAATTCTTCCAGAAACCAAAGCAGTGGCGAAGGAGGATGAGATCAAATCATTCAAGGTGACTCCCCCACGAAGGCTGACTCGTTGTCGCCGATGATAATATCGACCGAGGCCTCTCTTCCTCTTGATTTTTGATTCGAGACGCGTAGAGGAGAAACATTCGGTTATTTCAGGTCATTTATAAATTGGTCGAGGACATCAAAGCAGAAATCGGCAACCGCTTGCCGATGATCAATGCCGAGGAGGTAATCGGTGAAGCTAAAGTTCTCCAGGAATTCCTCATAAATGACAAGAGGAAAAAGCTGCCGGTAGCTGGATGCCGATGTCTCAAAGGAGATCTGCTAAAGGCTGAAACCTTCAAACTCATGCGGAATGGTGAAGAAATCCATCGGCAAGTATCCTCCTTCTGTCTCCGTGACTCCTGTCCATTCGACGAACTTTTCTTCGATTATTCACGAATTCCCTCCCAGGAATGAGCATGATTTCGTTTCAGTGGTCCCGTGATCTCTATGAAACATATGAAGAACGAGGTCAAATCGATCAAGACCGGCGTAGAGTGCGGTATCATGTTCGCAGACTCGGATGTCCGGTTCAAGGAGAATGATGAGATCGTTTGCATTCGTGAATACAAAGTCAACCAGAAAACAAGCTGGAGTCCCCGGGGATTTTGAACCAGAATCCAGGAGACAAAGCCTCATCGACGAGATTAGATAGTTGAGCGACTTTGTACATAAACAACTAGACTAGGACGGTGTACAGTAAAGAATGTTTGGTGAGAAGAATCGAGTATTGTGTGATGATTTCATGGCGAAACTGGAACTTCCCGAGAGCCTCCGAGGAGGCACGGAACTGCAGCGAGAGGTGCGTTCTGCGAGCGGTCCTCTCTTGAAGGCAATGGATGCCCGCGAGGGCTATTTGGGTGTGTCCGCAGTATCCAAGGTTGAGGAGTCGCTCTGAGCAAGCGGCATCAATCGGAATAGAGATTTACGAAGAATCGAGTCGAACCCCGGCTGAGGCGGCCATAGTCCGTAAGTTTCCATAGGCTCTTCCGCTTTTATTCAATCGTTTCGCTTGGAAGACGGTCCCCCACTTTCTCACCCCGAGAGGGTGCTGCGATTGCGTGGCCGCGCACGCAATCGCAGTCGCAGTGGAAGACCGCCTCCAGGTCGGCTTCATTTCCAGGCGACAATTGAGTACTCCGACGATCAAAGACTGCTGTCCACGGGAAACTCGGGAAAAGCAATCACTGAAAATCGCTCTCCGCGATTCGCGACGATCAGTGAGAGGGGAATGCGTATTCGCATGATGGGAAGTCTGATTCGAAATAGTACAGCATCCATACATATATTTATGAAACTCGACTCGTCGGGTGTCGGAGATCTTTATCGATAACTCTCTGTTGAATTACCGAGGTCGCAGAACCAACGATTGTCTAAGAGTCAGTGATCCGCTGAAGGGAATCGACGACTGACTCGTTTCGAGACGATGCTAGGGGCATTAGCTCCGAGCCCCCCTCTCCGCGACACTTCCTTAAGTGCACCAGAGCAACGTCAGAAAGCCCAGCGGAAAAAATGCGTTTCAGAATCAGAGAACTTGATTCCCAAAACCCTAAATGAAGCCGAAAAGCTGCATCGGGATCGTACGATAGTTTATTGTGCGCTGCTTGAAGGGTAAATGAAGACAATCGGACCGGTCGCTTCTCCTCATCCTTCGCTGACTGTGAGGGAGTTCGGACCAGGGGCCGATGCGAAGATCGAACAAAGACGGTCGAATAACCGAATCCAAGCTCGAGGTGGGTCGTTCGGATCATTTGGCAGGTAAACTGTAGAGACCTGAGCTGTATACAACGTCCCCGCTCTTCACTTTCGAGTCCAGGAATTGCTTGCAGTCTTGTATGGTGAAATCTACCCAGCTCGAGGCGGCAAACATCTTTAACATCGAGTAGATCCTGTCGAGTGGTGTTTCTCCGAGATTCGTGAGGAGACCCCGCACAAAGTTAGAAAACGTCTGATATCGCACTTCCTGCAGTTGGTTCGGTCTCGAGTTGCCATCGTCGTCGTCTTCCATTTCTTCGTCCACGAGGGATCGTCTCCCGCGAGCGTTCTCGATGTCGCCCACGTCAGCGTCACTCCCCATGACGACCACCCCGTCCGGACCTGCTCCACCCTCTGCGAGAACTCCTTGTTGTGTCCAGAAGGCGACGAGCCGTTTAACTGTGATCCGAGAACATTCGAGAGCGTTGGCAATATCGGCCATTTTCCAGTGGTTCCTTCCCTGAAATATCAAAAAGGGTCGTCAGGAAGACTCCGTGCATCGTAACTTGCGATCGATAGAGCGAGCGGATCATGTAGGATAGATTCCTAAATTGATTCGAAAAATTAATCGAACTCCGTGAAGAATTCGTCGCGCTCCGTCTCTTCAGATGACTCACATCGAACAGTTGGATGAGAGTTGCTTGCGCCGTCGAACATTTCACGCTTTTCACGCTCCCATCGTCGAGTTCGAGCTCGAGCTCAACATAACCCAAGTTCGGCCGGAGGTTGACTGTTCGGTTCCCGTTGAGTATCTCATACTCCTTTCGGAACTTCTCAAAATCTCCGGTCACACTTTCGGGGATTTTCATGGTTTCATCCTTGAGCTCGGGCCAGAACTGAGCACTGATTATCAGGCTGTCCAGCGGCACTTGAAGTTTCTCGCCAAGTTTCTCCTGGATTATCTGCGTGTGAAGCCTCTTGGAATATTTGACGTCGTTCAGCATCACCTCGCAGTTGTTCATCGCAAGTTCACCGAATCGAACTTTGAGCAGCTCCATGTACATGATTTCCTTCTGCGTGTCTGAGCTGCCGTTCAGAAGTCTCCCAGAGAGCAGAGAGGCGTATTCCTCGACGAAAACCTCTTTTGAACCGTAGATGTTGACCAACAACGTGATTATATCGGATGACTTGATTATACGGGAGACTTTTGCTTGAGGAATCCAATTCTGCCAATCAGACTCGTCGTCGGAAGATCCATCGAGGTAGGAGCCGGGTGCCGGGGCTTTCTGAAATTCAAATATCCGGCAATGAGCTCCTGGCGCTATCCGACAGCACTTCATCGAGTTGCAGGATGATGCTTCGAGAGAGGAATCACCTGGGCGCATCTCGCAAGCTCTGCGTTTAATTCGACATTATTTTCGTCCGTCAAGCTCGAAACGATTATCCGAACGGTGTTGTCTCTATTATCGCGGGACTTCAGGTAGACCGAGAGCTCATCGCAAATCGATTGCAGGATGAAACCGCTGGGGTCTAGGATCTGTGTGACAGAACGATAAGGACACTTCGTTAATCACTAGTGGGGGGAGACCTCGTAGCGCGTCTCGAGGACGATTGGTACAGAAATATTCAAGGATCATTGGTCGCAGAGAAAAACTGATGAGCGCACCCGAAGAGCTTTGATCGTCGAGACGTATGCCGTGATGATGTCCGCTGTTTTGACCCCAGGATGGAACAGTCGGGTCGTCATCGCTTGTTTGAGCTTCGTGACGAGTTCGTCCAAACTCCGGACTTTCTGAATGCAGTCCCTCAAGTCCTCGAGGGCAGGTTGGGAATCAGGGAAATCAACGATCATATCGAATAGCTGACCCGCGCGAAACTCGATGAAAATGTCATGCAGGAAGTACAGAAGGTTGTTCTTGAAGGCACTGATCATGGACGTTGTCTGCCCTGGAAAATGGCGGAGTGACAGCTTTGAGCCCGTGACTGACGGCGTGTGCACGGGACCTATTGTCTTCGTCCCTTCCCAATCCCCGGTAAAAAGACACTATCAGCCAGAGTGCGTCCGAGACAACGGTTGACTCACCTGAGATCGTTTGTAGCCAGGATACGACGGTCTCATTCAGCCACTGTTCCAGGTTTGACGCACATTTACTCTCGAAATCCCCTTGACACGTTTCGAAAACGTGTTTCTTGATGAGATCGAAACACACGCTCTGTACGCAATCATGCACAAGCGACGGGAACGCCCCGATTTCGTCAATTACCCCGTTGATTTCAACGAACTCGCGGACAATCGCTGCGCACGAGCAGAGGTTTTCATCGTCGGCGATCTCCGCGTTGCAACCCGGACAGAATACCAAGCCGGAGCAATCGTCCGAGCTCTGAGTTCTGTGGAAGGCGCGGAAAGATCTCTGGAAGATTTCCAGCATCAGCGAATCGAATTCTGCCGTGACGAAGAAGGTTGTCAGACGTGACGAGAGTTTCAGAACCTCTTCGTGGATATCGAGTTTGTGACCGGAACAAGACCACGTGATGTCGACCGAAGGCTCATCGTTCCCGCCGGAAATTTTCCGGAGCCATCCAGCAGCTTCGAGCAGCCTCCGAATGTCTTTCGCGGCCACTTGGAGGTTTGGGAGGACGTGTTCGACAACCCGAGTTGATGAGAAATAGCTCTTCATCGCCCTAGTGATTATTTCTTCGGAGAAACTCAAAAGCCAGACTTCGAGGAGAGGTAGCATCCCATGGTTGCACAGCTGTTCTACGTGTTGAGCCAAAGATTCGTTGATGTAACCCTTGGAGACACAATCACGAAAAGCGGTCTCCGCGGCGTCCCAATGCTGTTCAATTTTTTCGAGGCTAGCGGCATCCATCTGTAGAGCAGGGAAGCTGGTTACACTCCGCGCATGCCCACGACGAAGGGCTACGATGCTCTTACGTGTGAATCGGAGACAGGACCGAGGGAATCAATCATTGACAAGAATCCGCGGGTCGTCAGGGGAAATTATCACGTAGGCTTTACCTTGGCGGAAAGTCCCGTACGAATCAGCATGTCACCGTCCTCTGTCTCTTGTCATGTGCGTAAGAGTCGGCTCCGGAGCAGAGGTATCGGAGAGTACTAAACAGGGCGTGGGAATTATATTTCGACGGATGGGATTCAAATTTCGAACAGACACAAAGATTGCTCTTGCCAGCTGCAGAGGAGGGGGAATGTTCGGCCCTCTCCCCGTGGAACAGAGATTTTCAGACACAGCATAGGGTGCTGTCACGGGGAGGTCTTTAGCATAAGCTCGAATCCTTCAACTATTGTTCCCGACGTCTGATGTCTCTGACCGAGATCCGCGAAGAAGATCCAAGGGACCGCTCTCTGGGCTTTTCTGGCCGTTGGACGCATTATCGCTCGCCACGTTCATTAGTAGCGATTTCATTCCATGCCGCCCTGAGTTGGTCCGTGTTGCCACGATCTGAGATGGAGGTCACTCCGAGTGTGAGGTCTCGGTGGGAGGCATTAGAACCTGACAGGTGTCATAGGGGGATCGGGGTGGATCGAGAGAAAATCCAGCTAGAGCTCCACACCGATCTCGATGCGGGTTCCGTGGATGCGATGGGTTCACGGACCATCTGGAAACTGTGCGTGACCGAGATGAATTTCTCTCGTCGAGAAAATAACCATTGTCGGCATCACTCGTGAACAGCTAGAAGTCGGACGGTAGAGATAGCGAGAAACCTTGAAAACCATATCAAATCATACGTGGTGATCATCCTTGATTGACCGGCCGCGGGAGGCCTGAGCCGTACGAAGCCGTTCCGAGGAAAGGCTGTCACCTTATGGAGGCAGTCAACAGTTCAGAGAAGCAGATCGCGGGGGGGGGAGGAACTGATCTACTCTTATAGTGAGCTTTGCTTGTGGAGGTATTTGATGATGAAGTCTCGGCAGGAGTTCACAGGTATGTACTGGCGAAATTCGAATCCCGCCAAGATTGCGAGACGCATCCCCCGTGCTGCGCAGAAGCCGAGCGGGAACGTCGATATCCCATCGGCTGCTGGTATGCTCCTAGCTGGATTGCCTGTCGTGGCCGCTCGCTCGACGACTTCGAGATGACGGGCACCGACATCCCGGCAACACCAAGTCGGTCTCTCGCTCAAAAGTCCGCTGATGGGTGATGAAGTCCGGTTTGACTTTCGGAAGTGAAATGAAACTAGGTACTACGGCTTGATTTTTTTGCAAACATCAGAAAAGTAATAAAGCCAACAGCTTCGAGGATTGCGATCTGGGTGTGATCAGAACAAGAAAGTCGCTCCGCTGATCGTGAGTGATTTGCCGCGGCCCAAGAATGGACCACGAGATCTCCGAGTCGGGATCGGTCGGAAAAGGAGAGCCAACCTGATGGCTCTCGGTATTGCAGCAAAGATCACCAGCAACATTCCCCGCTCTCTCTCATCTACGGATTTTGCTTCTGTTCTGGACCCCGCACCGCTTTTGTGTGAATGAGGTGGATTTAAAGTGCGGATAATTGAACGATACCTCGTGCTTGAATACGGTCCTACGGGGAGCACGTTGTTCCGACGTCGGGGTGAACTGCTGATCTAGACGTCGCACGACCGATGTCAACGACCCTCTCAGATGTTAGCGGGATCTGTGTGGTCGCCGCCTCGGTCCTTAGCGGCTTGTTGTGTAGCTTGAAGCTTTGTACAGAGCAGAGAGTGCGGCTGACGTGCAAGCGGTGATGTCGAATCCAGGATTGTTAATTCTCAGTTAGCGCAAACTCCCCACCGTGGATATGGCGCTGGCGGAGCGTGTGTCGAGCCTGGACTCGATGTTTCTCCGGAAACACGTCCGAGTCGGAGGCACGGCGTTCACTGTTGACTCCCTCATCGACTGTCTCTTGCTGCTCTACGACGAGTGTGTGCGATCCTCTCTATCGAAGGAGAAGACCCTTCAAGGGTTTGTGAAGTTCGGTGAGTTCCCGATTTTAGAGCGGCTTCGCGGAGAGAATTCCGCGTCATGGAATCGCTAAGTCCACCGCTCACTGCAGTGGACGTCCTCACTCGGGGCTAGAAAGTTTCATCGTGCTCGCTCTGTCTTCGTTTTTGGAAGTGTGTGGCTCGTTCTCTCCGGCGACCGCACTCAACATCTGTCGTGACAGCTGACATGCGGCTCATTCCGAATGCATTGCATCTGTTGCGAGACGGTGTCACTCGGTGGAGCGGTGTTAATTAAGTCTCGTTGGCTCCGATTTTCTATTTAGGCTGACGGGGAAGCTGAAGGAGCTTCTATTTCGAGAGATAGGATTCTTTTCCTCTGAGATTTGTATCTCTCGGTGCTCGTATCCGAGCGTGAACTGCGCTTCCAGCTCGTCGATTACCATCTGTAAGCCATTGGTGAGCGGCGGCACGTCGCTTCCTTTGGAAGTTTTCGGGTGGAGCAGTCACTGTTCTTCCCGAACGATCTCATCTGTTTGGTCTGTTGTTCGATTCGCTGATTGGCACCGGACCGACCGACCGAACGATGGAACAACATGAAACCATTATTGCGAGTTTCGGCCGTCGACAGTGCGTCGATTGTGGGAGCATCGAATTCACTGTACCATCGATGGGTTTTTGTTCCCACCGAATGCATGCGAGGAAACTCCTGCAACTTCGCAAGGGATTGCTATTGGGCGTTATCGAAACTGGATTTCGAGATCTGCCGGGAACTCTGGCTGAGAAAAGCAAGGAAAAAATCAGGAACGACTGGCTAACGAATGAGTATCTACATCGGCCGCGGGGATTTCCAATTGACCTCTTATATGACCGTCATCCGTGGAGTGAGGGATCCGTCTTGGATTTATGTCAACTCTGACGTTTCTTCGTCTTGTTTCACTGTATCCAAGCAGCTCTGTTGTTTATTTGGTGAACACAACATTGGAATCCGAGCGTTTTTATTAACGGCTCCGTTTAATCCTCATTCGTTTTTGCTCAACGGAGACGTCGACCCCCTCTCCCTCGCCAAAAAGCATACCCTCGTGAAGATGTTCCGAATTGTCGTCCAGCCGCGGTTTATCTGACTGGCGTCTCGCAACAAATTAATCCCCTTTAGTACCTGACACGCTTTGTCTTTTTCGTTCCTCGTCGCAATCGCGGGCAAGAAACGAATGCAGGGCTGGACGACCGAAAATCAAGTCGACAAGGTGCATTTGTGGCTTGGAGGAAAACTTGAAGCGCGAAATAATTCCGGCATTTGACGTCAGCGAGCGTTCGAGCGGCGTAGCCTCAACCTCAACGCCGCCGGTCGGGTGTTCCTTACAGAGCATCGATTCGCGGTGGTTATGAGCTATTGTGATATAAAGCTAGATAAAACCTCAGCTCAACCGAACCACCGAACTTCCAACGCAATTGTTTCAGACTCGATGTGGTTTTGGGTAGAACCGCGGAGCCGTTGTAGGATGTATGCTTTTTTTTCTGATGACTGACCGCCCAGTCACCTGCATGGGATCGAGCGTCATTCCGTGGTTGAACTTGGAACGGTCTCACACAATGCTGGAATATCGAGAGAGCAGCGTACCAGTCCTATCGTCGTTTTCGCGAGGGAAATCTCCGTTTGACGGAATTCAGACGCTTCAGCTTCTCATCGTCTCACGTCGATATTCGTTTGCAGTTTCTCCTGTCGTGCAGCAAGTACGGAAACAACGATTAGCCCGAAGCGACTTCGAAATATTGAAAGTTATAGGCCGAGGAGCGTTCGGCGAAGTTGCCGTAGTCCGAGAAAAATCTTCACAGAAAGTTTTCGCCATGAAGATCCTCAATAAATGGGAAATGCTGAAAAGGGCAGAGGTGAGTAGTTCCCGGATCTCTTGTCTCTTCTCTGATCGAATTCGATAAAAACTAGTGTAGGAAGCGCCACCTGATCCTGATTCCGGAGAGCCGCCGTGGTTAGATTAGCGCTGAACAGCATATACGTGAATTTTCCCCGTGATAATCGCCAGTCCGAGGTTCAGCTCAACAAGAACTATTCCGTGAGAGTTTCGTGGTTTCCCTTCAAGTTCCTCCCTGTCGAACGACTTGCTCGCCTCAAAATCAGCGGTGTGTGAAGGCCACCGGAAGGAATGATGCTCGGGAAGTGTCTTTTTAACCCACTTCGGAACTGAACATAAACGCTTCTACGTAACATCACAATGCGGCGAAATCGGTGTTGAAACATGTTTACTGCTCACTAGGAAATGATCAGAAATAGAGCCGACTCTCTTCTCGCTTGTCGTGACCTTTCCCTCAAAACGAAAAAACAAATCTCGGGACGAATACCTGGATACTTCGGAGAATTTTTTTACGGGCTCTCCCTCAGTCATGATCCTCCTTGAAGCAAACGTTTTTGCTTCTACCACAATGATCGGTCGTTCCCATACGCAGTCAAGGAGTACCGGAAGTCGAAGGTCAGCTCTTTTCCTGAGTTTCATTTTCCACCGATAGAATATTTTCACGCCGGTTTAGGGTTTCTCCGGTGGTCTAGACAGACACGGGCAGCAACGAGCCGGTCCCCATGGGGCCATTAGCCGTCACGAACTCGAATCGTTATGGAGCGCGTGACTCCATATCAGAATCTCAGATCATGAAGATCATCGGAATCTACCGTCAAGCGGCGACTCTACATCTACGGCGTCAGAGTCTCGGTGGCTTCACACACAGAACTGAGGTATTCCTCAATTAATCGCGAGATCTCATGGTGGAGTTCGTTCCCGTTCCAGACGGCCTGCTTCCAAGAGGAACGAGATGTTCTCGTTTTCGGAGACAAACGTTGGATCACCAACCTCCACTACTCGTTCCAGGATCACTCGAATCTCGTGAGTTCTCCAATTTTTTTCCTTAAAAAACAGGTCCCTCCTCGTCGATGACTTCTCAATTCGGAAGCCGAAGGTCTCCGAAGCACTTAATGGGGGGTTCCTGCGCTTCCTCTCATGTGTACCAAGTGCCAGAAGCGCTTCTAGAGGGAACTTCCGACCGGCCATAACGCTTACGTCGGCTTTTTCGGCAATGGCTGATTGTTATTTTATGAGACTACAATGTGGTCGGTCGGTAGGTCCCATCGTCCACCGACCACGGTCGGACCGTCGTCAGTTGCGGTGGTAATCTAAAGGCGGAGTTGTCTTCATCGTCTTCTTCTTGGGCCAACGGCTCCGACGAGAGCCCAGCTCGCTTTGTACCTTGTTGCTTTTCTGGCGGACGCTCAGCCACAATGGGGTCACCCGGATAGCTTCAATGACCGTCGGACCATCGGTCGGACACATGAACAGATGCTACGACAGTGGCATCGACCGGAGCCGGCCGACCGCGCGGGTCCGAGGGCGAAGTAGGCAGGTCTCGCGCGCTCCGGGAGCCGTGCGCGCTTCCCCATAGTCGTTTCGGTTAGCCGCTCGTTGATCGCCGTCACACAACGACTCGATGATTTCGTTAATTCTCCACCGACGACGGGAGCGTAGGCGTCGATTGTGATTCGCGGTAGGAGTCGTTAAAGTCATCGGCGACGTCAACGCGAGCGTCAGCCGCCGCCACCGCAACTACGCATCAGCGGAACGCGATCGAGAAAACTACGGGAACAGCGTACCGTATACGTACGACTTCTGATCGTTCAGTCGTGCGATGTTCTATGACAAGATGTCGATGGATTGAGACTGATGCAGTCATGCGGTCTTGACTCGCAGCGAATAACTCATTGTGTGGACCAGAAAGAATTCGGCGTTCGCTTTGCGCACGAAAACTATCACGAATAGATAGGAGTCTCTTTCCCGAGTCCACTCGTGGAAAGCTCACCGCTGCCCACGAGTGATCTCTCGAGAGCCTAAGAGAGGCCTGACCGTGATCTGTTCCGGAAAGAGCTGCGTTGTTTTCCTAGGATGTCGCCCGGAGTCGATCGAGACGAACGACCCATCTAAACGGCGCTCTTGAACAACTGTCGTTTGCTTTCGCAAAAGGGCGCCCACGGACCTAAGATATGGGAAGAATTTTTCCGTCGATATGAGACATGCGGCTCTCGACGACTCACCAACAACAGTTCGGGGAATGCATCCGACCTCAACTTCCTGTGACAGATCCCGTGAGGGCGAGGCTTCCGGAGACATTGTTTCTCGTGGAAAAAATACGCTCCTGGAGCTTACGGCGTCCCCGTAGTTCCGACCACACGAATTCTACTCAAGATCTCGGCCCTGAATTCCAGGCTTCGATCGTGGTATTCGAACGAAACGAGTCCTCATTCGCTATTCATTCTTTCAGTATCTCGTCATGGATTATTATTGCGGAGGGGACCTGCTTACATTATTATCGAAATTCGAAGATCGACTACCGGAGGAAATGGCCAAATTTTACATCGCTGAAATGATCCTGGCAATCCATTCACTGCATTCCTTACGATACGTCCATCGGGACGTCAAACCGGATAACGTTCTTTTAGACGCCCAGGGACACATCAGACTAGCTGACTTCGGTTCTTGTTTGCGACTCGGTGAAGGAGGACTGGTGAGGCGTCTAGCAGTTTGTAAATCTCTGAATAGGTTTCGAGATTCTATTAGCAAAGCGCGAAGCTAACGAGAGTCCCCCGCTTACCCTCCAAGGTTCATTCACGTGTGGCTGTGGGCACACCCGACTACATATCACCCGAGATCCTCCGGGCAATGGAGGACAATCAGGGCACCTACGGGCCTGAGTGCGATTGGTGGTCGCTCGGGGTTTGCATGTACGAGATGCTGTTCGGGGAGACGCCGTTCTACGCCGAAAGTCTCCTGGAAACATACGGCAAGATCATGAACCATAAGAACTCGTTCGATTTTCCCGAGGACGCCGCCGGAGTTTCGGAAGAATCGAAAGATTTGATTCGCCACCTCGTGTGCGCTGCCGACTCCAGACTGGGACAGAACGGGGTCGATGACTTCAAGAATCATCCCTGGTTCGCGGGAATCGACTGGGACACTATTCGAGACAGCGAGGCGCCCTTCATTCCCCAAGTGAGCTCTCCGACCGACACTTCGAATTTCGATGTCGACGAGCTGACGTTCAAGAACGCTGATTCTTCCGCTCCGCCGAGCGCTAACGCCGTGTTTTCGGGACTACACCTACCATTCGTCGGATTCACTTTCACTTCGAACAGCAAATTGTCAGAAGGTCTAGAAAACGAAGAAGCAGATGTGTCGAACGGTGCTGTCGAAGTCAATGAGTCGAATCGACTTCGTGATGAACTCGCTAAGATGCTTCTGAAGAATAACGAGCTCGAGCAGGAGCTCAAAACTGTCTGTCTTTCACTGACGGCTGACACGGCGGGCAACGGGGAAATCACCGTGAACTGTCAGACGCGTGACATGGAACGACTCATCAAGAATCTCACCCGGGACAAGGAAGAAATGAAGGCCGAGCTCAAGGAATGCCAGGAGCGAATAGCGCAGATGTCGAAAGAGATGAAAAATCAGGCGACCCAACTCAAGGCCACCATGTCGGAATACAACGAGGTATCGGACCGCCTGTCGGACCTGCGAGCCCAAAAACAAATCGTTTCACGCCAGGTCCGCGACAAGGAAGAAGAAGTGGAAGCCGCCATGCACAAAATAGACTCGCTACGGCAAGAGCTCAGGAGAGCCGATAGACTGAGGTAAGTCGTCGCAATCGTTCGGAGGGCGAGTCTTCGAAGTTCGCGGCGAGAGGCGAAGACGAGAAATCCACAAAGACTAAATCCCGGCTCTTTTCCACCGTGCAGACGGGAGCTGGAGACGCACGTAGAGGAAGCGCAGGCCGAGGCTCTCAAGGAACGCCGACTTCGCGAACGCGGTGACGAGTACGTCCGTCATCTCGAAGGAGAGTTGGAAACGCTTCGAGGCACGGGCAGCGCCCCGACATCGAATGGAACCTCCAACGGGGATCTGGTCGTGCAGCTCAAGGCTGAACTGCAGGAACAGGACAAACACTGGAGGGAGCTGGAGGCCCAGTGGGGAAGCAGAAACCAAATAGAGGTTAATGCCTTGAAGCAGAAACTTCTCGAGGTGAGTAAAAGGGGAAGTTTCCCCGCGTCGAGCCTTCACCCGACCGGAGAACAACCCTGGCTGCGCATTCTCCCTCCACGATGTTTACGAGATGCTGTTATTGAAACTCAGGCCCAACAACAGAAGGAAACGTTGGAGGAAGAAGTTCATCGCTTGAAGAGAAACGCTGAAGCCGACGGCGGCCTCAATCTCCATCGGGGCAGAATGGAAGCCCTTGAAGAAGAAGTTCAGAGAGTTCGGTCAGAGAACGAAAGACTCGTACAACTCCTCCAACGAGGCGACCAAGAGATGGCCGTACTGCGAGAGAAACACGATCTGATCGCTCAATGGGAGACACAAATAACGGGTGAGGCAGCAATTGCTCGAACTGCTATGACGATGTTGTGAAGTCACACGCGATCGACCGCTTTGCAATCGGTGGTCGGTGAAGCGTTCAGGGACTTCCGCTTTTCGATTTCACCGGCTTCACGGGTCTTTGTTTCAACTCCGTCAATATTTTGCAGAAATCATCCAATGGGTATCGGACGAGAAGGACGCGCGGGAATACCTCCAAGCGCTCGCGACGAAAATGACCCAAGAGCTCGACTACCTCAGAGGCATTCCGACCTCTGGTGGTGGGGCTCTGGAACAGAAGAATTGGCGGAATCGTCGTTCGCAGAAATTGGACAAGATGGAGCTGCTGGCTCTACAGTCGAGCTTGCAGAGTGAGATCCAGGCCAAACAGGCCATATCAGAAGAGCTCAGCCAGGTCCGAACAGACATGGTCGGCCTACAGAAGGAACTTGAAAGGTGAGTGCGAAATCCGATTGAGAAACAGCGTCTCGTTGTTTGTTCCTCCATGTGAACCAGCTCACCTGACAGGGATCACGGGGATTTGAAGAAGGATGAAACGTGCGACGCTTCTCAACCTAATGGCTCCTGGTCGGGTTTCGAAAGGCTTCATCTAACCGAGGGACGATTCTTTTCGCCAAGGTTGCGGCAAGAGTTGAACGATAAGGATAAGGCGCTGAAGGACGCCCTGACTTCTTTGTCGACGACGAAAGACGCCGACGAAGGCGACACGCTGCTCGACCAATTTTTGAAGGACACTGCGGGTCAGCGAGAGACCCCGACACCGATGAATGCGAACACCGGATCGAACATCTCCTTGGCCATGGGGTCCAGACCCTCGTCCCGGAATCTCGTCATATCGTCTCCGATCCTCCAGGGTGCCGGTACCTACTCGGACGCCCTCAACAAGTCAATGCAGACGAATACCACCACCATACCCGTGACGGCTGCCAAGGTGAGGGACTCTCTCGAACGCTCACGTCAGGGAGCCGGGAATGAATCGCGAGGGACATGAACTCCGGGCTCCACGCGGGAATAATCCATCGCTGACCGGCGATAATCACGCGCTTCCCATTCCAGCTTAAGGCGCATCAATTCCTGGTGCGGTCGTTCATCGCCCCGCTCAAGTGCAACCAATGCACTTCATTGATGCTGGGCCTGAGCCGCCAAGGAGTCGTATGCGAGGTGTGTGGTTTCGCCTGCCACGTGGCCTGTCAGGACAGAGTGAATCCTCAATGTCCTGTACCCGCTGACCAGCACAGACAGGGGTTGTTGGCGATCGATCCGACGAGAGGTTTGTGTTCGTTTGGATTGGATACCGAGATTTCCGCGAGATTTTCGGCCGACCCGATGGAAATTCATTCATCGGGCCCATTGCGAGGAACGTTCAAAAGTCCTGACCGAAAATCCTCACCGATTATTGGATTCAATTCGATGGATTCCTTTTCAGGTGTCGGTACCGCTTACGAGGGTTACGTTAAAGTGCCTAAGGTCGGGGGCGTGAAGAAAGGCTGGCAGAGACAGTTCGTGGCGGTGTGCGATTTCAAGCTATTCCTATACGACACCCAACAAGTTTCGGGAACAGGAAGCCTGAGTCACGGGGCCTCTTTGTCGCAAATGGACAAAATACAACAAGCATGCGTCAGCGCCACGCAGGTCAGTGAGCGGCGCGCGAGACGCGGACTCCGTCGCGAGTACCGGGATACCTGAAAAGATCCCCGAGTTTTCCCTGTCAGTGGGCGATTCAGGCCGGCAAGAGCCCCGGAGGAAAATAATAAATGTTCTAATTTTCGGCAGGTGCTCGACATGCGGGACCCAGACTTCATGGTTAGCGCAGTTCTGGAAAGCGATGTGATTCATGCAAATCGGAAGGATGTCCCCTGTATTTTTAGGGTAGCGACTTCGATGTTAGACCCCCCCGGACTGAAATCGATCACCTTGATGATGGTCGACCGCGAAAGCGAGAAGAACAAATGGGTGGATGCGTTGGCGGAACTGCATCGGATCCTGAAGCGCAACAAGCTGACAACAAGACGCCTCATCGAACCCAAGCAGGTCTTGGATTCGACATTGGCCATTATCAAGAATTGCCTGTCGGCGGTCATCATCTCAAAAGAAAGAATACTCCTAGGAACCGAAGAGGGCCTGTTTTGCATAGATCTCGACAATAATGAGATCTGCAAAGTCGGTTGCAACAAGAAGATCGAGCAGCTCGAGTACATTCCCGACGAGCAGCTGATCCTCTGCATCTCGGGCAAACAGCGCAGTCTCCGGCTCGTGCCGGTTGCGGCGCTCGACCTCAAGCATAGCGTGGACTGGATAAAAGTACCCGACACGAAAGGATGCATCACGTTCTGCACGACCAGACTCTTCCACAATAATCAGAGCACCTACTACTTCTGCGTTGCCGTGAAGAAACAGATCTTCATCCATCAGATAAATCGGTCCAAGTCTCGGCACGGGGGCCGCCAGGTCATCTCCGTCTCGGCGCCGGTGCAGTGCTTGGACGTGACGGCCGACCGGCTTTGCGTCGGCTGTCACAGCATGTTCTATTTGTACAGTTTGGAAGCGATCTGTGAACCGATTTGTCTCGTGCAGCCGGACTCGAACCTATCGTTCGTCTATCACACACCGATGGATGCTCTGATGTGCATCGAACTCCCCAATTACGAATATCTCCTAATATTCAGTCAACTGGGGGTGTTCGTGAATTCGAAGGGCAAGAAGAGTCGTGAGAAGGAGTTGATGTTCGCCAGCACTCCGTACCACGTGAGCTTGAGGGATGAGGTGTTGTGTGTGTACGCCGAGAGCCACGTCGATTGCTTCGATGTAGCGTCGGGCGATTGGCTACAGACCATTAATCTTCGTAGGACAAAACCTCTTAACAAACAAGGTAGGCTGAAGAAAGAGATCATCTTTCTCTGAAAAAACGGCTCGCTTCTCTGCATAGACATATTTACGATGCGTCCGGTACGTTCTGTGCTGGTCCCTCGAGACTCACGAAGATTTCCTCCCCGATTTTCGCAGGTAGTCTTTGCTTGTTGCTCATTGGTGACCAACCGCACGTGGTCTATATGCATCCTTCTCATCTGCGTGAGAACAACATCATGATCGCCGACGTTGTCCATGGAGCTGCCTCAAGACGGCGGTTTTCGATGCGCGGTGCGGACGGACGCACCGTCGACCGTCGCTCCCGAATCATCTCCGCGCCATCTAATTTCAATCATCTACAACACATGGGCCCCGGAGAGATCCAGAAACTCATTGATCTTCCTACTGTGAGTGAAATTTTCCGCTTTCGCTATTCCCTCCTCCCTCCCATTCCTCGAGCATTCCGAATTCGATCGCGTTCTCGACCTCTCACTCGCTCACTGAAAAATAATCTTTCGGTCACTCGATCCCATGAATGACTCACCAAGCGGCTGTTGCGTGCGATTGCAGACTTTGCATGAAGTGGCCGCTCAGGAGGAGCAGCAGCAGAAAAACCGTCTCTCAACGTGGTCGTCGATGTCGGGCGGGAGCAGTTCAACTTCATCGACTCCTAGACCTCCCTTGCCTAACAAACCGCCGCCGCGTGAGTTATTGCTTCGTTCACTACCGTTGAGTCGGTGTCGCTTCGCGTGCATCGCTAACTAATCGCTCAGTCAGCTGATCGGGGCTTATTCTCTTCGCTTGATTCGAGCGCAACTCATTGGCCTGATCGAATTGTTCCAGTGATACCAGCCCAACCCCGACGACGCGCCCCATCGTCAATGCGATCACCAGACTGTTCGCCATCCTCGTCCTGTACCACGCATCAGGATAGATCCTCTCTTCATCACGTGAGTTCGAATCGAGCGATTCCGCTGCCGATTGACGAGAAGACGGAAATGAACAAGATTTCGGAACTAATGATTCCCTTCCCCCTTCTCTTAAATCCAGGAATCTCGATCGAGTCCTCGCCATTCGATAACGTCGAATAACAGCTGTTCGAGTATGAGTCCGCCACCTTCACCGGATCCTAATGGAGTCGCTCACGATTGAAGCGATCTTGTAAATTATACCACGGGGAAGCTATGTATAATATCTTTAGGTCTGAGAAGAATTCTTATGGAGATTTCGATTACCCCTATGGTGACGGCGAGTTCACCTGCTCTCTTGCGGTCGGAGTCTGGGGAGTGGCGACGCTTCCGCGAGCCATGGGGAGGCGATTAGGGCTCTCCGCGGACGTCGGTCGCAGACAGGAATCATCGCTCCTATCGCGGCTTCCGTAGCCAGAACTCGAACGCGGTATACATACATTACAGACGAACGGAGAAGCATATGAGACTATAGATTTACTTTCATCACGTATTTATGATGGGCCTTTTGGACCGCCGGTCCGGTTTCCGATGGGTCGCTGAGCTCACCTCGGAAGTAAGCGTGGCGGAAGCAATTCGAGTTTTCCTTCGCTTCGTGCCCTTATCGATCGCCGATCCGGTTGGGATCAAATAGGGAAAAGAGTCATTTATTGAGTCGTTCATCTCACAGTATTAACTTTTGCTATTATATCTACGAAAGAGTAGAACGTTGTGCCATTTCGACTGAGGAATCTGCCGCGTACACACAAGGCAGGTCTTCCCGGTACTCAGAATGCGCCGCTGCGCCAATAGCAATCGCAGTTGGGAATTTTTTTTCGAATGCACATCTGGGTCCTGGGGTCTTGGCGGGTCTCTCGTGTCCAGACCCACGACCTAGCGATGATCTGATTACCCACAAGACGTTTTCATTTTGGTTGTTCCTCGAAATTTACCCCAGGGAGCGACTCGCGTCGGAATTCCGTATCAGATGCCTCTGTACATCTGTCACGGTCCTGAGATCTCCGCTGATATACCGCTAGATCGACTGCCCGGTACCCTTGGGCCGATAGAATTCACGGGGACGAGGGAAAATCTAAGGAGTTGTAGAGACATCTGGTCTAATTTTTTTCTACTCGCGAATCGACATCAGTTTTGTGATACATCACGTCTACCTTTGATCTTTCGTATTCACTCAGGCTGCTCGGCTTTGAGCGGGCCGTAGAATAATTGATTTCTGATTTTACGAGTATTTTATCTGGAGGCGTCGAATTAGACTGATGATCTGATTGGTGATCGGAGACGCACTCGCTCGTTCCGTAAATCGAAAAAAAATTGTCGGGTGTGTTGACGTCTCGGTAAAGTAGAAGCAACGCAAACTTTAAAATGATTTCAAGAGCGAATGCGTCGTTCAGATAACATCGGTCGAATCTCGTTTCGCACTGAATGCGCCATTTTGTAGAACGCTGTAATAAAGCAATAATATAATGGAATGCTGCTCGAAAAACTACGACGAATCGAATCATGCGTGTACTCTCACGGCAAAGCTCGACTACTTGTCGAAGCTGAAAGGGAAATTCTCTAGACTTCTGCAAGGATCCTCAGCATATTCGTACAGTACCGGACGGAAAGAGGGAGTGACTCGACACAAATTCCGAGGGCGAGCTCTTTTTTCACATAGCTGAAATCATTGAAGCTCTGGTCGCGGATCTCTGGAGTAATCGCTGAAGGGTCAGTTGGAAACGAGCGCTCATATGTAGAGTGCTCTTGGATCTGTGCCTATTCCATTCAACTCAAGGAAACCGATAATGGACGATTATCACTTCTTCCCGTTTCTTCGTTCTCGAGCGGTCATATGTAAATCTAGTTTGATGCCCTCGAATCTAGGTGCGTTATTTATAACTTGATATATCATACTTACGCGGTGTTCATTTTCTTGTCGGCGAACGACGAGCACGAGAAATGAAAATTTTCTTCAGGGTAAACTCAAGAGAACATTGGAAGAAATGTTCTGGGGAAGGGATTAGAACGACGGAAGCTCGTGCAGCGGCGTTTCCGGTTTGATAGACAACGTCAAGGGCAGAGATCGATTTTAGATATCGGGACATCAAAAGTGTACAGTGAATCAGAGAGGTGCATGTAGACATAGATCGTATGGAAGAGTACAGCAAATAAAAATCGAATCATTTATCAAGCTGGGAAGTTTTTCCTCTCCCCGCGAAGACATTTGCCAAAAGAGAGTATCTGATCCCTCGAAGAGTCAGGTCGCTTCCAGGAATTAAATAGAGCCCTACTCTCGTTGTATTCAGTATGTCAAAAATCGAATTCGACCCTCCCCCCACTCTCTGTGTTGCATGGAAAAGCAGATGAGGGAAACGATTCTAACACGCAATTTATTCGAGAAACCCCTGGAAAACTGAAGCAGAGGGCATAACACAGTGTTTCCTGTTCTAGGGCTCTACTATATCGGAGCCGCTTTCGATTCTACTGTCGTTTCAACGATTCGTGTTCGAATAGACTGCGTCACCTTCGCGTATGGTGGACGTCACCGGAACAGGTTTCGAAAGGTTTCGTTCGCGCTACCCCACGAACGCTTTCGCCTCGAGTGACCGCACGGTGCGGATACGGCAATCTCCGGGAGGCTTGAAGGTGTCAGCCATTCTCAACAAAATATTATAGCTTACAAAGATGTATACTCTTAATCAACAGCGAGTTCATGTGTGAATGACTCGTAAGGGGGGACAGGGCGTGGAGACATTAGTCCTTCTCCTCGATGACTCATCGAGTTTCGCGGATATCTGATCAAGCTGTTGAATGAAACGCAGAATTAGGCTCTACCTGAAATCTTATGCCAATTTGCCCCGGATACACAGCATCGTATCGAGCCTGAAAGAACGCAAATAGGCCCTCACGTGCTTCATGACTCTCATACCTACACATTACTACGATAACAATGTTTTTTTGCAAACACACATCACTTCATGACAAGGATCGATATGTAGATTGAGAAAATGAACTGTCTTGGCCCTGATTCCTTCGGCTCTCGATCCTCCATGCTTACGCTCCCATGGAGTGGGAATGTTCTTTCGTAGATATAAGGCAAGACTCCATATATATAATCTCACAAAGATCAGGTTCCACCTGCTCGCTGAAATTTTCCTCAATAAGGATTTGAATTCCGATCGAGCGCCATCCAGCTCGATGTTCGAATTTTGACGCGGCCTGCGAAAACGGCCAAGAGCTCGCTTCCGGCCATGTTTCGCAGTAGGTGATTGAATCCTGGTTCCGTGCAGTTTGTGGCCAAACAGCATAGAAGCTCCGAGAGAAATGATGAGCCGCATACCATTTGGATCTAATCGTGAGTTCGAGGTGATGGAAAAGCCCAGGTTGCGTCGTTCATCACCGACGCGATGAGTCTGCTCGAAGAGCTATCAGGATGGACTATTTGCTCGAAATGGCATAGTTCCCCGTTGAGGAGAGCCCACTGAAGTGATTGTTCACCGCAAGGTGAAATACCCGACACATAACGGTATGCAGAAAGTTCGACCACGCTCAGCATCAACTTGGCTCAAAAGACAATTCTGCAACCACGAACCGAACCGGTTATGCTCTGCACCCTCACAGCTCTACGTATTCGCTCGTGCGAAACTGAGCCAAACGAGAATGGAGATTCTCGATCGAAGTATTGAAATTAATGATGAATCAATAAATAATCAATAAATAATTCTAAGGAGATCTCTCAAGGAGATTGTGATCGTCGGGACAACCGTTTCAGACCGAGACAATGAAATTCTCCCAGTAGCCCCTATTTCGGGGAGGAATCGAACCCGAACGGAACGACAATGCGAGGTACTGGAAACAAGTATGGAACTCGTTCCCGCGGTCTCGGGAACGAGGTCTCAAAAAAGGTGAATGACGGGAGATGAAGATGAGTATCAGGTTCAGTTGGGAGGACACTGGATCTGCACGAGATGACGATGATCCCCAAAATACGGGGCCTGCTATAGAGAGTCTTGACTCCGTTTGTTCTTCATGCCGTTTTGTAATACCGAACGGACACGACCAACTGCTCGAGATTCTCTCGTCAATGAAAAAGAATTAGGAACTCAAGCATCGGAGTCTCATCCGAGTAAAGGTGCGCTAAGCCTAGACCGAGTATTCCGAAATTCTACAATCGACTTTCTGATTGGAAAGGTCCTGGTGGAGTCTGGTGGAAGGTGGAATCCTCTCCGCGGGATGGGACTCAAGATGGAGCTTACGGGACGTCTTCTAGATACAGTTAGTACGAGGTTGATGATTCCCTGATGGCGGACATCTGATGAAGTGAGAGTCTTCGCTCAAATCGGTCGTTTTTTCTGTACGCTCAACGGTGTTGATGTATGTTACCCTGTAACGACGATGATTTCCGGACAAGGAGCTTGTCAGCTATTCCTACGTGACCTTATGAGACTACAACTGTGTCCGAACGCAGCCGGCGACCTTGATGCTGGTTCACGGGATCGCACGCTGACTGGGCAAAATACCCAGAGCGAAGCCGAGGGCACAGGCTGACCTGCGGCCGTTGCCTTCGACGTAGTCCTTGTTCTATTGACTTCCGTCGCCCCGGAAGAGATAGAATGTCCAGTAGACGGTGTTGAAAACCAAGAACATGAATGGGAACATGATCCGGGATGCTCTGTCGACCATCTGCGCACGCTTGACGTTGCGCTGGAGCTCGTAAGGTCGTCCGTTTGGCAAATCACCTTCAACGAGAACGAGACGCGGCCATGAGCTCGGGTCCCGGGGAGGGGGGAGGATTCCGAACGATGCGGAATAAACGAAAGATTAAATATTCGACACGGCTTACTGTGATGCCCATCCTTCGAAGATGGTGCTGACGAGTCGGCGTCCTTCTTGCGCTGCGGATTCCCGATGCAGGTTAAATTCTGTTCAGGGAGAGACACAGAGAGTGGAGGTGAAAGCGAACATACGGCAAACCAAGGATTCGTGCGATGCGTTTAGCTCATGAGGTTGTCTGGAAAAGCCGAATGCTCCCGCACAGAGTTTGAAGAGTGAAACAAGCGCTGCGGAAAGAACGGAACACAGACAGCAGGGTGGAAGAAGAGGTGAGCCGAGTCACAGCCGAGGGAGTTGTCAGAAGTCGGTTTTCCCTCTGTCTGAACCTAAGCAGGAGCTTTCGAAGTTAGCGCCCGCCAGATAGACAGAGCTTCGCAGCCGAAAAGTGTACCTGTTGCCAAGCTAAACCGAGTACGCAAGGAGCTCAACATGAGATCATTCCGGAGAGATACTAACATTTTCGGACAATTCGGTAAGCTGAATTTCTCCATTCTCTTTAACCATACACTGCGGGCGGAAGAAAATTACTTCAATCGAAACAATGCAAGCTTAGTTTTTAGATTCTCCCATATGTCGAACACCACGCGATTCGCAGGAAAAAACAGAGTCAATTGAAATGATCTCCGCCTTCTATCGTCCCCTTCGTGGGAGTCAAAAAGTTCTTCCGCTCAAACGAGGTCCCCTGTCCCCCTAGGATGGGACTCTGAAGACTAATTGTTAGGAAATCTGATACCACATGCTCGTTCTGAAGCGAGAGCTTCCTTAGACGACGAAACCGACGGGAACCGAGCAATTGAACCTCAATCCTGGACAACAATGACCGATCCAATGCCATGACTGTATGAGACGATTTTTACGATTCTCCAAGACCATATCATACTTCCCATGCCGGGTACATCTCTCCGGAACACTTACAAAGAGCCGAAGCTCTACTCGCTAACCAAACAGGGAGGGAAGACTACAGAGACAACGAAACGAACCAACATTTTCAGCTCTGACGCGAATCAGGAAAGGAATGGTACTCACGGCGAAAGGATTCATTGATTTGCGGAATTCTTCCGGACGCATTTTGCTTCGGCTCAGGTAGTTCACGAGCGTGAATTCTAGAAGAGCCCCGAAGACCATCACCGAACAGGCTCCGATCCAGACGTCGATGGCTGGAGAGAATGTCTCTGGGTTGAGAGCGATCTACCACCCTCTCAAAAAATTCCATAAGTGGTGCAAGAGAGCTGGGGCTCACCTTTGACGTAGGATACGGGTGGGAGTTGAGTCCTTACACCCGCCGCCACGGTTGTCATTGTGAGCAGGGTGGTGACACCGAGGGTCACCCTGGCCGGAGTAGCGTCGATGTTCAGCCAGAATGAAACCCAAGATATTGTCACGATCAAGAAAGTGGGAAGATAAGTTTGGATAAGATGGTACCCGTTTTGCCGAGCAAGCGTCAGCGTGACATTGAGGAAACTGAATGTTCCTGAAATGACGGAAATCGCTGCTATTCGCACTGCTTCGCAATCGATGCTAAGGGATTGGATTCAGAGAGAGCTCGAAACTCTCTGGCACTTTTCCCGGTCGCTTCGAGGAGATCCTAGAGCCGGCTTCATGAACGGTCAGGCGAACATCGAGTCGGCGAAAGAAAAACTCGTTGGAGTCCTTTCCTGAAAGTCCCTGGAAACCCGATCTGGATCCCTGCAGAACAAGGAGCCGCAAGCTCCCGGGATCATTCTCCGTGGGCGGGTCCTCCGTGCGGGACCGCGACAAAATACTTTCCGTTTGCGCGACTGAATCTTGGTGGTCGCCGAAGTTGAAACCGAAAAGATTTTCTCATCAGCAGCATTTTGCCAGCGGGAAGAATTTCACATGGGCAGCATTCTGCGTTCCCAAGTCTTAATACAGCACGCTCTCACCCGATACCACTCCTGAGAACTCTAAACGCGGTCGAGAAAAACTTCGAGGCTTAGCCTCACGGTGTTGCTCCCGCAGAGGTATCGTTTGAAGCTCAAAATCACACGACCCCACCTTTCGGAAACGTGGAAGAGAGATCAACACCCACAATCAGAGATGGTAAAAATCGACGATAGTCGGACGGAAACGCTGTCAATGTGACCCGATTCTTTCTCCGCTGAATATCAATGATTGGGGTTATTCCCTGCATTCCATGCTCGAAGGATACGAACACGAAATAATGTTGATCTTGAACCTGATTCGTCTCATCGGCGCGCTATATCGCGGATGGCGTCCGGGAACCGGCTGGCGGGCAATCTAACGAGGGGCATGCGACTCCGCGCAAGGAAATGAGAGAGATTTTCATTCTACGGAATACGCCGAGTGCACGAATGAGCCGTTTCAATCAAGGAATTCCGATACATTGTCATTAATTCGGTGGATCGCGTTGCCCGACCGGCCATCCGGCTCGGAAGCATCGTTCACAAGGGTTGACCAAGACTTGAAAGCTGACAGACAAGGCGCACCTGACGCGACGGGTTATGCTCGAGCAGGGCGGCGAGGACGAGCCGAGAGAATCGTTTGTTTCGACTTGTCAGAGGCACTCCTGTATTTTTCTATCCCATGTGTCACATCAACATACTCGCTGATCACCGAGAACACAATCTATCCGCTTCACAGGAGATGTCAGCTCACCCTTCTCGCGAACCGCAGCAGAGCGGCCGCTGATGAGGGCACCTACAATAGGCGCCCTCGCGACGATACATTTTGATTATGCGAATGAATCGGAAGGCTGCCGTCGACCAAACAAGAGAGCTGAATTTTTTTATCAACGTTCTTGCCGATCGGGCTCCCCGCCGCAACTTCGATAGACAAACGGAGCAATCATGAATGTACTGAATGCTTGAAAAACATCTGGTATCCTCACCAGTGTCAACGGTTCGGTTGAAGCTGCCGTACGTGTGGCCTGTGAGGTCGAACTCGGGCAATTCAATAGGGCTTTCGATAACGATGGGCTTATGGGTCTGCCACGAGATGTGCGTCTGGTCGATCGTCTGTGCATCTGTAAGCGATTAGAACCTCGATTATATTCTCACTCTCCGAGGGAGAAAAACAAGCAATCGCGCGACGGGATCATGGCATCGGCTCCCGTTTCACAAATCTCTCCTTGACAACCGCCTTTTTGGACCGGACCCGAGCCGAGGAGACAAAGAGCTATCGCGCGACGACATATGGCGCTCGAATCAGAATTTCTTTTGTTGGAACAGGTTTAAGGAGATGTCCAAGCGATATATTGGAAGCGCCGATGCCATTTCCCGCCTCCGGCGAGGGAGCATGTGGGGAACTGAGCTTGCGGAAGATAATCAATCAGCAAATCGAGCTCGATGTCGTTCACTCGTTCGGTCGACTTACAAGCTCCGAGAATGACGTTGCACCTCTGAGTGTCGAGCGGATAATATCGAAAAACCATGACGCACGCGAGGCTTAAGGTGAGCCGCATAGAATAGAGAACTTCTCCATCTGGTGCAATTCTTACCAACATGTTTGGGACCGTCACTCTGTGAAACGCTGCTCTCTTCACATTTCTGTAAATATTTCAAACATTTCGTTTAGGCTCCTCCTCAAGATTCCAACTTTAAGTTGGTAGCTGCAAGAGTTGCGCTGATGTGTTTCGACTGAAGCTCCGTCCAGTTTTACATTTCATCCCCATACGCCCGAATCCGAAAGCAGAGAGGGCATATGGAAATACGGTTCAAGTGACCGCTCATAGCTCCTTTTAGATTGCTCAAAACTACTTTCGGACGTTCGAGTCTCGGGCGGCGCGCTTGGCGTGAGATGCCCGAGCGGGTCGCTTTGACTTTCCTCAATCTCTCCGAGCAGCTGAGAGAGCACATCGGCGTTTCGAGGTATGACTCGATTTCGTCGGGAAGGCGAGTCGAGGTACCGATATCCGGCCCTGGCCGAAGCTCGGTCGAAGCGAATAGAAGAGGTTGCAGCGAGCTGGAGGTCAACCCACCTAAAGAAAAGATCGGGTTTCCAGATTTTCTCCATGAGGTCCTCGCCGTTAAGCGTGACTGTGTAGTTGATGCCGAAGCGGCTCAGGTTCAGGCGCTTGTCCGTCCACGATTGCCGTAGATATATGTCCATGCCATATTCCTATAAAGAATGAGAATCCATCCGTATACCGAAGTGATTTTCGTTGCCAAAACATATCAGATACATATCGATGCCTCCTCGAAACAATGCTCGGCCGTAGAGTTCATCGCTCTATCTGTGCTCTCGAGGCTTCGAGTTCTATGGCCGCAACTTGCGGCGAGGTCCTCTTGCGTTTCGTCTCCACCAGCCAGTCCCCGCGTCGCCTGATTATCCATCAGTGTTTGAATCTGGGATCGCTTATTCGCCGCTGTTCATTCGACATATTCGAGCCTTGATTCGAACAATGGCCGCGGGATCATCGTACCGGTGGGTTTGAGCACAAGCTCGATCTCGTCGCGGTAAGCATCGAAACGAAACAAGAAGCGAACAGTGAGTAAAAGCAATTAATTCCCAACGCACCACTAAGCGACTTCAGCACGTCAGCCCCTGCGGAACAAACAAATTGAAAGAAACTCTTTCGGAGCGCAGAGACGTCTGGAATCAACCGCTTTGCTGTGAGGAACACGCCCCGAAACAACCGTTATCCGAGAGAACTGAGTTAGCTGAAGCCAACTGGATACGCTCTTCGGAGTCGCTCAAGTGCGCCATTAGCGGGAACTGAATCAACTCTACCTAATGCACCTAGACGAGAATCTTGAAGCTCTCCGGAGAAGGGAAACTCACGAAAACGCAGGAAACAACGCGGAATATCCTGCCAGACAGCAGCGACGATATTTACTCTCCAGATATCAAATCACTCGCATTCGGTTCGCGGGAAAGCTGTACAAGTGCAGCTGTGCCGCTAAGACGGAGTACGACAGCAGTCTCGAGTTTCGAGCTCCGACGATCTCTTTTTCAATGAGGCTGCAGACGGATGAGTCGATGCCCGAATGCATGGACGGCTCGACGTGGAAATGACCAGCGGCTTCTTCTTGCCGCAACAGAAGCTCAAAGCGCTTCCTGTTGCGCGGGGAACTTCGATCGGACGTGCTCGTGAGAGAAACGATCGGAATTATTTTCCTCTCGTTTTTTTTTCTCCACCAAATGTGATAGCAATCAGACATTCCTCAGATATCTGTGGGATTCCTCTCGTAGGGAAGTGTCCGCCCGACAGCGGGGCAGTTTGTCGGGTCCGAACATGGAAATGTAAAATTACGGTTCTCCCGGATCAATCAGAGTAAAAATTTAATAACCAGTCCAACACAGATCCAACAGCTACGCCCTAGGACTCGAGTCGGAGACAGTCGAGGAACTCGGATGCCTCGGTGGTCTCGAAAGATTTTTTGCTCTACCTCATCGCAATTGTTGAGCATTATTCTAGCTATCAGTGACGCCTCTAGCGAAAAGTTGGTGCGGGACGTGAGTTTTTTTATTGTTGAGATAGGCAAGAAACAATAGGAGGCCGTTCACTCCTTGTTTTTTCCCGCGGCATTCGCTATCAGCTGGCGAACGAACCAATGCGTCCGCGGGAGCACTCGCGAGTTCCCCTACTGCAATCGCTGTTCTGTCTCGACGTGCAGCTAAAGCGAGGAATGCCGGTTATGACCGACTCGTTCCCCAAGGATCGTTCGTGGTAACAGTCCGAGAATATTTCGTTCGGATCTGCTCATGAAAGTCAGCCTGTGATGGCCGTCCGCAAGACGTCCCAATCGAGTCACAATGCGGAGTGTGCGCAGACTCGAAAGCGGGCGCGGTGAGAGTTCTTCGCAGCGAAACACCTATTTGTTGAAGCACTTAAGCCGTAGCTCTTCTCGGAAACCTTCTCATATTTTCCTTCCACCGTGTCGAAGCAAAAGGCCCGAGATTTCCAGCTCATTGGCTGTGCTGACAGACGCCCTCCGGTTTCCCTTCTCTCCTCGGGTACTTTCGTTAAAACCTTGACGGGCCGCGCGGCATCCTCGCGTCTAAGACTGCCGGCCCGGATCGGGACTTCGGTTCCTAGTCGAACATCCCAATCCCGATCAAGGGAGGTATTCGGTGGAGTTGATGCTAACCGATTGCGCTCGGTGGATAAACACACTTTCACGTACCCTGCCTTCCCCCTTCGCTATTCG